GCCGTCGCCCACCCCGTCGCTCGGCGCATCCACGCCGTCGTCGCAGCAGCCTCCGCGCCCTTCCTCGCCATCCCCCTCGACCTCGCCGGCGCAGACGTCCCCTCGCGGGAGACGGCCCCTGCCTACGCCGCCTGTGCCTCTCGCAGGCGATCGCGTCGACGCCTACACGGCGCTGCGCCGAGCTCGCGAGAGTGCCGCCTCGGCCGGTCCATCGTCCCAGATCGAGGCGGCCGACGCGCAGGCCTCGAGCGTCGGCCCAGAGCGGCCCAGCTCGGCGCCCTTACCCGCACGAGACGACGCCGCCGGGCCGCCGCTGCCGCGCCGACCGCCTCGCGCGCTCGTCGAGGCGTCCCTCGGCCGGTCGAGCGGCTCGAGCGCGCCTGCCGGGTCGAACGGCCGCGCGCCGCAGATCCCCGAGTTGAGCATGTACACGGACCTCGACTTGCTCCTCGCGAGGCTCGAGGGGCGCGACGAGCAGAGGGTCGAGGGCGCGAGGGACGCAGGAGAGGGCTATGATGTGCGTGCGCGCTCAAGCGCTTTCTCCTCCTCTCACTTTCGCTCCCAGCGAACGTGTACTGACGAGTCGTCGCGATGTGCACCACGCAGGACTTCCTCCTCCTCTCGGACGTCCTCGGCCAAGCTGTGCCCGCCGGCGCGTCGGCGACCGAGCTCGCCGAGACGCTCACGGTCGCCCGGGTCGAGTGCGAGCGGCGCAGGGTCACCAAGAGCGGCAAGGTCAAGAGCAAGCTGAGCGTCGTCGGCGTGCGCTGCGTCGACTGTGCGGTGCGTCACCGCGCTCGAGCCTCTCTGCCGTCCCTCGCTCCTTCACGGCGAGGGATGGCTCCACGTTGTCCAAGCCTGACGATAGCCTCGCACGCCTACAGATCTGCCTCGCCCGATTCAAGGTCGACCAGTTCGCTGTCGTCCTGCCCGAGTGCCTGCACATGTACGTCCTCCTCGTCCTCTTCCTCGTCCCGCAGCCTCGTCCTCGCGCCGACTGACTCTCCCCCTCGCCGTCGCACAGCTTCCACGACCACTGCATCCGCTCGTGGTTCCGCCTATCGCGCGTCTGCCCCGTCTGCCGGGCGCCCACCTTTCCCGAGCCGCAGGCGCCGCAGCGCGACTTGCTCCAGTGAGCGTTCCCTACCTCCTTTTCCCCTCTCGCCGCCACCTCCATCCCCGCGTCGCCGTCGACGGCCTTGTTTATACGCATTCATCCTGCAACCCGTCATCTTGCCTGGTCCCCTTCCTGTTGTGCCCCTCGCCGTAGCTCGTTCTCTCGCAACTTGCGCTCGCGTATCGTTCCCTCTGCGTCGCTCTCGGGTTCTGGGCCGCGTCAAGTCAGAGACGGAAGCCTGTCGAAAGAGTGCGAGCGAATTGTGCGAGCGAGAGGAAAGCGGGCGGCTTTGGCCTCGCCAAGCAGGAGGAGACTCGGCTTGAAAAGGCCGAGCGAAATTCGACTGTAGAGCTGCTCGCGTTGCACGCACTATCCAGCGCTATCTGCCCTGCCCTCACGGACCGTTGCTCCACTGGAAAGTGCCATCGCGAGCGCCCGCTTGTACCGCAAGTCGCCCGTCCCGAACCCGTCGTGGACCCACTTCGTCACCTGCTCGCGAGCGACCGGGAGCAGCTCGTACGCCACCATTATCTTGTCGAGCACAGGCTCGATCGGGAGGTCGCGCGCGTGGCCCGCCACGAACCCGAGCCAGATGTACGTCAGGCTCGCGACGACGACGAGTTTGTGGTTGAGGGGCGTGAACCAGGGTGCGCTGTGAGGGTGCACGGGAAGGAGTCCTGCGCGCTTGAAGCAGCTCATGACGACGGTGACGAACGCGTTGCGGATCGAGTCGACCGACATGCGGCTGGCTTCTGCGGTGGCGGCGTTGGCGAAACGCGAGCTGCGGACCAGGCCGACGAGGTACGGCTTCTCGGGCAGAGACACCGGGTCGTCGACGGGCCCCGTGAGGTGCTCGACGATGTACTGTGGGCCAGCGAGTGAGCCCGACCGTTCGCGAAGGCTGGGAGAGCGAACGCGACGCACCTCGAAAGGCAGACCCGAGGCGGCCACCAGGTCCTGCTCGACGGTCGAGATACCGACCGGGTCCGATTTGACGACAGGAAGACGGGCGCGTTGGCGCAAGTCGGCAATCTCCTCGTCTGAGAGCGGCTCGATGAAGAACGGGTCGGCCTTGCCCGGCCCGCAGTGAGGCTTGTGCGCCTTCCACACCTGTTGCTCACAGAAAGTCAGTACCTTCTGGAAAACACTGACTCAGATCCAGAGGGCGAGAGAGGTGCGAGAGAGCAGTACGCACGAGCTTCTGGCGAGTTGAGGCGAGTCGAGGCGAGTCGAGGCGAGGGGCGAGGGTGGTGCAGGCGTGCGGGTGCGACGGCTCGATGTGCGCTCGTCACGCAGCTGGGCGGGCGAGCGGGCAAAGCTGGAGCAGCAGGAAGCAGAGGCGGGCGAGAGGAGCTCGTCGCTCGAGAGCTCGCCGAATGGTCCGCGGAGACGCCGCTCGACCCCGGCGTCCAGGTCTGAGCTTTAGGCGGTAGCGAGGCTGCAGTACCGAGCAGGTGTCGGCCGAAGAGCACACGCGAGCGGCGCCAGGGCGCGCAACTGCGTTCGGGCGAGGTGCGAAGCGGAGGCGAGCGGCGAGAGGAGAGGACGAACGCATGCGGGCCAAAGGGCAGCAGGGAGGGCAGACAGCGAAGCTCTCTGTGCATCTTGCAGTCTGGCAGCCGAGATGGCAGAGCGGCGGGCAAGAGAGCGGCGAGCCAAGCAGCATCACCTCATCTCACGAGCGGAGGAGAGGCAGCTCTCCTCCTCCTACACCGCTCGAGCACCTCTGAGCTACCCCACAGCAGTCATGAAGGCCTACATCTAGTGCGTCCCGCCACCAATCATCGACTCCCGAGCCCTCCTGACCTCTCGCCCTCCTTCACCGCCTCGCTCTCATCTCCCCCCCGCAGCGACGACATCGAGGGCGACCAGCGCCTGCCTCACGACTCGGGCGAGGAGGTCACCTTTGACCAGCTCAAGGCCATCGGCGCCCTCCCCTACCCGGCCATCGAGCTCGACCAGGTCGAGGCCATGTGCGTCCACCTCTCCCTCCCTCTCCCTCTCGTCCACTCTGCGCAAGCGAGCTGACTCGGTGGATGGGCGCGCCCGGTCTTCGTCACAGTGCAAAGGACCGCGGCTACAAGAACCGCGACGAGATCAACGTGAGCAAGGCGGGCATGGGCGACATCTACGAGGAGAAGATCAAGGGCTTCTTCCGGTGCGCCCTCGCTCTCTACTCCGTCTACCACGCGAGAGGCCGAGCTGACGTCTTTCGCGCACACAGGGAACACCTGCACGAGGACGAGGAGATCCGGTACATCAAGGACGGCCGCGGCTACTTTGACCTGCGAGGTGCGTCTCGCTCTCTTGTCCTCTCCTTTCCTCGTGGACGTCGTCGGGCAATACCAGACGTCGTCGGCGAGGTTTCGCCGTCGACAAGGTTGTGAGCGCGCGGGCATGTCTGCCTCGTCGCCATCGGGCGCCTCGCTGACCTTTTCCCCGTCCCTGTGCGCAGAGAAGGGCGACAAGCGCTGGATCCGGGTCGCCGTCGAGCCCAAGGACCTCCTCATCGTGCCTGCCGGCGTCTATCACCGCTTTACGCTCGACGAGGGCAACTTTATCCACGCCATGCGCCTCTTCCAGGTGCGTCCCCTCCCTCTCGTCGGTTCTCGTCGTCCGAGGCCGTGCGCAGCGGTCGAGCTTGTCCCGCCGGATGCGCTCGGGGATTTCGGCCGGGGTCTGACGTCGTCTTGTGCGCACAGGACGAGCCCAAGTGGGTGCCGCACGACAGGAGCGAGTCGACCGACTCGAACCCGTTCCGGCAGAAGTACCTCGAGCAGATCAAGGCCTAGCGGCGCCTGCGCCTCTCTCGACTGAAACGACGTACGTGTACATGCTCTGTGCAGGTCTCGCGAGAGGCTGAGCTCGCTGCGGCGAGTCCTGCGCGCTCGGCGAGCCGTCTCGAGAGCTGTCGCCGACCGTGAGCGCCGCTAGCCCATCGTCTCTCCCCTGCCTTCGACTCAGAGAGTCTGCGCAGCGCCAGACAAAGCGTTCGAGAGGTGAATGGTCGAGCAGAGCGACAGCGAATTGAAGGCACGAGCCTGCTGTCGCGTCGCCCCACGTCGGCCGCTCGCGGCTCGGTTCGTCGCTCCCTCTCTCCCTCCACCCACACACTGCTCGACCGCTCTCGGCTACACGCCGGCCCACACTCCTTTGCCCGCCCACCCTCGTCACTCGTTCCCCCGTCGCCGTCGCCGTCTCCCGCTCCCCCTCGAACGCGTCGCCGGTCCTTTCTCAACAGCCAAGCATCGCAGCCAGCGCACCAACAGCTCCTCGACTACTCAACCCACGTCCCTCACACACGCACAATATGCATACGTCCACCGCCCTCGCGTCGCTCGTCGCGCTCGCCCTCTCGGCCGCCCCGACGGTCCTCGCCAACCCGTACATCTACAAGCCCGTCGACGCGAGCCACTACCGTGCCGGCGACAGCTTCACCGTCTCCTGGCGCGACGTGAATCCCTGCCCTCTCTCGTTCTCGGGCCCCACCTCGCGCAAGCTGACCTCGTCCTCGTCCTGCAGAACGGCGAGGCGCCGCTGTCGAGCGCGTACGGCCAGACGACCGTCTCGCTCTACACGGGCTCGTCGACCGTCCAGACGCAGCTCGCGTCGCTCGGCACCGTTGCCGACCCTGGCACCGAGACCGAGGTGCTCATCACGATTGACCCGACTTGGGGCCGTGCGTCCACCCTTCTCTCTCTTTCTCCTACCTCGAGGCGTCACTGATCCTCTCTCGACCCTCGCAGCCGACTCGGACGACTACTTTATTCGCATCGAGTCAGTCGCGGGCGTCGATGCGGCCGGCGCGCCCCTCCAGGCGTTCTCGGCTCGTTTCGCGTTCGTCCCTCTCTCCCTCCCTCGCCCTTCTTCAGCCTCGCCCTGACGCTCTACACCTCCAGCCTGAGCCAGATGACCGGTACCTGGTCCGGCGCCGCGTCCGCCGCCCTCGCCGGCTCGCCCGTCGCGGCCGCCGCCGCCTCGGCCACCTTGTCGCCCGACGCCGCGGCCGCGACTGCCATGGCGACGAGCGTGCGCGTCTCGGCCGCCGCGAGCGCAGAGACGGCGTCGAGCGTGCCGTCTGCGTTACTCGAGAGCAGGGTCGCGAGCGGCGCTGGGTCGGCGTCGTCGTCGTTGGCGGCGAGCGCGTCGGGCGCTGCCAAGCCGAGCGCGTCGGGCACGAGCGGTGCGGCGGGACGTGCGGCAGCGGGGGGTGTCGTCGGACTCGTCGGCGTCGCTGCGGCGCTCGCGCTGGTCTAGCGCGGCGTCACCGTCTCCAAGCTGTACCGTCCCTCCCCGTCCTCTCGTTTCGCCTTTCCCCACATCGTCTCTGTCCTTTCTCGCCCCCCTTTCGCGCTCGATGCGTGCCCTGCAGTGCAGGAAGTTCTTTGAGCGGCGTCTGCATGAGGGACGTGGCCGTACATGCGAGCTGTCGGAAGTCGCCGGCATCTGCGAGGGCAGGGAGCTTTCGTTCGTCTCGCGAGTGCTCAGGCTGGCTCTGGCAGATGTTCCTCGTGGCTGTTGCACTCGCTGCGCAGCTGGACCAGTGCGGAGAGCCGAGAGAGCGAGGGTTGGCCGAGGGCGAGCTGGTCGGACGATGGTGTGGTCGACCAGCTCATGTCGACTGCTCGAGCTGAGCCCGCCGAGGATGCGGTAGCACCACGAGCACCAGTACCAGTGCCTTCACCCGTCAGCCCTGCGCTCGACTTTGCTGCCGGGACCAGCTCAGGTCCGTCTCCTGTCGCTCCTCACTGATGAGGACGATGCACTCTCAGCACGGTACCCTGACCACCTTGCGCACGCGGTAAACAGGCATAGCATCCCTCCTCGTCGGCCAGCCTCTCGACACCGGTGCGCCCTGCTTTCCCTCCCCTCTCCTCTCGCTCCTCGAGCTCACCTCGGTGGGGGTGGGGTCCTTCTGCAGTCAAGGTCCGCCTCCAGACGCAGCCGCGCACGTCCCTGTGGCGAGGAGGCGGCATCGAGGCGGCGTGCGAGGTGTCGAGCCGCCAGCTGTACTACAAGGGCGCCGCGCATGCCCTCGTCCGCGTCGTGCGCGAGGAAGGGGTGCGTCGCTCGTCCTCCTGCCCCTACTCGAGCCGTGTCGCACGAACGAGAGCCTGACCCTCGACTCGTTGCGCGCAGATTGCCGGGTTGTACAAGGGCGTTGTGCGTCTTCGTCTCCCTCTTCCTCCTCGTCGTCGAGTTGCAGGACGACCGCTGACCTTTTCTACCCGGTCCCTCTCCCTTGTTGCAGACATCTCCAATGGTGCGTCGAAGCTCTCCCTTCTCTGCGAAAGAGCGATCGCGACGAGCTGACCGGCACCCTCCTCGTCCCGCAGCTCGGCGTCGCCCTCATGAACGCCTCGGTCTTTACCTCGTACAAGTACGCCATGAACGCCATGCTGCCGCATCCAGATGCCGAGGCGACACTCGCCCAGGTCACGCTCGCCGGGTCTGCGAGCGGCATCTTTACCTCGTGCGTCTCGCGCCACTTTCTCGTACTCTCTCCGTCGCACTGCGACCGACCTCGCAGCCCTGATACGGAGCCCTCGCGTACAGGTTCATCACGACGCCGATCGACCGCCTCAAGATCCTGCAGCAGTCGACCTCGGTCGGCCAAGCGCGCCAGCCGTCGCTCCTGTCGCTCGTGCGCTCGCTCCCGCCAACGTCGCTCTACCGCGGCTGGACCGCGACCGTCCTGCGCGACACGGGCTACGGCCCGTACTTCCTCGTGTACGAGTACTTTGTTCGCGGCGGGACGCTCGGCCTCTTTGGCGGCGGCGACAAGGAGCGCGAGCGAGGGAGAGCGGGAGGTCCGAGCGGGGGAGGGGCGGACTTGGTCGACGAGGCGGAGCGGGTCGTGCTCGGCGGCGAGGACGGGCAGGTGGCAGCGAGTGCGACGAGGGTGCTCGTCGCGGGAGGACTGGCGGGCATCGTCGGGTGGGGCTGCACGTGCGTCGGTCACCTTTCGCCCTTCTCAAGGTCGCCTCGAGCGACACGAGCGTAGCTCGACGCGGTCGAGGCTAGCGCCCAGTTGGACGATGCACTGACTCTCTCGCCTCGCACAGCTTCCCGATCGACGTCGTCAAGACGAAGATGCAGTCGCTCCCTCCTCCCGACCCTTCCTCCTCTCGTTCCTCTTCCTCCTCCTCTCGCTCCGCCCACCCCTACGCGACTGTCCGCTCGACCGTCGCCGCCGTCCTGCGCGAGTCGGGTCCGCGAGGGTTCGTGACGGGCCTCGCGCCGACGCTCGTGCGCAGCGTGCCGGTCAACATGGTGCGTCGGCGACCCTCTCTCGCTCGTCTGGGACCGCTCGGCGCGCTCCAAGGCAGAGCTTCCTGCGATCGAACGCGGACTCACGCACTCGTCGACCGTGCCCGCAGGTCACGTTCGCCGTGTTCGAGCTCGTCGTTGCGACTTTCCGATAGATCACGCCCCTTCTCGTTCGTCTCTCGTCGGCCATAGATCCTTAGACGCGCTCTCTCGTAGACTCAGTACCACCACCGCAACGCAATCCTTTCTGCTCTCGATGTGCGCCTCGCGAGAGAGAGAGAAAGAGAGAGCGAGAGTAACGAGTGTCTGTTGCGCCTGAGGGCGGCAGGTGCGCATCGTGCGGCAGGTAAAACGAGGGTGGGGGGTGCTACAGACGAGGCGACAAGGTCGCGATCGAGAGCACGAGAAGGAGCGAAGGAGGATCGCGACGGAGAAAGCCAAAGAGGGGGCGAGGTGAAACGCGAAAGGAGGGGGAAGAGGAGGCTGGCCGACAACGACGGGGGCGAGGCTTTCAGGCCTTCTTGGTCGCCTTGGGCTTCTTCGTGGTCGTCGTCTTCTTCTTGGCTGCGAGCGAGAAGGAGGAGAGGGTCAGTGAGGGCGAACAGGGGGCGAGAGACGAGTGGACGAGGACGCACTCGTCGTCGCCTTCTTGGTCGTGCTGGCCTTCTTCGTCGTCGTCGCCTTCTTGGTCGTCGTCGGCTTGACAACGACGGCGGCCTTGGTCGTCGTCGCGATGCGCGTGTAGCTCGCCGGCCTGATGGTCGGCAGCGAGGTGCACTTGCTGCTCGCGGCGGGCGCCTGCGCCGACGGCGTCGGGCCCGGCGCACCGTGGTGCCACGTCGACGTCTTGCCGTTGCTCAGCTTGTCTGTGAGAGTGTGAGAGGGCGAGGGAGAGGCGCGAACGGCGGGAAAAAGTGGGAGGAAGGGCAGAGGGTCAGTCGACCGACACGAGCTCGCTCCCGACGACCAAGAGGAACAAGACGACGCACACTCGCCGGGCGGCATTGCGACGTTGTCGGCCTTGCAGTGGTCGAAGCCGTTGTCGTACTGTCGCGTGAAAAATGGCAAGGTCAGGGCAAGTCTCGAATCGGGCCAACTCGAGCCTCGACGAGGGCAGGAGAGGAGAGACGGCTGCGAAAGGGACTCACGTTGCCCGGGTCGTTCCAGTAGCAGCCCTCGGTCTGTGTGGGCCAACAAGAGGTCAGGAGAACGTCCTCGCAATCGTCGGCGTGGACTGAGGGACGGTGCGGCGGCGGCGGCTCGAACGGCGTCGACGACAGCCGAGAGAGAGTCACTCACGTCGTAGATGTGGTCTGTGACGTCGGAGTAGTCAGGACGAGTGCAGGTCGGGAGAGAGACTGGAAGGGGAGGCAGAACGAGAAGAGGAGGACGTACTGCACCACTTCCACGCGTCGGGGTCGGCCGGGTTGCAGATGCGGATGCAGAACTCGGTGTCCGAGATGAACGAGTGCCACTCCTTGACCTGCTGAAGGTTGCCGCTGTCGACGAGGAGGGACCGGGCGAGCAGGGTCAGTCGAAATTCCAACGTCGGCTCGAGCAACGCCGAGTTGAGGAGAGGTGGGACGCACGTGAACTGCGACGTGAGCACGATGGCCCCGATCGGGTTGCCATTGCCGTCGGCTGTACGATGCGTGACATGGTGCCTCAGTACACGCTCGACGAACGAGACGCGACGGCGAGAGAAGGAGGGTAAAAGGGAAGGAGAGGGCAGCCGACGCACCTCCATGCGGGTCAAGCTCGCCACCCTGGTCGCCCCTCGGGATGTTGAGCTGCAGGAGATGAAGGCTGTGAGTCTCTTGATGGCGTACGAGCGCGAGAGACTGGAGGAGAGCGGACCTTGGTGAGGTCGCCACGGCCCGTCCACTGGAGGTACTTCGGGGTCTTGATGACGTGCACGCCCTTGAGCGTGTCCTTGGGGATCAAGCGCGAGCCGTGACCGGTCTTGGTGCACCACGAGACCTCGTAGCCTGCGAGAAAGAGGCGGAAAGAGGGTGAGCGCATGGACGACGAGGAACGGCAACTCGCCAAAGGTGGACGCACGCTCCGAGTCGCCGATGGTCGCCTCTGCGAGTTTCGAAAGCTTGATCAGTACGCGTGCGGGTGCGTGTCGGCGCGAGGCGAGAAGGCGACGCACTCTGCGGCGGAGCGTAAACTGCAGGCGCGCGAGAAAGGGTCAATCTTCGATCCTGGAACATGAGAGATGGTGTAAGACGCACGACAGAAGTCCTCGATGCCCTCCATGACGACTGGACGCAGGAGGAGAGAGGTCAGTGACGAGTACGAGGACCGAGACGGCGAGGACGAGCCGCACGAGTCTGGCATTTGGCGTTGGGCGAGTCGCCGTACTTGCGGCAGTCGTTGTAGCTTTGTGGGCAGAGGACGATAGATCAGTCGCTGTCGACGAGTCGGAAATCCCGATGCGACGGCTAAGTTTGGCGACGACGCGACGACGACGACCGGGCAACGAGGTGCGGGTCGACTTGAACGAGCGAGCAATGGACCGCCGCGCCGCTCTGCTCGCTGCACACTCGACGCTCGTCGTGTAGCTCCGCCCTCGCCGCCGGCAGACCGCGAGGACCCCATTCCGCGTCTGTTGACCGAGCAACGTCCTCCTCCTCACGCACCGCTCGAGAGAGGGAGAGGGAGAGGGAGAGCTCGGCGCACCCGTACTGGCCGTTCTCGCTCGTGTGCGGGAGCTGGTTCGGGTTGACCGTGGCGCCGGCGAGCGCGGTGTGGAGGGTCGACGACAGGACCGTCGCGAGTGAGAGAGCCGTGAACGAGGTCTTCATGGCGAGGGGATGAACGAGTGTGGGTGGGTCGGACGAGGCTTGGATGGAGAGAGAGCGAGAGGCACAAGAGCAAGCAAGCGAGAGAAGGGCGAGGGAGAGGGCGCGAGCAACAAACCGATCTGCTCAGGGCCAGGCCCGCGGTTACGTCGCCGATCGCCTTTAGCTCCGCGCGAGAGACGCGTCCTTAGCAGTTGAGTGAGCGCGCTGCGGGCGGTACCGCGTCGCGGTCCCTCGCAGCTGCGACGGGCCGACGAGGTCCGTGCGCGCAAAGGCGGAGCCGTGAACGAGCGAGGAGGGGCGGCCAGTGCCAAGCTCGAAAGTAGCCGGCCGAGATTCGGCCGGCTCACCCGCTGAATACAAAGCGACTTACCGCGAGTTGCTATTGCTCATGCGAGTGCGAAAGGCTACTTGGGAAGGTCCCGACGGCCAGCCGCCAGGTGCTCTCTCGGCGGTCGCTCTGCGATGCGGTAACATCCGAGGGATCGAGGTGAACGCCCGAACGACGCAGAGGATCTACCGAGCCGCACTGCAGAGGATGCAGGCTCCTTGGAGCTGACAGCTTCTTTCGGCCTCTCGCTCGCCTGCCCTCGTTCCGCTGCACCGAGCTCTCACGTTCTTTGCCGAACTCGGCTGACTCGTCTGAGGCTTTCAGGAAGGTCCCAGGCGACGACGGGCTCGGCGAGCGCTCGAGTCGTCGAGGCGACACTCTCGAGCAAAGACGACGACGACGATGGCGAGTTGAATCGCTTTATTGCACTGACAGAGAACGAGAGAGGGAGAAAGCTGCTTTGGGTTTGCTGTTTCTTGAGAGAGAGGGCGAGGCGAAGCGAGAGAGGACAGGAATGGGGGCGACGGCGAGGCCGGCAGTCGACGACGACGGGCGGCGCTCAGGCGGCGAGCTTCTTGTCGCCGCTCTTGTAGCCGATGATCTCGCCGTCCTCGATCTCGACGGCGTCGTAGAGCTTGAGCGCCTCGAGCGCGGCCTTCTTGCCCGAGAGGAGCCTGCGCAAAGGGGAAGGAAGGGTCAGGGAGGAATTCGAGGACGACGGTGGCGACGAGGGCGACCAGGCGACAGAGTGAAGGGAGAGAGGGACGCACATGGCTCCGAACGTGGCACCCATGCGCGAGGCGCCGTCGATCTCGCTGAGCTCCATGCCGCCCGTGATCAGGCCAGGGAAGACCTCGCGCGTCTGGTTGACGATGTAGTCCTCGGCGGAGCGCATGTCGAGAGTGCGCATGTTGCCGAGCTTCTCGAGGAGGCCCGTCGCGACGAGGCGCTTGACTGAGAACGCGCCGAACGGACCGCTGTGAGGCAGAGCCGAGTCAGTGAGGGCGCTCGACGATGGGAGAAGCAGGGAATGGTCGTGGCGCACTCGTGACCGCAGAAGGACATTACGATGGGCGCCGTGATGGTCTGCGGGTCCACTGCGGGGCGAGGCAGGAAGGATGTCCGTCAGGTCCCGAAGAAGTGCCCACCGAGCGCGCGAGGAGAGAGAGGGACGCACTGCAGCTCTGAAGACCGTGGCTGAGGGTCACGAGCGTGAAGTTGGTCACGACGCCGGCGATGCGGACGGTGCCCGGCGTCTTGGCGAGCGGGTCGGGGCGCGTGATGAGGTCCTCGACAGCCGTGGCGTTAAAGACTGCGCGACGACGGCGACGACGGCGACGAGGGGGAACACAATGGCGAGGAAGGGTGAGGAGGAGGCATTGATGAGGTGCGAGGGAGGATAGAGGGAGAGGGAGAAGGAGGGTAAAGAGAGAAGGAGTCAGTGAGGGTCCGAGAGCCGAGGCCTCGCCGCTCGCCCGCCGTCGTCGACGAGCGCAGAGAGTGGGACGCACGCTTGACGTTCGGGAACTATGAGAGGGTGTCGTCGTAGTCGGGGCGGACGAGAGAGGGCGACCGAGGAGGAGAGAAAGACCGGGAACGCGAGCGTATCAGCAAGGGGAGGACTGGGAGGGGGTTGTGGGGGGAACACGTTCGACGCATGGCTACGCGGGCATTATCCCGGAACAGCTTGTGACCGTATAATCTCAGCAGACTCGTCGAGGCGAGGACCGGCTCGTCCGTGAGCGCCGAGCCGCTCCCCGACCCGCCCCGAGGGACGAGCGAGGAGACGACCACGGCGCAGGACGAGCCGACCTGCCAAGACAGAGCAGCACCGGTAGCGTGGAGCGCATCTAGCTCGCGCAGAGGGGTTGCAGGGCTCGGACTCGAAGAGGAGCGCTGCAACCTCGACCTCTGGCGGCAGAACGGCGGTGGGCGAGGGCGATGACGAAGGAGGAAGAGGTAGGTTCGAGACAAAAGAGGTGCGCAAGTGCGGTGGCGGCACCGCTCTGAAAGAGCGGGCACGTCGACGAGGAAAAGAGAGAAAGAGAGACAAGGTGCGGACCCGGAGAACCTTGCTGAGGATCGTCGACGTGAAGAGCGCCGCGTGCTTGACAACGACCATGTCGCCCTCGTCATCGTACGGGACGTCGAGCTCGTCGAGGAAGAGGTGCGCCGGCTTGCGGACGCACATCGAGCTCATGAGCTGCCCGCCAACCCAGGCGCCGCCGCCGGGAGCGACGCCGGCCTCGATGATGGTGACCTTGAGCTCGGGGCGGGCCTTGGCGAGGACGTAGGCGGCCGACAGGCCAGCCGAGCCGGCGCCGACTGCGAGCGAGAGGGCGTGCGAGGGTCAGTCGAGAGGACGAGGAGGGCGAGGGCAAGGCAACGAGGGGCGCACCGATGACGATGTCCGAGACGGCCGTGTTGTACAGGTCCTCGCCGTGGCGCTTGGTCATGGCTGTCGCGAGGGAGAGAGGGCACAGGGTCAGTCTCGTCGTCGTCGCCCTCGGTAAAGAAGAGGAGGGAAACGGACCCCTCGAAACGTGGGCCTCCTTGATCGGGGCGAAGCGCAGGTTGCCGTCCCAGTCCTCGACGTAGCGCGCCTTGTCGTCGTTGGCGAGGGCGAGGGTGCCGTCGACCGACGAGGCGTCCGACTCGGGCGGCGAGATCGGGCGGGTCGACGTGGCCTGGGCGGCGTCCTTGGTCGGCGCAGCGGCGGGGGCGACGCGCAGGGCGGCGATGGAGCTCTTGAAGCCGTCGTACGACATGGTGAGAGTGCTGGAGTAGAGGTTGGTGGGGGGGATGAGCGAGGGAGGAGCGAGAGTGGTGGGAGCAGAGTCAAGAGCCGCGACGACGAGCGAACGGCAGAGCGGCACCTCCCGCACGGCCCTTCGGCCCCGCAACGAGCTCAGTTTCGTTCGTCTCGTCATCGTACGACTCGAGGCAGCTGCTGCTGCGCACCACCGCCCGCGTGACGCTCGCGGGCGTCTGTCTCGCACGAGCCTCTCAAGAATGCGCAAGATTGCCAATCGAGATAGAGTTGGCTCGGCTCGAGAGTATGCGCGCGAGTCGAGGTACAAGCACGCATTTCACCTCGCAGACGAACCCGGCTACACAAAAAGCGCAGACACAGACACAGGGAGACAGAGGGAGAGATTGGTCGTGGGAGGAACTCGTCAGAGCTTGGCGCGGATGGCAAGGACGGCGGCGACGACGGCAAACAGCTTCGCGAGGAAGCCGGCGCCGTACCGACCGTCGCGGCGGATCGTCGCGCCCGTGAAGAGGATCAGCATCTTGAGCTTCTTGGCTGCGGGCGAGAGAGGCAGAGGTGAGCGTCAGGGCCGAGAAGGAGAGAGGCTCGAGCGGAGAGGAGGGGGACGCACGAGTGTAAGGCGGGTAGCGCAGCGCCAGGATCGAGTCCATCCACGTCGGGACGCTCGCGAAGGCGCGCTCGTGCGAGAACGTGTCGAACGTGCTGCGCGCGTGAGGGCGAGAGAATCAGTCCGGTGTACTCTTCCAGTTCCCGAACCCGACGGCGCCGAGGACGACAGAGGGCCGTCCTCGCCGTCGACCGGCGCTCAAAGAGTGAACGAGGGACGCACCGCCTGCCGTGGTAGTTGCCGTAGCCCGCCTGGCCCGTGCCGCCGAACGGCAGGCCCGGGATGAGGAACTGGACGAGGACGTCGTTTTGGACAAAGCCGCCCGAGCGCGTGCGCTCAAAGACTGCGTGCGGGAAGGGCGAGTTAGTGAGGACATCGACGAGGGGCTCGTGCTCGGCCTGAGAGCGGCCGCACGACGGCCGCGTCGCTCGAGGGCGAAAGCGCTCGCCAATGCGACGGGGCAGGCGCACGAGCCCGAGGGAGAGAGGACGACAGGGACGCACTGTACTGCCTCTTCTTGTCGCTCTGGGTGAAGACGTAGAGGGCGAGGGGCGTCTCGCGGTCCTGGATGAAGCGCACCATCGAGTCGATGTCGGGGAGCGTCACGATGGGCAGGACGGGGCCAAAGATCTCCTCTGCAGGGTCGCAGTCGTCAGAGAACGCGCTCGGAGACGAGGAAGAGAGAGAGAGAGCTGGGACGCACCCGACATGAGCGTGTCGTCGCCCTTAACGTTGCGGACGATCGTCACCTCGATCTTGTTCTCCTTGTCGTCGCGCTTGCCGCCGACGACGATGTCGCCCTTGGTGCCGTCGAGCAGCTTCGAGATGCGCTTGTAGTGGTTGACATTGACGATGCGCGAGAAGGCCGAGTTCTGGAGGAGCGACGTCGACGCCTCGCCCGGCGGGGCGGCCGAGAAGGTGGCGAGCGCGCGCTTCATGGCGGCGATGAGCTTGGGCTCCATCGCCGGGGTCGTGAGGATGTAGTCGGTCGAGATGCAGATCTGTGGCCGCACTCGCAGACCTGGTGAGTAAACGCGCGAAGAGCGAGGGAGGGAAAAGAGCCTGGACGCACCTGGCCGGCGTTGACAAACTTGGCCCAGATGATCCTCCTCGCGACGACGTCGACGTTGGCGTCGTCGAGGACGACCGCGGGGCTCTTGCCGCCGAGCTCGAGCGTGACCGGGGTAAGGTGCTCTGCGGCCGCCTTGGCGACGATGCGGCCGACGCCGCCCGAGCCCGTGTAGAAGACGTGGTCGTAGCGGAGCTTGAGGAGCGTCGTCGCCTGCGGGACGGCACCGAGGATGCAGATGAAGGCCGACGGGTCGAGGTACTTGGGGAGGAGCGAGGCAATGAGGGCGGCCGTCGCCGGGCTCTGCTCGGCGGGCTGCAGGACGCGAAACAGAGTGAGCTTCCGGGACCCCGGGTCGGGTCGAGCGACAGAGACAGTCTGACGCACCTTGACGAGGGCGGTGCAGCCGGCCGAGATGGCGCCGAGGAGCGGCGTGAGCAGGAGCGTGATCGGGTCTGCGACGGCACGAGGGTCAGGAGGGTCGACGCGCGCAGGCCTCAAAAGATTGAGACGCACAGTTCCAGGTGCCGATGATGAGCGCGACGCCTGCAGGGAGGAAAAGCGAGGGTCAGTGCGCGTGCCCGAGGGGAGGGAGGAGATGACGACGGGCGGCGAGGACGCACCCTTGGGCTCCGAGTAGACGGTGGGCTTTGCGGCGACCCAGCTGAACGCCGTCTTGGCCTTTTGCGGCTTGGCCCACTTCTCAAAGTGGTCGCACACGTCGTTGATCTCGGCCTTTATCGGCGTGAGCTCTGCCGTGATGGTCTCGAACGCCGGGCGGCCGAGGTCCTGCTCGAGCGCCTTGCAGAACGCGTCCTCGTTGTCTTGCTGTCGGCGGCGCGCGAGAGGTCAGGTCGAGTTGCCGGGTCGAGGGCGGGCAAGGGAGGAGGAGGGGGGGGAGACGCACGACGAGGAAGCCGAGCTGCTTGATCTGGTTGCGGCGCCAGGCGAGAGGGCGAGTCTTGCCCGACAGGAAGGTCCGGTAGACGGTCTCGTGAGCCTGCGAGCGGGCAGGGAGGGGACGAGGGCATCGGGGTCAGCCAACTCCGAGGTGGGGACGAGGACGAGTGCGGGGTGTGCGGTGTGCGGTGTCGCCGGTGCGGGTGCGCTTGACGGCGAGTGCAGAGATGACCGTGGTATGCCTCGCTGCAGCCGCAGCGAGAGGCGCGATGGCGAGAACCGCATGCGCATCCCCGACGAGGCGAGGTTGCGCGACGACGGGCGCGGCACGGGGCTGGGGACAGGGGGCGAGGGCGCACCTGGGGGATGTCGTCGACGTTGGTGTCAGTCATGGCGGTGCTGGTAGTGAAGAGCGAGAGAGAGAGAGAGCGGCAGACCAACTCGAGCTCCCGGCCCGCCTTGACGACGTCGCCGAGCCGCGCGAAACTCGGCATCGCTCCCAAGCTGGTCGTGGATGGTCCAAGCGAGCGTCATACAGCTTCGTACGCACGATAGGCTCACAGGGAACCTCCTGTGAGCCGTGGTCGAGCGGGCGAATCAGGCCGGCCGTCGACGAGCTGGACCTTTGCCCTCGCACAACACTCGCCTCGTCGTTCGAGCCGTACACGCTGCACTCCCGCCGCCGAGCTACAGCGCGCACCCACCTCAACGGCCAGGCAGCGGCCCTCCCGCGTCGAGCGCGGCTCGCCCTCTCGTCTCGGCTCCACCTCCCGCGCCATGCCCGCCTACTCGCCCCTCGCCGCGTCTGAACCTGTCGCACCCTTTGCGCAACAACACCAGACCCGCCAGGCAGCACCAGAGCGCGAGAGCCGCCCACCTGCGCTCGTCCTCCCCGACCCGCTCGCCCTCCTGCACCGCCCCAACTCGCTCGACTCGGACTCGAGCTTCGACCGCGACGGCGACGACGACGACGACGACGACGACGACCGCACCGTGTACGGCGACAAGCACGACCGCGACGAGCCGACGACCGACGACAGCGACAAGGAGCGCGCCTACCTCGTCGACCCGGAGAGCGGCCGCCGTCGCGCCGACGACCAGGACAGCGACGACGGCTGGGACCCGCTCGGCACTGGCCGCAAGAACCGCGTGCGTCCTCACCCCCCTCCTGTCGGTCCCGCCGAGGAGCCCTGACTGACCCTTGCTCGACCGCACGCAGCTTCGCCGCCGCCTCTTCCTCATCCCGGTCGGCATCGTCGGCTTCCTCTCCGTCGCCTTCCTGTCGTCGTCGGTCCTGTCGGCCGCAACGGGCAGTCACCGGTACCGCGGCGAGGGCCTCAAGCACATCACGACCGACGAGCTCGCCAACGGCACGTTCTGGCCCGAGGGCGTCGAGCTCGAGTGGGTCGCAGAGGGTCAGTCTCTTCCACCACTCGTGCGGCTCTCGAAGCCTCAAGAGACTCGCTGTGGGTCACGGTAACCGGACTGACGGTCCTCTTCTCTACAGCCGGCGACGGCGTGTTCAGCCAGCGCACCGACGACGGCTCGATCGTCCTCACCGACCTGTCGGCCAACTCGTCTCGCACGCTCGTCAACGGCTCCGACATCAAGGACGTGCGTCCACCTTTCTCTCGTCTCCTGCCTGGCCACGGACTGACACGAGCGACGTGACCGCAGGAGAACGGCGACAAGCTCGCGTGGTCGAGGTTCAAGCTGAGCGCCGACATGCACTACGTCCTCTTTGACGCGGAATGGACCAAGGTGCGTCTCCTGTTCTCGTCTCTCGGCCTCGTGCAGCTACTGACGCTTTCCCGAGTGCAGGTCTGGCGCCACTCGACGCTCGCCAACTTCTACCTCTACCCGCTCAACTCGTCCTCTTCCTCGACCTCGCCGCGCACAATCCCTCTTCTCCCTCCCTCTTCTCCGCCGCACACCTCGCTCGCGACCTTTTCCCCGACGTCGCACCACGTCGCCTACGTCGACGGGCACGACCTGTTCGTGCTGCCCGCCGGCGAGTGGGAGGACGGGCGCGCGAGCGGCGCCGAGGCGATGCGCGACGCGGCGCTCAGGGTCACCGAGGACGGCGGCGAGACGGTCTTCAACGGCGCACCGGACTGGGTCTACGAGGAGGAGGTGCGTCGGAGCCTTTCCCTCCCTCGTCCTCTGCCCGCACGACCCTCTTCTCGTCTCGCCGACACTCCCGCCTCGCCTTTCGCTCGCCCACCGACTCGTCGCCCTCATCCTCTGTGACAGTCGACTGACTCGCACGTGGTTCCCCCTTCTCGCAGATCTTCAGCTCGGACTCGGCCCTGTGGTGGTCCCCGGCGAGCGAACACCTCGCGTTCCTCAGCTTTGACGAGACGGACGTGCCCGAGTACGAGTACCCGGTGTACAACGTCGACCCTGTCAAGGCGGGAGGCGAGCCGTACCCACCAAAAGTCACCATGCGTTATCCCAAGGTGCGTCGTCCTCGTCCTCCTCGTCCTCCTCGAGGGCATGCCGCATCTCGTCCCGAGACCTGATTACCTCGTCTCCGACACAGCCCGGCTACCCGAACCCGCGCGTCTCGCTGCGCGTGTTCTCCCTGTCGACCTACCTCGCCTCGACCTCGTCCCCCTCCGCCTCGAGCTCGCGCGCCGCCCGCATCCGCGCCGCGACGCACACGCTCGTCCTCGAGCGGCCCTTGCCCGAGTCGAACTTCCTCGTGACGCAGGTCGCGTGGGTCGGCCGAGACGAGCTCCTCGTCAAGATGACGGACCGCACGGCGCGGTTCGAGCGCGTCGGGCTCTTTGACCTGAGCGACGAGGGCCTGCGCGGTGCGGCGGCGAGGGGGAAGGAGGGCACGGTGGTCGGCAAGGTCGTGAGGGAGACGGACTGGGAGGAGGTCGACGGCGGGTGGGCCGAGCCGGACCAGAGCGTCGTCGGCGTCGAGTCGGCCGTGCTCCTCGCGGCAGCGCTCCCTCCTCTTTCCTCCTCGACCTCGTCGTCGAGCGGCAGCTCGCCGCTCGCCGCTCGCGCCCCGACACCGCCAACGTACCCTCCCGGCTACCTCGACGTCCTCCCCAACCCGCTCGGGTTCCGCCACCTCGCCTACTTCTCGCCGGCCTCGTCCCCGAACCCGGTCTGGCTCACCAACGGCACGTGGGAGATCGACGGCGGCATCGAGCGCGTCGACGTTCAACGCGGCCTCGTCTACTTCGTCGCCGCGAACCCGAGCGTCGCGAGGCAGGTCTGGGCCGTGTCGCTCCCGAGGACGCGGGACGCGCTCGACGCGTTGAGGGGCGACGTGTCGACGGCGAGCGCGGTCGAGATGAGGAGGCTGAACGGCGGGCAGAGCGGCAAGAGCGAGGACAAAGACGAGCTCGCGCACTACGCCGTCAACGTCAGCCCGGGCGGCGGCGTGTACCAGCTCAACTACGGTGCGTCTCACGCTCTCTCTACTCTCGGTCACTCGGCGAGTGACTGACTCGTCATCGTGTGCGCAGAGGGTCCGGGCGTGCCGTGGCAGAAGCTCTTCAAGGCCGACGACCCGGGTGCGTCCTCGTCTCTCGCCGTTTCCATCCCTCGTTCCCTCCCTCGACCCTCAAGCCCTCGCTTTGCCCGAGCGTCAAGTTCTCATCTTGTCCCCCGCCGCGCCACTGCAGGCTTCGTCCTCACGCTCGCCAACAACTCGGCCCTCGCCGCTCGCGACGCCCTGTACGCCCACGCCCAGGTCGTCCACTCGCGCATCTCGCTCCCGCGCACCTACGACGCCCTCGGAGCCGGCACGGGCGACGTCGAGCTCGACGCGATGGAGCTGCGGCCGCCCTTGATGGACCTGAGCGGCAAGACTCGGTACCCGGTCCTCTTTCAAGTGTGCGTCCGGCACACCCTCCCCGTCCTCTCTGCGTCTCGCGGACGGTCGTCCTGACGACTCGAACCCCTCGGACAGGTACGGCGGCCCCAACTCGCAGACGGTGACGACCCGGTTCCAGCGCGACTGGCACCACTACCTCGCCGTCTCGCTCGGCTACGTCGTCGTGCGCGTCGACCCGCGAGGGACGGGCTTCCGCGGCCGCAAGTTCCGCACGACGGTGCGCAAGCGCCTCGGCGAGGTCGAGGCGCAGGACGTCGTCGCCGCCGCGACCGAGTGGGCCAAGCGCCCGTACATCGACGAGAAGCGCGTCGGGATCTGGGGCTGGGTGCGTCTCTCGTTCCCCCCTCTCTCTCTTCGGGGTCTTTCGAGGCCCCCGACTGACACTTCTCGACCCTCGTCGCACAGTCGTACGGCGGTTTCCTCACGAGCAAGGTCATCGAGGCCAACTCGTCCGTCTTCCAGCTCGGCATGGCCGTCGCGCCCGTCACCGACTGGCGGTTCTACGACAGCGTCTACACCGAGCGCTACATGGCTCTGCCGACCGAGGACGACAACCTCGCCGGCTACGTCAACTCGAGCGTCGTCAACATGGAGGGCTTCTCGCACGCCGACTTTGCGCTCGCTCACGGGTACGTCCTCTCCTCCCTCGTTCTCCCTCGTTCTCCTCGATCGAGTATTGACTGTGTCCCTCATGTCTCGCAGCTCGGGCGACGACAACGTGCACTTCCAGAACACGGCCAACCTGCTCGACCGGTTCACGCTCGCGCACATTCGGTGTGTCCTCGCCCTCTTTCCTCGTCCTCCCTCCCTCCCCCTCCCTCTCTCCTCGTCCCCGACCCTTGACCTCGACCGCCTGCGCCTACTCCCTGGCGCCCTCCTGCTCCTCCTCGACCTCCATGCACGCCGGGCCTCACTGACTCGCCTCTCACGCCCTCACTCGCAGGCGCTTCCGCTTCCGCATGTTCACCGACAGCGACCACTCGATCCGGACACGTGGAGCGTACTGGGAGCTGATGGCGTTCCTCGAGGCCTTCGTGCGTCGACCTCTCCCTCTCCTCCTTCTTCTCCTCCCTCTCGCCCTTTCCCTCTTCCTCTTCCGCCTCCCGCCTCTTTCCTCTCCTCTCGCCGCACCTCGAGGCCTGACTCGCTTGCCCGTGCGCAGCTCCGCGAACGCTTCGGCGAGGGTGGGCGCACCAAGTCGCGCTGGAAGCTCAAGGTCGAGAACTTGCCGTTCGACCCGGCTCTCAAGGGCGAGCGCGAGAGGGCGTGACAGGAGCACGCGTGTACGACGACGACGACGAGCGGGACGAGTTGTAGTACATAGACTTGCATGCGCTCACAGTTTCAGAGCTCGTCGACCCGGGTGCGCGAGAACCACCACCTTCTCGTGCGTCTGCCTCCTCGAAAGGCCCATCTTCGCGGAAAGTTGCGCGCACGCTAGTTAAGAGCGAGCGCGTACCCTGTCGTGGCAGAAAGTTGCCAGGAGAGACAGGGCGAGAGGAGCGAGGAGGTGGTGGCTGGCCGGGCTCCACGAGGAGCGACAGCGCACGAGCCGACTCATTTGCAGTACGAAGGCCAATCGCGTGAAAGCGATCGCGTTTGCCCCGGCCGAGTACGGCAGGTAACGCCGCCGCCCCCGGGTCTCTCACCCTGGCTTCCTCCTCGTCACTCGAACACGAGCTTGCTCCCTCCGGCCTCCCTCGGCCGACGCGGAATGCGCTCTCCCCGGCGAGGGGCGAGACAATGTAACGCGGCGTCGGTCGCACATCCGCTCTTCCGGACGAGGAGCCGAGCGAGCGAGTGCTCGCGTCGCCGGAGCTTCGGACCGCTCCCTTTCTCTCCAGCTCGCTTTGTGGCCTTGCTGGCAAACGGCGCTCGCACAGCTGCACCTCTTCTACCCGTCGCCAGCCCGCCCCGCGCTTTCGCGCACCTCGTCTCGGTCCCCGTCGCCCTCGTCGTTCTCGGACATCCGCCAGTCGCCCGTCGGCCCGCCATGCCTTCCCCAGTCGCGCCGTTCATGCGGCAGCTCGAGCCAGTCGAGCGACGCCCTCGCGAGGTCCGCCTCGACCTCGGCGCGTTCGACTCGTACGACTCGCGCCCCTCGTCGCCGACCAGCCCGGACGACGTCGACATGCACAGCCCGCTCCTGTACGGCTGGAGCCACTCGCCCCCACCTTCCCCTTCCCTCTCGCCGTCCTCCTCGAGAGGCGCACACCGCCCGCGCCGTTTCGCCCTCCGTCCTCGCCGCCTCGCCGCCTTCCTCGCCGTCGCCCTCACGGCAGCCGTCCTCCTCGTCCAGAGCCGAGAACACGTCGTCGTGCGCCAGGCGCGAGGTCATGCGGCACGACTCGCGCAGCGCCTGGGCGAGCAGCGGTGCAAGTACGTGCCCGGGCTGGCCATGTGCGACGACCCGTTCCGGCGGTTGCGGTTCGGCGCCGACGCCGGCGAGCTCCTGTACCCGGCCGCGGTCGATTCGTCGTCGTCCAGCTTGTCGCCCGTCGCTGCGCAGCCGCACCCGATCCACTACCTGATCCGCGAGGCCGAGGCGTCGTGGAAGGGCAAGGTCGCTCGCCAGAGCCGCACGCTCGCCGAGGCCGTCGCCGAGTACAAGCGGCGGTACCGACAGCCTCCTCCTCGAGGGTTCGACGCGTGGTTCGCGTTCGCGCAGGAGAACGGCGTCCAGCTCCTCGACGAGTACGACTCGATCCACTCGCGGCTGCGGCCGTTCGCGGCGATCCGGCCCGAGGTCCTGCGCGAGCGCGACACCGTCCTGCAGAACGTCTCGCAGTGGGAAGCCGGCGAGACGTTCTGGATGCACCCGCTCACGGTCACGATCAAGATCGCCGACGAGGGCCGCCGAGTCGAGGCGGACGGGCCCATGCGCCACGACAACAACCGCGCCGACCAGCTCATGTCGCTCCTCGACGGCATCTCGCAGTTCCTCCCCGACCTCAACATGACCATCACCGGTCACGACGTTCCCTGGGTCGTCCTGTCGGGCGAGCACAAGCAGATGCTCGTCGACGCCGCCGACAAGGGCCAGTGTGCGTCTCTCGATCTTCCTCTTCCCCGACCTTTTGTGCCCCTTCCTGACGACCCTCGACGCTCGCGCAGACCTCGACGATGCGGCAACCTTCAAGGAGAACTGGGACCTCGACGGCTGGGCGCTCTCGTGCCCTGCAGGCTCGCCGATGCGTGCGGCGGGCACGTTCCTCGACCGCCTCGACTGGGAGGCGCCGGCCAAGACGAGCTTCATCGGCCTCGACCACGTCAAGGCGATGGACGTCTGCCAGCACCCCGAGAACCAGGCGCTGCACGGCTTCACCTCGTGGTGCGTCCCCTTCTCTCTTCCTCGCCGTCTCTGCTCGTGCGCGCACTGACCCTCTTCTTCCCTCATGCAGGACGGGCCCTCGTCCCGGCGTCATCTTCCCTCTCTTCTCGTTCACGACGTCCTCCCTCACGAGCGACATCCTCCTCCCGCCGCTCGAGCAGTACGAGCGCTCGCCCGGACCCGACCCGAGCTGGAGCGACAAGAAGCACGACAAGGCGCTGTGGCGCGGCTCGACGACCGGTGGCGACCTCACCAACGCGCACGCGCGCAAGTACTCGCAGCGCATGCGCCTCGCACGAATTCCAGCGGCAACCGGGACCGTCACCGTGCCGCTCGCGCTCAACGACCGCAAGGGCGCGCCCGGACCTGTCGTCCAGCACACGGCGTCGGCGTCCGAGTACGCCGACGCCTACCTCGACGTCATGTTCAGCGGCGGGCCGGCGCAGTGCGGCGACGAGGCGACGTGCGCCAAGATCGAGCGCGAGTTCGAGTGGGCCGGGTACATGTCCGAGGCCGAGCAGAACGAGGTGCGTCCTCTCGCCGCTCTCCTTCCTGCTCTCTCGAGATCGTCATTGACTCTCTCTCTCTCGACCCTGCAGTACAAGTACATCCTCGACGTCGACGGCAACGGCTGGTCTGGGCGCTTCCACCGGTGCGTCCCCCTCGCCTCCCGTTCTCACGAGCCTTGACCTGACGAGCTCTCCTTTCCCGCCTGCAGCCTCATGTCGACCAACTCGCTCATCCTCAAGTCGACCGCCTTCCCCGAGTGGTACAGCGACCGGATCCAGCCCTGGGTCCACTACGTCCCCGTCAAGGTCGACTACTCGGACCTGTACCCGGTCCTCGCCTTCTTCAAGGGCGCGCCCGAGGACGGTCGCGGCGGGCACGACGAGCTCGCCGAGCGCATCGCGGCGCAGGGCAAGCAGTGGGCCGACGAGAACTGGTGCGTCCCGACTCGCCCTTCCCTCTTCCCTTTCGCGCTCGCGCACATGCCCTCGGTCACCTCGCTTACTCTCGCCTCTCTCTCGTACAGGCGCTGGGTCGACATGCAGGCGTACCTCTTGCGGCTCCTGCTCGAGTACGCGCGCCTCGTCAACCGCGACGACCCGCACGTCTCGTACGACTACGAGCTCGAGTAAGGGCCGGTCCCGCTCTGCTCTCACTGTAGATTCGCGCACTCATGTTGTGACATTATCTCTTGCTCTCGGCGCGTACGGAGAGTCCACTTGTCGCGAGAGGGAGCCACGAAAGCTCTCGAGACGTCGACGGCCGAGGAGAAGCGTCACGAGCTGCGTCCCGCTCACCTCGTGCGCTCTTGCCGCCACTCTCGCGTGACGGAATAGACAAATGCGCATGGCGTAAAGACCTGTACCAGCCCGCAGAGAGCGAGTGGCGGGAGGAAGAGTGGGTTTTTTTCCTCATCACTGTCGGCGAAAGTTTTGCCGTGCCCCTCTCTCCCCTCGACTTGCAGGCCGTCGCGGTGCCAGTCACGGCTACGAGCTACTCGCTCTCGAACCCAATCGGGCTCTCCTCGCCTTCCACCAGCCCTCAGTCGCTCCGCCATCGCCCGCCCTCCCCCGCTCCATCCGACCTCCCGCTCGACCACGCTGTACTCGTTGCGGCGACCTGTCCTCCGACCGACGGTGCTAGGAGACACGCCTGGCTCCCGCTTGAGCACCGCACGTCGCTGTGCGACTCGTGGCGGAGCCGCTCCGCGGGCATCCCGGCGACGGTGCGTCCTCCTCTCTCTTCCCTGCGCCGCCGCGCAACTGCAGACAGCTGACCCTCACACCTTGCCGGCCGCAGGTGTGCGACACGCCGTCCTGCGCTCGACAGAGTGCGGCGCTCTTCGAGAGGCTGGCCTCCTGCTTCACCGCTTCGTGGGACGAACGCTGCGGCCAGCTGTCCGCCGCGTTTTTCCCCGTGTCTCGATCAAGGAGACTTCAGAAGATGCTCCGCAGCCCATCTCGGCGAGTGTCTCGCGAGAGGAGTGTCCATCGACCGTCGCTCGGCCTCGCGCGTCCGCCTTTGGCCCCGCCGAGTCCCGCTCCGCTCCCTCGCTCGCTTCTCTCTCAAGCTCGCACAGCTCTCGGGCGCTCGACTCGCCTACCCGACAGGCTTCGAGCTGCCGAGCGTAGCAGCAGCGCCGACGCGCACCTCGCCATGCCCAGCCGTCGTCCCGCGGCGTCTCCGAGCGCGTCCTCCTCGTCACCCTCGTCGACCGACGAGATGCATTCGACCTCGAGCAGACCAGAGCTCAGGGTCGACACGTCGCTGAGCCAAGCCGCTCGCGATGCTCTCGAGCAGGACGAGAACGCGCCCCCGAGGACGCCGATCTCGTCGAGCCTCTCGCCTGAGCCCGAGAAGCGTCGACGACCTAGTCGTTCGCTCAAGAAGCAGAAGCGGGTCCCGGCGAGCAAGCGCGCCAGCGTCGCGCTCGGCCAGCCTCGTCTTCCACCTCCTCCTCCGCCGACTGGCCCTTCTGCTCGCCTCTCGCCAAGCGCTGGGCCATCGCCGCCGCCAACAGCCCACGACAAGACCTATGGGCTTCGGCACCCGGCCGACAAGCGGTACGACGAGGCGGCGTGGCCGGGCTACGCGGCGGCGGCAGCGGAGGACGACGGCTTCACGATCGTCGAGCCCAAAGCGAAGCCCAGCTTCATCGAGAAGGTCTACCGGTGCGTCCTGTCTCGCCCCCTCTCATGACGGCGGCTCTGACACTGTCACGAACCCGGCACAGCATGCTCGCCGACGACGAGGTGCAAGAGCTCGTCTACTGGACGCCGGCCGGCGACGGCTTCATCATCCCCGACGTCGACCAGTTCTCGACCGTCGTCCTGCCGCTGTACTTCAAGAGCCCGGTCTACAGCTCGTTCCTGCGGCAGTTGTACAGCTACAATTTCTCGAGGGTGCGTCTACTCCCCTTCCCTGCGTCGTGCGGCAGGCTCGACAGTTCACTAACGGGCGTTTCTTCTTCCGCAGACCCGCATCTACCTCGAGCGCAAGTGCAAGACCGTCGTGTCGCAGCACATCCACGGTCCGGCGACGTTTCGGCGCGACAGCCCGCACCCGCAAGCGGTCAAGCGCCGATTGTCGGTCCCGCGCCAGTCGCTGTACATGCGCCAGGACGTCGTCGAGGACGTCGTTCGCGTCAAGGGCGTCAACAACCCGTCGTGCGCAATCCTCGAGTCGTTCGACCGCGTCGAGTCGTCCGCCCTCTCGGTCGCGCCCGCCTCGCCGGCGAGCTCGCGTGCCCAGCAGTCGACATCGTTCGCGTTCGAGTACCCGAGCCGACCGACGAAGCGTCGTGCCGGCGAAGCGGGCCTCGAGGAGGCCGAGCGCGACGTGTTCGGGCCCGTCGAGCTCGCTGAGGGCCGCGGCGACGTCAAGCGGCTCGAGCTCGCCTGTCGCCGCCTCTCGACCCAGCTCAACCAAGCCCAATGGCGCCTCAAGTCGACGATCCGCATCTGCAAGGTCCTGAAGGAGCGCGTGCACGACCTCGGCGGCGTTTTCGGTCCGTCGACCTCTTCCTCCCAGCCCATCCACACGTTCGACGCTCACTCTCTCCCGTTCTCGCCGCAGAAGAGCCCGACTACTTTTCTCTCGACGTCGATGACCGCAATACGCACGCGTCGAGCTCGTTCGCCGTCGCGTCCGGCGGCGCCGACCTCGCCTTCCCGTCCTCGCACCTCTCGGGCTGGCCAGCTGCGTCGCGGTCTCTCGCCTCGTACGACCAGCGCGCGCCTCCTGCGCGCTCGTCGCACACGTGCGAGCAGCGCCGCGACTGGCCCGTCGTCGCCGGGCCGAGCTTCGTCAACTTGTCGCCGCAGCTCGAGCAAACCGTCGACCACCTCGTCCTGCCGACCGGCCCTGCCTCGTCAACCTCCCCGCCCTGGTCTCCTCGCCACCCCATCTTCCGCAACTCGTCGTTCGCGAACGACTCGACCGCGCTCGTCGATGTCACGCATGCCGGCGCGCCGCCGCAGCTCGACGAGCAGCTCCTCCCGGCGCCGCACCTTCTCGACTCGCACGCCTCGGCCTTCTCGTTCGTCGGCACCCGGACCCTCGCCGAGTACTACGACGCCGAGGGCTACGGCGACGCGTCGGTGCGCCCGCTCAACGTCGTCGAGCCGCTGGGCGCCGCAGCGGACCTGCCGCAGCACGCGCACGGACCGCTCGATGTGGCTGGCGGCGCAGCGCAGGCCCAGTACGCCGAGAGCGCCCCGACGGCGCAGGACGTCGAGGCGAGCGCGTGGGCGGCGGCGTACGCCGACCGCTTTTGCGACGAGTGGTACGCCGACGTGCTCGAGCCGTGCGAAGGGACCGCGCCGAGAGTCGTCGCACAGCGCTCGTCAGCGGTCGAGGCGCACCTCGAGTACTCGTCGCTCGCAACGACGTTCGGCACCGGCGTGTGACGAGGAGGGACGGCGAGGCGCTTGCGCTCGAGGGCGAGGGCGAGTGCGAGGGCGCGGTTCGAGAAGGCGGGCTGGACCCGGTCGAGGCGAGCGCGTCGAGCTTTGCTCCGCTCTCTCTCTCTCTCTCTCTTTGTAGATCTCTCGCTTGGAATGCGTGCGCTTTACGATCGTGCGAGAGAGAGAGGCTGGCACACGACTTGCTTGAGCTGCAAAGTCGTCGCTCCTCGCCGCCCGCCGCAGCCAGAGAGGAGCCAAGGGAGCGAGCGCCTGGAACAAGGCGAGACTGGCGCTCACAGCCGGCGTACCACAGCAGCGTAGCGGCCGCGGTGCCGCGCCGGGATGAGCCGCGTTGCACTGCTCCGGAGAGCTGAGCGGAGGGGGAGCGAGCACACGAGGGGCAAGGCTCGCTCGCCGGTGCACAGCTCGAGTGGCTCGGACGACACGCTTGCGAGCGCCGTGTGTGCCCCATTCGAGCCCCGTATCGAGAGCGAGCGAGGGTGCCGCTCCTCCTCCTCATCGCGTCGGCCGTGTTGCTCGCCCGGCTCCCTCCTCCCGGCACCGCCTCACTCGCTACGAGAGCGTGTCCAGCACCTTCAGCACGCCTGCCACCATGGCCCACGCCCCGGCAAAGGCCCACGCCGCCCTCTCCAAGGCCAGGCTCGCCCGACGCGCCTGTTCATCCACCTCGGCCCTGTGGACCTTCCCCTCGGCCGGCAGCACCACCCCCGTGTACGAGGACTTTGAGCTCACGTGGGACCCGACCTGCGTCGCCGTCACCTCGGCCACCGTCGACCTGTACCTGAGCGTCGTCGAGTCGACCGGCCTCACCGCCGTCCACAAGTGGGAGGACGTGCCCTACTCGCCCGGCTCGCTCGACACCCAGTTCAAGCCCTCGTGGTGGAACGCGAGCACCGGTGCAGGTTCCGTCTCGGCCCAGGTGCGTCCACCCCGTTCTCTTCCTCCTCCGCCCCCTTCCCCCGCTCGGCAAACAAGCTGACCGGCACGGTGCGTGCCTCTCCCTCCCGCGCAGTTCTCGCTCGTGCCGTCGGGTCAGCCTAGCTGGAACACGCCGGCGCCGGCAGGGCCCCTCTTCACCATCTCGTACAACGGAACGTGCGTCTCTCCTTCTCTCCTCCCCCTCCCTCCCTCTCGCGCCTTCCTCAGGGCAGCCGGCTGACCCTCTCCCTCCCGTCGCCGACAGCTACCCTTCTGTCACGTCGACCGGCGACCAGACGACCTACACGGGCCCGTCGGTCGAGTCGGTCTCGGACACCAAGTCGCGCTCGTCGGCCCCGTCGGGCGGCAAGCTCGCGGCGGCCGTCCTCGTCCCGATCCTCGTCGTCATCGCCGCCGCGGTCGCCTACGTCTTCATCTACAAGCGCAAGAAGGCGCCCGAGAAGAAGCGGTTCAGCGCTGTGCGTCCCCCCTTTCTCCCTCTCGACTCGCTCGAGCCGCAGGCTGACACGCTCTCGTTCCCGCCACAGGTCGTCGACCACCGCATGTCCATGATCTCGCAGGGCACGTGGCAGCCTCGTCCATCCATGGCGGCGTCTCGCCCCGGCTCGATGCACCCGTCGCACCGCCCGTCCGGCTCCTACTCGGGCGCCAACCGCGGCTCGTACTTCGCCAATCCGGACCACCGCCAGTCGACCTACTCGTACGCCGGCTCGGGCGTCGGCGTCCCGTCGCCGCTGCGTCCGCCACCGCCCGCCGAGATGCGCCAGACGGGCCAGGGCGAGCGCAACAGCCGCGTGTCGTTCGCCGCCGGCGAGATGATGCACAAGCCCCGCCCGTCGTTCGCCAGCGGCACCCGCTCGTCGATGCACCAGAGCCAGCTGCGCCACTCGGCGTTCCTCCCTGGCGGCGAGGGCGGCGAGCCCCTGCCGGCGTCGACGTCGCCGCAGCACTCGCCGCAGCTGTCGCGCTCGGCCGGCCCGACGTTCGGCTCGAGCGGCGGCATCCTCGCGCGCTCGGGCTCGTCGTCGCTCAGCCTCGCCGTCACGGCTCCGGAAAGCGGCGGCGACTACCTGTCGCACTCGGGCACGCGCGAGGAGCTCGCGTCGCCGTCGCCGTCGAGCGGGTCGCTCGCATCCTTCTCGCGCCCGTACGGGCACGCGCCCAAGCCGAGCGTCACGAGCTCGCTCCGCCACGAGCTTAACGGCATGCCCTGGGCGCACGGCGGCGTCCCGGGCTCGGGCGACCGCACCCCGCCGGCCTCGTCGGCCGCCGACCCGTTCTCGACCGCCCAGCACCCGCGCACGTCGCCCTCGTCGTCGCTGCGCCCCAAACCCTCGCTCGCGAGCCTCTCGACCGAGTCGCTCGCGCTTGCGCCGCCAGTCTCGACCTCGACCATGCCCCGCGCGTTCGGCTCGTCGACGGCGCGCGAGAGCCGCATCCTGTCGCCCGACGAGGCGCTCGCGTCGTACGCTCGCGACGTGACGAGCCCGACGCCTTCGGCGTCGCAGCAGCGCGGCGCGGCAAAGGGCGGCCTGTCGTGGCCGGGCAAGCTCCTGCGCAGCTTCACCGGCGGGAGCATCGCAGGCGTCCTCTCGTCGGGCGGCGGCGGCAAGGACAGGGCGGCGTCTCGGTCGGGCAGCAGGGGCGACAAGGACGCGCACGACGACGTCGACGAGAAGCGCGAGCGGGCCCGGAGCCCGTTCGAGGACCCGGTCGAGCGCGACGATGAGGACGACCGGCGGCGGCGTCCGGTGTCGGCGCACGTCCTCGACGACGAGCACCTGTCGGTCCTCGCCGCCGGGGCGAGGGACTTTGGGTCCGAGGGCTCGCAGGAATCGCTCATCGACGAGAAGGGCGGGCTCGGGCGGGCCATGTGAGATGGAGCGGCGGAGCCGTGACCTTTCGACTTTCTTTCCCTCGACCCTGTTCGACATCCTCTACCCCCTTGCCGTCCCTGTCTCTTTCATACCGTCATGATGGACGGCTCGACGATACCCCTTTGGCCGTAGCTCTACTCTGCCTTGATACCTCGACTTTCGTTCACAGTTGCGTCGGCCGAGAGCTGGCTCTCTCGAGCTCTCTCTCGCGCTCGCTCGGCTGCGCTTCGTTCGTCGCTCTGCAGCGCAGTCGACAGTGTCTGAGACGTCTCTCGAGAGCGCAGAGTGACGAGCCGCCGCTTCCCTTTGTCTGCTCCTCGCGCCGCGTCTCCCTTTCACCCACCGCGGCCCCGCTCATGCTTGTCCAACTTCCGGCATCGAGTGCGGCTCTAGCCCTGCGGAGCCCGACGCGCGAACCCTGCGCTGCGAGGCCCGACACGGAGCTCTCGACGGTCGTTGTTCGACGCCGCTCGACACGCGCACAAAGGCTCCGCACGGCCTTGCGCCGGTGACGACGGCTTGTTTACTCGTACAAGACGAACCTGGACGCGCGTGCTCGCCGCCCTGTGGCCTACTCGTCTTCCCACCTCCTCGACTCGCCTCATCACCCGGATTCCACTCCCGGGCTCGCCCTGCAACAAGCATTCCCCGAGCATGAGCGGTACGCCCCCAAATCTCCTCTCTGAGCATGTCGGCGGCGGACGAGCATTTTCTGACCCTCCCTCGTTGCGCAGACACCTCGCACCTCTCGCCGCCTCACACGCCCGTCTCCTCCGTCTGCTCGTCCTTCCTCTCCTTCTCGCCCGACGCGCCTCGCACACCTCGCACGCCCCTCTCGAGCGCTATCGGCTCTCCGGGCGGCGACGTGACGCCCAAGGCCAGCAGGGACGACCCGCTCGGCGAGCTCGCGCTCGATGCTCCGCCGGCTCGCGGCACCTTTCGCCTCGAGCCGCCGCCAGCGTCTCGACGGCGCACGAAGCAGGCGGCCGAGCCTTTGAGCCGGGAGCTGGCGCAGCAGGAGCCGTCGACGTCCGTCGTGACGAGCGGCGTCGGGTCGTTCAGCAGCCGCAACCCGTTCGCGGCCCTCATCGGCGCCGACCCGCACACGTCGACCAAGTCGACGTCATCCTCGTCGTCAAGCGGCGTCTATCACTACGCGGCATTGTCGGCGGCGGCGTCATCGGCATCGGGCTCGTCGAGGTCGGCGTCTCGCTCGCCCAAGGTGGACGACCTCGCGGCCATCGACGAGCTGCTCCTCGGCTATGCCTCTCGCGGCCCCAGCTCGTCGAGCGCAGCCTCGTCGGCCCTCGACACGAGCCTCGAAGCGCTCGGGCTCGACAGCCAAACCGACATGAGCTCGGCGTGGCAGGACGAGCTTTACTCGAGCCTGTCCGAGTCGTCGCCGGTCGAGGCGGCCTTCCCGCCGCGCATCCCGCGCCTGTCTTTCCAAGCGCCGTCGCCCGAGCAGCTGCGGTGCGGCACAGGCGGCGGGTCGCCGGGCTCGCCACGCCGAGCTCGCAAGACGGCGATGTCGTCGCCACGTCACCCTTTCGGTCGCTCGGCAACGGCATCATCGTCCGCCTCGCCGACCTACTCGCCGAGGCGATCGCCTCGTCGCACATCACCGCGCAAGGTGTCGCCGCGCGACAGCCCGACTCGCCCTCGCGCGCTCGTCTACACCTCGTCCACCCGGACCTCGCCTTCCCTCACCTCGCCGGCCATCGAGGCGTTCCAGCTCGCCCCGACCTCGCCCGTTCAGCCTCCTCGGTCGTCACATAAGCTCCTCCCCTTTGCCCTGCCCCTCTCGTCCCTCTCGAGCTCCTTTACCCGCCACCGCTCGTCGCCGCCTAAGCCGTCCGGGCTCGACAAAAGCGCGCGCTCGACCGCCGCCGACCGCGACTCGGCGGCTTACCGGGCTCGTCGAGCGGCGAAGGACGCCGCATGGGCAGAGCGAGATCGTGCGGCGGCCGCACGAGCAGGTCGAGCGGTCGACGGCATCAACGTCGAGGAGCTCGACCGCTTCTTCGGCGTCACGCCGAGGCGGGGCAAGGCGATCAGGGGCGGGTACGTCGATGTCGCGCTCGAGGAGGGTGTCGTCGGCGCGAGCGGGGGGCGGAGAAGAGGCGGCGAGGGAGAGGAGCAAGCCTGGAGGCGAGCCGAGGAGTTTCGGGGGCTGTTGGACGACGACGCCGAGCGTGACGCGCAGCTCGCTCGAGACGGTCGTCGCACGTCCTTTGGCGACGTCGGCAACGTCTCGAGCGACGACGAGTGCAGCGGCTTTGACGTGCGCACGCGGCGCGGTCCTCCCCCTCCCCTTTTCACCTCTTCCACCTTCTCGACCTCTTCTTCCTCCCGAGCTCGCTCGCACTCCTACGCGAGCTCGTCCTTCTCTCTCGACGACGCCGCCTCGGCGCTCGATGCACACATCAGCCTCGCCTCGCCTATCGACCTGTCGTGCACGAGCCTCCCCTCCCTCCTCCCTTCTATTTCGCCCTCACCCTTCTCTCCCATGTACCCCTCGGCCTCGCCCTCGGCCTCGCCCTCGCCCTACGGCTCGTTCGACTCGAGCAGCAGCTGGGCGAGCTCGCAGGCGTCGTTCGGCCCGCGCTCGTCGTCGCTCCCGGTCAAGGGTTAGGCCGAGTCTGGCGGGCGCAGAGAGAGCGAGGGGTGATTCAGAACTTGAAGCTCGTCCTTCTTCTTTGCGATACACCTGCATCTTATCCCTGTGTCGCCATTGTCCAAGCGAGGTTGCACAGCGAGAAATCGAGTCCGTCCTCCTCGACTTCCTCCTCGGCGCAGAGCCGAGCGAGTCCCGTCGCGAGGCGGTATCGCGCCAGGCGCCATGCTCGAGAAGCCGCATCAAGCCGTCGATCGAGCGGTACGCCGGTCCAGGAGGCACAGTATGGCGAGCTCGTGACCGACCTTCTCCTGCTCAACATCCTTCTCAGCTTAGAGTCCGGCACCAAATCCCGAGCGCTCGTCGTTCCCGGACGGCACGTCGAGTATCTGTCCGCTGACGCTGCAAGATGATGTACAGCGCGCCTCGAGAGCGATCGAGCGATAGCGAACGCGCCGAGTGCAGTCGAGCTGCGGCGCTTTGACCCTCGACTCGACGCTCGGACCGCTCGCAAAGGCCAGCGCACGGTCGCCGGACCTCTCGAGCTACACTCTGCCGAGCCCTTGAGCGAGTCTCGGACGTGCAGGAGCAGACTTGGGAGCACAGCTCGCGCAAGCAGCTCGCCTCTCGTCCTCTCGAGCTCGAGTCGGCCCTCTGTTCGCTCGCTCTCTGCTCGCGAGGCCTCGCGACTGGGCAAAAACTGTCCCAGAGCTACCTCACGGTCCAACCCGAGCTCTGTGGCAGCAGGCACAGAGGGCAGAGCAGCGAGAATGGGGGGAAGTGGCGAGCCGAGCCGGCGCGCGCGCCCTCCTCGTCCGACGTTTTTCCTCGCTCCTCGCTCGCCATCCCGCGCAAGGTGGGTGTTGTAGGGTACTCAGACGTGCAGCAGAAAATGCTCGAGACGATGGCGACCTTCCCAAGTCCAAGCGTGTCGAGGTGCGAGAGGGAGAACCGTCGGGAGGTAAACCGAATGCGTGTGGCGTGCGTTTGCAAAGTAGTACTTTCGTTTGTCGAACCACCCAGTGTCATTACCTCTCTCCTAATATCATGCTACGGGATTACCTCGAGACGTTGGGGCATGCATACCGGGCTGTAAAGAGTAATAGTGATATCAAAGCGCGATAGCTTGACCCTCGGGGTCCGAGCGGACGCTCCGAGCTTGACCCTCGAACCTTGTGTTCGAGCGGACGCCGGGGTTTGACCCTCTGGACCCGGGCGGACGCGTCGCAGCTGCTTACGCACTCCCTTCTCTTTTGTTATTTTTTGCTCTTGTGCCCTTGGGCCGAGCCGGTCGCATCGCCAAAGGACGAGGGATGAGGGAGTGAGTCGGACTCTCGGCTCGAGGTGCAGGTGGACTCGCTCCCTCTTCTCCTGGCTCCGTTCTCTCGCCTGAGCTGCTCGAGTCGAGCTCAGAGAGTGCTGCTCGACAGGTCTGCTGAGCACCCGGGGCAAACCAGGAGCAGGAGAGAGAGAGTTCCTCTCGGCAGCTGTCCACTTGAGAAGGTCCGCTCGGACCCTTGCCAAGGGCGGCCCTTGTCCTGCTCTCTCGGCTGGACTTGTGGCTCGATCGTCGTCATACAGTGCTCAGAGTGCGGTACTGGTTCAAGCACTCGAGTGTCGCGAGCGCACAAGCGACCGGCGCCTCCTCGACCTCCCTTTTCGACGCAAAGTCACGCTGGCCTTTCCGGTGCACGTCTGCGGAGGCGAGGCCATCGTCGAGTACTCGTTTCGTTCGGTCGATCGAGCCTTACACCGTCGAGGAAGAGCGAGGTTGCACAGCGAGAAATCGAGTCCGTCCTCCTCGCGCTCGACTCGGTCCGAGGGTACTGCTGGATTTCATTGCGAGGAGAGTCTATGCAAAGGGAGAGATGCGGAAAGGCCCTCACAAATCCTCGTCGTAGTCGTCGAGCAGCTCGGCGTCGAGTGCGTCGTCGAGACGCAGGTTCCGGTACCCGCCGCGCCGGTTCTGCCGCAGGTGGTCGCGGATCCAGGGCAGCTCGCGCGCCTTCTCGAGGAGCGCGCCGGCCATGCCGACGACGAAGTAGGGCACCGACGCGAGGAAGTCGACGACGGCCGACGAGCGCGTCGCCTCGCCCGGGTCGGACAGGCGGATGCGGCCCTTGCCGCCGCCGCCGGTGCGTCTGCGGGTCCACCAGATGGCGGCGAGGGCGGCGATGCCGAAAGGGAGGACCGCGATCGTCGCCCAGAAGAAGCCGCTGCGGGCCGTGTGGCCGGGGCAGACGTGCCGCGAGCCCTGGTCGAGCTGCAGGCCGCCCTCACACTTCGAGTGCGGGATCTTGCGCATGTTGGTGCGCTCGTACCAGAACGGCTCGTTGACGGGGCACGTCTTGTCGGCCTCGAGCGGCTCGGCGCCCTCGACGAGGACGCACTTGCCGCGGCTGTCGCGCTTGTAGTTGTACTCGCTGCCCAAGGAGAGACGCAAAGAGAGTGAGTTCGACGAGTCGGACACATGCAAGAGCACGCGAGGAGGAAGAGAGAGAGAGAGGACGCACCACTCAAAGTCGTCCTCGCTGCAGGCGCAGTACTTGACGATCTTGGCCGGCTGCGGAAGCTGCTCGCCGATGAAGCAGTTGCGGTCGCGGATCCGACGATGGTACATGGCCTGCAAGAGGTCGAGGGTCAGTACGGGAGAGAGAGAAGGACAAGGAAGAGGAGGCGAGAGGGGACGCACCTGCATGCCGAAGAGACAGGGCTCGTCGCGGACCTCGGACGGCGACCACAGCTCAAAGTCGTCGCTCGACGGGTCGCTCAGGTCGAGCTTGCACTTGACGTTGGTGACGGACGAGAAGTCGAGGTGGATGGCGACGGTCGACTCGGGCCGGTCGACCTTGGTGCCGAACAGGATGAACTTGCGGCTCGTGTCTTGCGGGACCGTGACGATCGAGCGAACCCGGATCGACTCGCCGAACGAGTAGTCTTGCCACGACAGGCCCTCGTTGAGCGTGAACGTGACGTGGTCGGTCGGCTCCTCGTCGTTGGCGAGCAGGAGGATCGAGCCGGCGTCGCCGTACTCCCACATGTGCGCGTCCTTGTGGACCTCCTCCCACGAGAAGCCGCCATCGCGCGTGAGGAACGTGTCCGAGTCGGTGTAGCCGACGAGCGACTCGCCGACGTTGCCGACCGCGAGCATGAGGCCGACGGCCGAGGTCGACGAGTAGGTCGCACGAGGGTCGCGACGCTCGGTGTAGCCGTGGATGTGCAGGGCACAGTTCTGCACAGAGAGGAGGTCGTGTCAGGACAAGTCGGACGTAGAGAGGGCGGCGAGAGATAGAGAGAGTGAGAGAGAGAGGAGGACGCACGGTCCCTCGGCAGTCGTACGAGCGGCCGAGCGAGTCCGACTTGGGCGGGACGAGCGGCTTCCACTTGCCGCCGTCGTTGTGCGTGATGCGCGTCTGGAGCTTCTTGTTGCTGCTGAGGGCGGCCTCGTCCGGGTTCGAGACGACGTTGATGACGGCGATGCCGTCGAGGCCGATCATCTTCTCAAAGTCGACAAAGCCCTTGCCGTTGCGGTTGACGTACTCGATCGACGGGTTGTAGTAGGTGCCGTTCGAGTTCGACTTGAAGAGCGTGCCCCACTCGCTGCCGACGTTGGGGTGGGTCGTGACGTGGAGGAAGATGGCGTCGGTCGTCGACTCGAGGACGGTGTAGGCCTGTCGAGGGTGCGCAACAGCGTCAGGTACGGCTCGAGTGAGGCGCGAGAGAGTGGGCGCGAGGACGCACCTGGTTCTCGAGCTGCATGTTGGGCGGGAACCGGGCGAGCGCGAACGTCTTGCCGTCGAGCGACACCTTGAGCCCGATAGCGCGCGAGTTTTCCGAGACCTGCAGGGCGCTCGTCGAGTCGGTCAGAGAGGGCTCGAGGACGAGAGGAGAGAGAGAGAAAGAGAGAGTGGGCCGCACCTCGGCGACGACCATGTACTCCTCGAACGTGGCGAACCCGACGATGTTGTCGAACAGGACCTTCTTGTTCGAGTAGAAGTAGTCGCCGGCGACGAGCCGAAGCGGGTTGTTGTTCTGGTACACGGCGCGCTGCGAGCCCTTCTTGTCGCGGTAGCTCTCGCAGAAGATGACCTTCTCGTCGATGCGCAGCTTCTTGTCGCGGCCCCAGCTGCACACGCGCACGTACTCGTCGAGCTTGCTCCAGTTGCGCCCGTTGTCCTTGGTCATGTAGGCGGCGGCGCGGCACGACGACGAGTCCGAGTCGCCGCAGTCGAGCTGACCGGTCCAGATGAGCCAGTCGGACCGCAGAGGGTGGAAGTCGAGGAGCGGGATCCCGAGCCCGTTCGGGTCGGCCGGGGCCGTGAACTTGTTCCAGGTCGTGCCCTTGTCGGTCGTGTAGTGGACGGTGCGCGACTCGGTGATGAGGTAGGCCCGGTCGCGAGCGTAGTTGTGCATGGTCATGGCGACGATGTGGGCGCCGTTGACGACCTCGTGCCACGAAAAGCCCTCGTTGTTCGACTGCCACACGCGGTTCTTGTTCGTGAAGGCGAGGATCGTGTGCGACTTCTCGAAGTAGGCGTGGTCGATCACGTAGCCGGGGAACGTGAACTGCGCGAGGGAGGGGCAGAGTCAGTCCCGCTCTTTCTCACTCACTCATGGTACCACGAGGAGGAAGGGGGAGGGGGAAAGGGAGGACGTACCGACTGGTGCGAGACCAAGCCCGGCGTCTCCTTGCCGGCCGAGCACGGCTTCTCCTTGGGCGCGTCCTTCTTGATGCCGCGCTTGACGTCGCACGTGTTGCCCGGGATGAGGCGGTACCCGCTCGAGCCCTTGAACTTGTCGCCGTCGCGCAGGCACTGGCCGGGCGGGATCGTCTCGGGCCCGACAGGGACGCAGTTGCCCGAGTCGTCGGGCGCAAAGTTGTAGTCGCTGCGGCAGGGGGAACGAGGCAGGATCAGTGGCTGCGCTCGAAGGAAGGAGAGGGAATAGAAGGAGGGGGCGCAGACGCACCACTCGTAGTCCTCGTCCTCGCAGGCGCAGTTCTCCATGCGGGCGACCGGGTCCTTCCACTTCTCGCCGACGACGCAGTCGGCGTCCTGCTTGCGGCGCATGTAGTATTGCTGTGCGGGCGAGAGGTGTCAGTCGTCCGTCGCGAGGACGAGGGAGAGAGGGCGAGGGAGAGGTCGGACGCACTTTGTGGCCCATGAGGCAGTCGGGCTGGCCGCCGATCGTGCGGGCGTACCACTTCTCGAGGTCCTTGTCGCCGCACTTGCGCTTGTTGAGGCTCGCAAAGTCGATGTGGACGACGATGTGGCGCTCGCCCTTGGAGCCCTTCTTGTCCGAGCGGCGCGTGAGGGTGCCGAGCAGGATGAACTTGAGCGAGGTCGAGTCGGGGACGGTCGTGAGGAGGCGAGCGCGCAGCTTGACGCCGAGGTCGAACTCCTTCCTGCGAGCGAGGTACACCTGCGTCAGGACGAGCGCCGACGAGGGAGACAGGGAGGAAGAGAGGCAAGAGACGGACCAGGTCTTGCCGTAGTCGAACGAGTACTGGATGACGTCGGTCGGCTCCTCGTCCTCGACCATGAGGAGGACGCTGCCCTGGTCGCCCCACTCGTACTTCTTGGCGCCGTCGTCGGCCATCCTCCACGACAGGCCGGCGTCGGTCGAGATGAACGTGTCGCACTCGTCGTACGGCAGGAGGCGGTCGCCGACGGTCCCGACGCCCATGACGAGCCCGGGCGCGGTCGACGAGAAGACGCGGCCGTAGTTGTGCGGCTGGGTGACCGAGTGGAGGTGGAGCGAGCAGGTTTCCTGCGCGGGAGAGCAAGAGTCAGCACGAGGCGACGAGGCGACGACGGTGACGAGGACTCGGCGACGCACGACGTCGCTCACGTCGCAGCCGACCTTGCGGCCCTCGTTGTCGGACGACGGCGCCTTGATGAGGCTCCAGTGCCCACCTGCAGGATCGGGGAGAGGCGTCAGGGACGAGGCTCGTGCGGCAAGCTCGAGCCGCTGAACGAGAGAAAGAGAGAGGTGCTCACCGTCGTCGAACGTGATGCGTGTCTTGAGCTCCTTGTCGTGACCCGCCTCGACGGCGTCGACGTTCATGACCGTGTTGATGATGGCGACGCCCTCGACGCCGACGATCTTCTCAAAGTCGACGATGCCGTTCTTGTTGCGGTTCGTGTTCTCGAGGCTGCGCACAAAGTAGGTGCCGTTCGAGTTGCTCGTGAAGAGGGTGCCGGCGGCGGCCGAGGGCGACGAGTTGACGTCGACGAGGATCGAGTGCTCGGTGCTCTCGACGATCGTGTAGGCGTTCTCGCGCAGGCCGTGCCCGTGCGGGAACTGGGCGCGGGACCACGTCTTGCCGTCCTCGGACACGTACAGGACCATCTCGCCGGCGCCGCCGGCGCCGCCCGAGCCGCCGTCCGACGAGGGCGGCTTGAGCGCCGTGACGAGGTACTTCTGGACGCCGCCGATGCCGACGACGCCGCGCGCCTCGCGCCCGATGCCGAGGTCGACGTAGGTGCGGTCGGCGGCGAAAAAGTCGGTCGACGAGTACAGGCGCGACTCCTTGAGGGTGCGGGGCGTGCTGCCGAGGAGCGACGACAGGGCGTCCTTGAGCGACGAGCCCGACGGGGCATCGGCCGCCTGCGACGAGGGAGGCTCGTACGCGGCGCAGAAGATGAGCTCGTCGGCGACGTTGGCGGCGAGCTCCTTCTTGTCGTGCGCAAAAATGCAGCGCGACGTGTAGGCGAGGAGCGGCTTGGGCGACGAGGCGAACGCGTCCTTGGTGTAGAAGGTCTGCGCGAGAGAAGGGGGTCGTCAGGGAGTGTCGCGCTGAGTGCGCGCTCGTCGACGAGGGTGCTGACACGAGGAGAAAGGCGGCCGGACGCACCTCATCGTGGCAAACGCGTCCCTGCCACCCGCCGACATCGTCGCACACCTGGCCCGTGAAGAGGATCCAGTCCCACTTGCGGGCGTGGAACGAGAGCGTGTTGGGCGAGAGCGAGGGCGCGAGCGCGGTCGAGAACGACTGCCACGACTCGCCGCGGTTCATCGAGCGGTAGTGCGTCGTGCCCGCCGTGAGGACGAGCGCCTGTGGAAGGGCCTCGTGTCAGTATCACCCTCAAGCTGCTCGAGAGCTCGCTGCGGCGAGTAGACGCCGTGCTGGCTCAGGAGATTGAAAGGAACCGGCGACGCACAATCTTGGTGTCGTACGGGTGCTCGAACAGCATGTAGGACTCGCCGTGCGGCACGCCGTCGATGATCTTCCAGTCCTTGCCCTCGTCGCCCGAGCGCCAGATGTTGCGCCCGACCTGGTCGTGGTAGAGGACGACCTGCGAGTGGGGGAAAGTGGCGGGAGGGGCGGGAGGAGGGGAGCAAGTTCAGTGCGTGCTCGTCTGCTGGCGGGTTGATGGTGGTCTCGAGTCGCCGAGAGCAGACACGGTGGTCCTGCAGCTCTGGCGGTGGGAGGTGAAGCGCTCGTGGACCATCCTGCGAGCCGCGCCTCGTCCAGTGCTCGTCTTGCGCTCCAAGCTCGACGTGCAGCTCTGCGCCTCGCCTGTACCGTCCTCGCACCTCGACACGCTCTGCCCCACACGTGCAACGCGAACGGGCGGTGCCACACGCTCGACTCGAGTCGGTCGCGTGTCGGGTCGCTCATCTCGGGAGAGGTGTCGCCGGCTCGAGGGAAGGGGACGCACGGGCGAGTCGTCAAAGTACATGATGCGCGAGGGGAGGTTGTCGAACAAGGTGTGGGCGAGTTGGGGCTTGTCGCCATCGGACGCGGCGAGGGCGGTGGTGGGGAGGAGGAGGACGAGGGCGAGGAGCGAGGCGAGGGCGAGCATGGCGAGCCGTGCTGCCGAGCCAACGAGGGCGGGTGGTCGTGACCGCATCGGGACGGTGCGCTGCTCAGGTGCCGTTGAGCGAGTGCGTGAGGTGTGAGGAGGAGAGCGAGAGGCTGGCGCGTCGTCGTGCAGGCTCAGGGGAGGGGCGACAAAGACGGATGCGATCAGAACTCGGCCGCCTCCGTCGCCTGCTCCTCCTCCTCTTCTCCGTCACTCGCTCGCTTTTCTCGTGAGTCCCCTCTCTCACGACCGCCCTCGTGGGCCGTGATGACACCCACCCAGTGCATGGCTTTCGTAACCGGCCACCCAGTCCGCTCATTCAGTTGAGACTCGGCCGTCGTCGCAGCTCGAGCGAGACCAGCTCGTTCCTCGGAGCAGCCCTCGCTCGTCCAGCGGCGGCGGCTGGGGGACGCCCGGCCTTGACGATCCAAAACTTTAGACAAGCATATGCCTGAGCCCACCGCAGCAGCCACCGAGCGCGACCAGGACCGTTCACTCACCTCGAGAACCTTTTCCCCCCTTTCCCTCGCGACAGATCCTCGTCCAGCCGCACACTCGGCGCGCCGATCAAGTCCGCCACCTACACCTGCTGTACCGTGCGCTGCGCTCAAGGCCGCACAACTGCGCTTCGCTGTCGTCGGCGCCAACCTCGCCTCCTCATCCTCTTGTGCGTCCCCTCTCCCTCCCTCCCTCCCCGCGCATCCCAGCCACCCCCTCGTCAACCTCGCCCGGTCCATGACGATACAACAATCATTAGCATGTTAGACTGCGAAGCGTTCCTCCGTGACTCTGTCCGGGCTCGCGCTGCCGAAACACAATTCACACTGCCTGAGACCACTCGACGGCGACGAGGGCATGCTCGGGATGCGCAACACCATCACGCACGCAGCGACAGTCACTGACTCGTCCTCTTGCCCCCCGAAACAGGTCTCGTGCCCCTGCGCTCCTCTCGCCGGTCGCAGACCTCGCGTCGCCCGACCTGACCTGCTCTCGCTCTGCTCGTTCTCGACCCGCCCGCCTCGACGTCGCACTCTTCAAGCCCAGCTCGTCTCGCTCGTTGTGCGTCCCACTTTCCTCCCCTCCCCTCCCCTTCCCTCCTCGCCGGCCCGAGATTAGAACAAACCGTATCGATACTTCGAGACCTTCGTCCGGCACAGTCCGCGACGAGGGAATGCCGATGCAACCGTTAGCACGTCAGTATGAGGTTGCACGAGCGAGAGACGAGCAGCGCCGAGCGCGAAGAGGATCAAGCACTGACCTCGCCTCTCCACTTCGCGCAGGCTCTCTCCCTCTCTCTCTCTACCCTCGCGCATGTGTAGCCCTTCCTTCTCCTTGCACAATACACGTCTTTCTCAAAGTTTCCCTTTCTGCCCGAGACCTGCTCGTCCGCGTCGACCGCGAGCCTCTTCCTGCCCGAGAGCGTGCAACTTGAGAAGGCGACTGTGGTCGTGGCCTCTCTGCTTCCTTTCGAGGGTCGAAGCTGCTCTGCGTGGCGTAGCGAGTCGTGCAGAGAGTCTGGAGAGCGGCACGAGAGAGCGTCTCGGAAGCTCGTGCGCGTGTCGAGCGTCCAGAAGAAGCTCTCGACCACGCGCTCCAGACTCTCTCGCTAGCGGGCCGGACGACGAGAGAACCACGGCAAGCAAGACAGATTGCGACTCGAAAAAGTGCACAGAGCACCTCAGTACCCTCCTTCGGCCCCGGCGAACCCGCCGTCGGCTCCCGCAAACCCGCCCGGACCCTCACCCTGCCCCGCCTCACCGTCCCTCTCTCCCGCGCCCTCGTACCCGCCCATGCCCGTCCCTCCCTGCTGCCCTTCCGCCGTCCCACCGCCTCCCGCCCCGAACGCCATCATGGCGCTCGGCGCGCACAGCGACATGATCTCCTCCATCGTCGGCGGCGTCGGCCGGCCGACAAAGAACGGGTGCGCCGACCGCAGCGCGTACACGAACGTCGACCACGAGTGCGCCGAGGTCGCGTCGAACGTGCTCGGGTCGAACGAGGACGACGGCGCGGCGCTCGAGGTCGGCGCGGGCGAGGGGGTCGGTGCGGCACGGGAGGGAGCGGCGACAGGGACAGGAGCAGCGGGCGAGGCGTAGGGCGACGTCGACGGGTGCGAGGGCGAGTGCTGCTGCGGAGGAGGGGGCGGTCGAGCGGCGTGCTGCTGCTGCTGTTGCTGCTGGGGCGGCGCGGGCTGAAAGGGTCGCTTGGCCGGCGGGCCGTCGTGCTGGTTGCTGTAGCCGTGCTGGGCCTCGTCGTACGAGCGCGTGTACCCTCGCGGGCTGTCGTACGACGCCGGCTGCCGCGCCTGGTACTGCTGCTGCTGCTGCGGCGGCGGCGGCGGACCGTGCCCGGGCCGCTGGCCGAACCCTGCGCCGTTCGACGGCGCGACGTGCTGCGGCGGCGGCGGCGGTGCGGCCTGCCCGTTGAGCCCGCCGGCGATCTGCTGCAGGGCGGCGAGCTGAGACGCGTCGAGGGCGAGGTGTGGGACGGTCGAGGAGGAAGGGTTGGACGCGAGCGGGGCGGTGCTGTAGGTCGGCGCAGGGCCGGGGTAGGACGATGCGGCGTACGAGGTCGATGCAGGGTAGGACGATCGAGGTGGTGGGCCCGATCTGCAGGTGAGGGAGTTGGGCACGTCAAGATGGGGCAAAACGAGAAGATGGAACAGGAGGACAAGGGACGCACCCGTACGCCGTGCTCGACACGCTCTTGCCACCCATCTGCGCCTCCCTCAGGACACGCTCGACCTCGGCCTGCATCTCCTCCTGCCGCTTCTGCTCGATGGCGGCCTGGCTCAGCGGCGCCTCGGTCGACGCCTGCAGGAGCGCGAGCACGTTGGCCGGGATGGTGCTGCCGCCGGTCACGCTCGCGGTCGACGCGGCCGGCTTGGCCTCGGGCGGCGGCGAGAGGTCTGCGACGAGGGAGGGCGAGGAAGGCGGGCGCAAGCTTCAGTACACGCTCTGTCTCGGGTTCTCGGGGTCGTGCTGGTCGACCGGGCGCGAGAGAAGGGTATACGGCTGCATTGCGGCTTGCGAGCTGGCCAAAGTCGCTACAGACCGACGAGAAGGCGCTGGCCCTCGGGCGTGCGTGTCGCGCGAGCACGAAGTGCAGGTCGACCGGCTGCGGGAACCGCCGCCGACGCACGGGCCGCGAAATCGCTCGACCGTGATGGACAGAACGGGAGAGAGAGGGGGGCGCACCTGGGCTGAGAGAAGGTCGAGCAGGAGAAGCGACGCGAGCCGTCTTTGTCGAGGTCGAGGTCGAGGACGAGCCGGCGGCGAGGAGCTTCTGGCTGACGCGCGCCATGGCGGACGGGCTGAACGTCGCCGCCTTGGTCCAGATGTCGAGGACCTTGCGGACCTTTTCCTGCACGCGCGGAAAGGGGTAGTCAGCTTCTGGCGGGCGCAAAGAGGAGAAGGAGAGGAAAGGGAGGGAGCTCACCCGGTGCTCGGGAAGGCCGTTCTCCCAGTTGTCGAGGACAAACTTGGCGAGCATGCCGGCTTCGAGGATCTTGAGAAAGCTGGCGTAGGTGCCGCTGCCGGCGCTTGCGGCTGCTGGAGCGGGCGAGGCTGCGGCTGGCGGGCTGAGGGTGGGGGTGGTGGACCCGGCGGCCGCGGTCGTCGGCGATTGCGCTGGGCCCTCGCGCGCCTTGCCCTTGGCCTCGCGGTCGATCTTCTTTTGCCGAGAGCGGGCTTCTCGCGCGATGCCGTCGACGAGGTACAGCGACGTGAGCTTGTTGGCGGCCGAGGCTTTTTTGTGGTGCTTGTACAGGATCGAGATGATGCGCGAGTCGTTCTGCAGGTCCATAGGAATGTCAGTGAGGTCCTCGAAAGGTACGGACAGGCCTGGCGCACCTGGATGTTGTGGATGGCCGCGTCGACGACACCTTGGAGGAGCGACGACGAGAGCTTGCCCTTGGTCGTCAGGCCCTTGACTTGGCGGTCGAAGTCCTGCGGGTGGCGGGTCAGCAAGGTCCACTGAGGAGGACCAGACCACCAGGACGTACCTCGAGCGAGGCCATGGCGGACAGGGGAGCGGTTGGAGGGAGAGCGTCTGTTCGCACCGTCTCGCCCTCTGCCCTTCGCTCCACCTGCACAGACGGTCTATGCAACTCGAGCAAGTCGGTCTCGAGCTCTGTAGCTTCCTGATAGAGGCGCGAGTGCGATCCCAGCGGCGGTGCTTTTCTCCCTCGTCCTCCTCCCCCGCTCACCTCCCTTCCTGCTCGCCTGGGCGGCTCCCTCTGCCCGCCGAGGTCGATCTTGTCTGCTCGCAAAGACGCTCTCGATACGAAGTCGCCTCGCCCTGATTCCTGCTTCGCTCGGCCTAAGGTTTCGCTTTCGCTCTCGCTCTCGCTCTCGCTCTCGCCCGGTCCTGTTCCTCGTTCTAACGGACCACGCTCGCGCTCAACGCTTGGTCATTGCGCTCGTCTACATCTTCTGGAAGCGCTCTGCGAGTCGCATGAGCTCGGCATCTCGGCCAGCTGGCGCAATGAAAGTGAGGCCGAACGGCATCTCGTTCCCGCTTGGGTTCGTCCACGTTCCTGCCGGGACTGAGATGGCGCACAGGCTGCGTGGACAAGGGCACGACGACGTCGTCAGGTCGAGTCGCTCGGCGGAGAGAGAAAGAAAGAGAGAGAGAGAGGCGGACGCACTCGACGAGGTTGACAAAGTGAGTGAACGAGCCGAGGATCTTGTTGCGGCCGAGCGGGTCCTCGTCGACCTCGGCGACCTTCCAGTGCGTGACCGTGCTCGGGACGACGAGGACGTCGGCCTTCTCGAACTCGAGCTCGACGCGGCGCTTGTACGACGCAAGGAGGAACAGATCCTGGTAGGCGCGCACGGCCGAGAAGCCGGACGAGGCGGCAAAGATGGACGCGACGACAGGGTGCATCGTCGAGGTACCGTGGGCCGTCAGGTAGTCGTCAAAGGCGACGAGCCGTTGGGCGACGATCGAGCTGCAGGAGGGACGACGGTGAGCTCGAGTCTACTTGAGAAGGTCGAGACGCTCCGAGAGGACGAGGGGCGCACCTGCCGTAGAGCATGTTGTTCGCCTGCTCGAAAGGCTCGTAGTTGAACCCTTCGGCATTGACGAGTCCTCCTCGCGCGAGCTTGTCGACCGCCTGCTTGTACAGCTGGGCGTACGGCGCCGAGAGCACCTCGAGGAGCTCGGCCGGCGGCGTCGCAAACTTGATGCCCTCGCTCCGCCACGGCGCCAGGCCCGACGTGAGCTTGTCGTACGGCCGGGCGAGCGAGTCGTTCGGGTCGAACGCGCGCAGGACGTCGTACACTTGCCGCGCGTCGTCGACCGTCGGCGCGAGGACCGTCACGCAGTCGGCCGTCTTGCACGCCGGGACGAGGCCGACGGTCGAGATGCTGTACAGGGTCGGCTTTAGGCCGACGACGCCGTTGAACGAGGCGGGAACGCGGGTCGAGCCGGCCGTGTCGGTGCCGATCGAGCTGCGGACGAGAAATGGGAGGCGACGAGGGTCAGGCGCGTTCTCCTTGCCAGGGCGTGCTCTCGTCTCAGCAGGAAGATGGGAGGAAGGCCAGTGACGTACAAAGAGACGAGCTTGGCGCCGACCGAGACGGCCGACCCGGACGAGCTGCCGCCCGAGATGTACTCCTTGTCGAACACGGAGCGCGGTGTGCCGTACGGGCTGCGGTGGCCGACCAGTCCCTGCAGAGAGTGAGCCGTGAGCCATCGTGCGCGAGAGAGAGGCAGGGAGAGGGTAGGAGAAGGAGAAAATGGGCGCACAGTCGCAAATTGGTCGAGATTGGTGGTCCCGACGAGGATGGCGCCGGCGTCGAGAGCCCGCTGAACCGCCGGCGCCGTCTTCTCGGCGACGTACGCAAAGTCGGGACAGGCCAACGTCGTCTTGAACCCGGCGACGTCGATGCTGTTCTTGACGCTCATCGGGACGCCAAACAGCGCCGGCTTGTCCTTGCCGTCGTGCGCGCGCTCGAGCTCGGCGGCGCGCTCGAGGAGCGTGTCGAGCGGGACAACGTCGATCCACACGGCCGGGTCGACGTCGGCGGCGTAGGCGGTGAGCCGCTCGTGGACGGCGCGGACGACCTCGGTCGGGGTGGTGGCGCCCGAGGCGTAGGCGGCGTGGAGCGCAGAGATGACGAGCGAGCCGTCCCAGGGCATGTCGTGCGAGTGCGCGCTGCGCGAGAGAGTGCAGGGGAGAAGAGGAGGGAGGAAGATAAGGCGGGTGGGGAACGACCGCGTCTCCGCTTCGAGCGCTCGACCGCGCCGGCCGAGATTCGTCACGTGACAACGATGAAGCCGCGGACCGACGGCGAGGTAGGACAGGTTGACGCCGTGTCGAGGAGAGGCGCGAGACGTAGGCGAGGTGCATGGGCCTGGAGGCTGAGAGAAGGGTGAGTCTGAGGGTCCGAGCGGGAGCTCGTCGAGCCGATCCACCGCCGCCGCCTCTCGCCGCAGAACGCGCACGCCCGGGAAAGCGCTCTGAACGGCTCATTACACTCTGAGACGCGCAGGGCTAGTACTCCTCGGCGAGGGCGAAGAACTCCTTGGCGATGCGGTCCTGCGCCTGCTCGCCCGTCTCGCCCTCCGAGTCGGCGATGGCGCGCACGACAAAGAAGTGGTGGCCCATGAGGTCTTGCGGCTCGAAGGCTGCGCCGCCCTTGCCTGCGTACCGAGTCTCGGTGTCAGTGCCGGCCCCTCGAACGCGCGACGAGAGCCGCAAAGAGACTGAGTGAGCGTGGGACGGACCGTAGACCTTGCCTCCCGCCTCGCGCGCGATGATGGTGCCGGCGCACACGTCCCATGACCAGCACCCAATCTCCCAGTACAAGTCGAGCTGCCCGGCGGCCGTCATCGAGTAGTTGAGCGCCGCAGAGCTGTCGCGATGGGGAGGTCCGAGTCAGTCTCGGTGCGGGGCGTGGCCGCGAGGGAGCCTGCCCAGCCGCAGCTGCTCGTGCAACTCGGAAAGAAGGGAGAGAGAGGAGAACGTACCCAATGCTGCGCAGCGAGTGCGCCATGACGCCGCCCTCGACCTCCTTGCCGTCGCCCGCGAGCCGCATGAACGTCCTCCCCTTCTTCTCGATCACGTTCTTGGACCGGTCCGAGCCCCACTCGACGCCGATGATGGCGTCGCCGAGCGAGGGCAGGGGCGCAGGGTGCGGGTGCGTGAGCGGGAGGCGCGTCGTCTCGTTGAGCCAGGCGCCGTGACCCTCGCGCGCCGAGTAGAGCTTGTTGAGGAACGGGTTGAAGATGACACTGCGCGAAGACACAGAGGTGAGAGTCAGGGCACGTTCACGAGCGCGACACTCGGCCGGCCAAGCTTGAAGGAGTAGGGACAGGCTCGGCGTCTCACCCGATGACGGGGACCTGCTTGTACGTGAAGCCGATGCTGCAGCAGACCTGTGAGCGAGAGTGAGTGTCAGTTTGGCGGGAGGGCGAGGGCGAGCGGCGCACTGGCACACAAAGTCGAGACCGTGAACCTGTCGGAATGCACAGGGTCAGTCTGCGAACGTCTCGAGGACAGGATGGGTGTGCGGCAGTCGGGACGCACAAAGTTCGAGGTGCCGTCGACCGGATCGACGATAAAGGTCGGCTCGTCGGTGAGCGAGACGCGCTCGCCGCCGGCAAAGCTCTCCTCGCCGATGAACTTGAACGACGGGTAGGTCGACGCGATCTGGTCCTTGATGAAGGCCTCGACGGCCTGGTCCGTCTCGGTGACGACTGCGGTGACGAGGAAGCTGTGGGTCAGGCTGCGTGTCCTGCTCGAGGAAGGCGACGTCCGAAGTGGGGGGAAGGAGGAGGAGGAGGGAGGTCGGGACGGTTTCGAGGGGTCGCGCGAGCCGTACCCGCCTCGAGGCTGAGCAGAAGGGACAGAGCTCACGGTCGACGCGGTTCTTCTTGGCGTCGACGCCCGAGGTAGCGTCGGCGGACGAGGTGCGCTTGGCCGAGCCGGCGAGGATCATGGCGCCGGCGTCCTTTGCGAGCTGGAGGGTGAAGGCGTACACGGCCTCGAGATCGAGCGAGTCGGCGGGCATGCTGGCTGGTGGTCTCGAGCGAGTGGAGACAAGAGTTGAAGGAGGAGGAGGACGAGGGCGACGCGACGAGGGCCCGGCTCGCTCTCGTCTCTCCCACTCGCCCTTGGCCAAGCGTGCACGGGCTGCAGCTGTCGAGAGGCCTTCTGGGACTCTCCCGAAACCGGTCCCAGCCTCGTCCACCTCGCCGTCGCTGTCCTGCTCGACCAACGCGTCCTCATCAGCGCGTCAATGCCTCGAGCGCAACCGGGCAACCCCGACTGGGCCGAGTGGGTCGACGAGCTCGCCAGACGCGCAGAAGAACGAGGCGAGAAGTCGGCGCAGACCTACAAGCGGGTGCGTCGCTCGATCCCCTCCCTGTTGGCCTCGCCCTCACTCCTTGCTCCCTCGTCGACAGGCCGCGTCTTCCCTGCACAGCTGCCCGATCCCGTTCGCGCACCCTGAAGATGCCCTCCAGCTCAAGGGCGTCGGCCCCAAGATCGTCGACTTCCTCGTCGGCAAGATGCGCGACAAGTGCGACAAGGAGGGCTTGCCCATGCCCGACCGCCGTGCGTCCTTGCGTCCCCTGCCCTGTTCCTCCTTCCGCCAGTCGGCTAACCTGTCCCCGCCACACAGTCGCCTCGTCAGCAGCTCGTCCTCGCAAGGCCCCCGCCAAGAAGAAGCGCACGACCGCCGACGGTCCCGCCTCGGACGAGGTCGACCCGCGCGACGCCCGTCGCCAGCGCACGACCCAGCTCGACCTCGACGCGCCCCGCATCGAGTTCCAGGCGCACCCGGACGGCCACGCGTGGAACGAGCCGCTGCCCGAGGACGACGAGCCCGCGCCGCGAGCCAAGGGCAAGGGCAAGGCCAAGGAGAAGGCGCCCGCCAAGCCGCGCGAGTACCTCCCGCGCCAGAACAGCGGCGCGTACGCCATCACGCTCGCCCTGTACCTGTGCTGCTCGGCCGACGAGCCCGAGTCGTGGACGACCAAGGGCCGCATCATCGAGGTCGGCCAGGAGCACTCGGCGACGCCGTTCGGGCAGGGCACGGCCAACCGCGGCGGGCAGGCCCAAGGCGGCCAGAGCTACACGTACACGGCGTGGAGTGGCATGAAGAACCGTGCGTCCTCGTCTCCCTTTCACGAGGGCTCGTTCGGCGCGTTCCCCATACTGACCCGCCTTCCGCCGCGCAGTGCTCGACAAGGGCATAGTCGTCACCGACAACAAGCGGCCCGCCAAGTACGCCCTCACCTCGACCGGCTACGCTCTCGCCGAGAAGCTCGCCCCCTTGGCCGGCATCCCGCTCCACGTCCGCCTCCCGACCTCGTCTGCCGGCCACCCTTCCTCCTCCGGCGCCGGGCCGTCGACCTCGACCTCGGCCGCCTTCCGCGGTCGCGGCAACGTCCTCGGTGGCACGTCGACCGGCCATCGACCCGCCGCACATGTCGGCACGTCGATTCACGCCGCCGCTCGCCGACGGGCCTCGTCGCCGATCTTTGCCTTCTCGGACGACGCCGACGCGGCAGGCGGTGGCACCGACGACGACGACGAGTTCCGGGTGCAGATGCGCAAGGCGATGGAGCTGAGCAGGCGGGAGAGCGCGGGCTTGTCGTCGGATCCGGCCGTCGGCGGCGGCGGCGGCGGCGGCGGCGGCGACGAGCGCGAGAGGGCTCGGCGCGCGCTCGACGGGAGGAAAGCGGCGAGTGGGGCATATGCGGCGCAGGCGACGGCGAGGCGGGATGCGCCCGGGCTCAAGAACGTCGGTGCGTCGACCCTTTCTTCCCTCTGCCTCGAGCCGAGCGCCGAGCTCACGTCCAGCTCGCCTTTACAGACAACGCATTCGGCTACTTCTACCTCAACGAGGGTGCGTCCCTATCTTCTCTGCTTCGGCCGCGGCCCGGACGACCTGACAGTCTGCCCCCCACAGCCGACGAGCGCGTCCTCTCTCGAGACGACGCCGAGGTGTCGCAGACCGACGACGGCGCAGACCTCCTGTACCGCATCGAGTACCGCCTCGCGCAAGACCTACACCCGATCGTGCGCGGCCTGCAGCGCCCCGAGCCCATCTCGCGCACGGTCCCGCTCCCCGGCGGGTCGACCAGGACGGCCTACATGCGCGCCCGCGTGTCGAACCAGACGGCGCCGGGCTTCCCCAAGGTCACGTCGGCTGGTGCTGCATCATCGAGGGCCGACAAGCGCGACGAGCGCCCGCTCGACCCGATGGCGAGCCTCCTCGGCGGGTACCAGGCGCCGAGCAAGAAGGGCAAGGACGCCATGTACGCGCCGCCGCCCGACGTTCGACGTCTTGGCGCCGACCCCGACGCTCCGCAGGCTCAGCCGCAGCGTGGGGCGGGCAACGTGCTCGACGTCCTCGCCCGCTTCAACGCCAAGGGCGGCGCGGCGGGTCCACCTCCCGCAGCCGCCAAAGCTGCGTCATCGCCTTTCCGCCCCGCCGGCAGCACTCGAACCGTCGACGACGCCGAGCCCGACGAGCCGAGTCCACCCAAGCGCCTGCGCCACACCGCCTCGACCATCCTCGCCGCCGCACCCTCGGCTCGGGCGCCTACCTCGACCACCGTCCCGCTCCGAGCCGGGTTCGCCGGCGCCGCCGGGGCGCATCAGCTCGTCAATCGGCACCCGCTCGACCCGGTGCGCGACCACGTCGCGCCGGCGTCGTACCGGTTCGAGCCGTTCACGCCCATCGTCTGGCCCGCCGGGTCGTTCAAGGTGTACCTCGTCGTCGACTCGCGCGAGGGCACTCGCGAGCACGGCAAGCGTGTCGAGCTGTGCGACAAGTTTGAGCGCGAGGGCGTCAACGTGCAAGGGCGGATGCTTCCCCTCGGCGACATGCTGTGGGTCGCGAGGCGCGTCGACCCGGTGACGGGGCGGCCGACGGGCGTCGACGACGTCGTACTCGACGCGATTGTCGAGCGCAAGCGCCTCGACGACTTGTGCAGCTCGATCCTCGACGGGCGGTACGTCGGGCAAAAGGTGCGTCGCGCTCGTTCCCATTTTCTTCTCTCCTCTCTTCCGCCGTCGAGCCTGACTGCCTCGCGTCCCTCCAGTTCCGCCTCAAGGACTCGGGCATCACGCACCGCATCTACCTCATCGAGAAGTACGACGTCGCCGCACAATGTCCGTCCTCGTCCCCATCTCCTCGTCGCTCTTCTCTCGTCGTCTCGCCGGCCGACTGACTCATCCTCTCTCTCTCCCCCTCGCGCAGACGAGAAGTTCGGCAAGCAGATCTGGACGTGCAAGTCGCAGCTGCAAGTCAACGACGGCTTCTACGTCCACGAGTCGGCCAACATCGGCGACACCATCTCGTACCTCAAGAAGCGCACCCAAGTCATGGCCGAGCTGTACGAGGTGCGCCCTCATCTCCCTCTCCCTCTCTTCCGTCGTCGCGCACGTGACTGACCCGAGGACGACGACGACCGCAGCACAAGGACCTGCACATCATCCCCGACGCCATCATCAACCGCGCGACCTACCTCGCCCTGCAGCAGTCGCTGCGGCTCGCGTCGCCATCGCAGCCGCACCACACGACCTACGCCTCGTTCTACGACCTCAACAAGCCCGATGCGGCTCTCACGCTGCGCTCCCAGTGGGGCAGCATGCTGCAGCGCGTCAACGGCCTCGGCGCCGAAAAGGCCGTCCAGTTCCTCGGCCGGTGGGACACGCCGATGCGCTTCTTTGCCGAGGCGCAGCAACACGAGCGCGACGTCGAGAGGGGTAACGCGCTCCTCCCCGTCGAGCTGGACGGCGGGGCAAAGAAGCGCGGCGCGCCGAAGAAGCGCAAGGCCGAGGACTTTGTCGTCGAGGAGCTCGACGACGGGAGCGCGTCGACGAGGGGCATCAAGGGCAAGCTCGGGGCGCGCATCTGGGAGCTCTTCATGACGAGCGGGCGGTACACGAGCTGAGGGAGCGGGCACTGGCAGTTCTCGAACGTTTCTCTTTCTTCCTTTCGTACTTTCTCTCCCTCTCTCTTGCACATGCAGTATCTTCTCGGGCTTCGGCAGAATCCTGTTTGCGTGCGAGAGAGAAGAGAGTGTACAGACAACAGAAGTAAAGCCGCTGCGACGAGTCGACGAGGACGGGCCCTTCTCGTTCACGAGTCGCCCATCAAGTTCCACCGAGCCTGCGCGCACACACACCATCGAGAAGTCAGTGCAACGCTCGTCATGACGACGAGAGAGCCGACAGAGAGTGAGAGAGGACGCACCCGCTTGGCCTCGCGCTCCCGCTCGTCGACGCTCGGGCCTCCTCCCGCTCCAGCTGCGCCCGCCGCCCTCGCGCCGCCCTGCGTCGGCCCAAGCTGCGTCGTCCTCGCCCACTGCGCCGCCTCGGCGTCGTTCTCGTCCGCCCCCGCCGCCGTCGAGTCGCTGACGAGGAGCGCGGCGGCGCGCCGCCCGTCGTCGTGCGGCGGCGCCTCGCTCGGCTCGCGCTGCGACTGGCTCGCCATGAGGTGCACCTGCGACACCTGGTCGACCTCGGCAAACAGGGCGTCGACGTCGTCGAACCCGAGCGCGTCGGCGTCCATGCCGCCGCCGTACTCGTCGTCGTCGTCGCCAACGACCGGGGCCGGAGCGGCTCGTGCGTCGGGTGCAGGCGACGGCGTCGGCGGGTTGAACAGCGGGCGGTGCGCTCCCCCTGCTCCTGCTCCTGCTCGTGCGCTGTCGCGGAGCGGCACCCTCGCGAACGGGAGCGACTCGCTCTTCTCGCGCTTGACGGGCGCTGCGCTCGCACCCCTCCCGCTCGCGCCCGACCCTGCTCCCGCTCCTCCTCTCGCCGCGCCCGAGCCCGAAGCCGTCGCCGCGCGTGACCCACTCGCGCTCGTGCTCGACCCGCCGCCGCTGTCGTAGTCGGTCGTCGCAACGACAAACTTGACCTCGAAGTAGTCGCCGACGAGCTGGAGCATGAGGGGGCGGCCGCCGGTCGAGAAGTGCGCCGTGAGCGCCGCCGGGACCGAGTCGGCGAGCGTGATGATCGACTGTGCGCGACTCGCCTGTCAGCATTAGTACAAGGCGCGGCAAAGAGAGCTGCGCAACCAGGACGACGGCGAGACGAGGGCGCACCTTGAATTCTCGGAGCGCAAACGTGACGACTTGCGGGTCGGGCACGTCGTACGCGTCGTAGTCGTCGATGTCGACGTGGAGCTCGGTCGCGAGCGGGCGCGAGGCGTAGGCCTCGCCCGGGTTGGTGACTGCGGGTCGCGAGCCTCGTCAGGTCTTGCTCGAGGGGGGGGGGGGGGGGGGTCTCGAGGGAGAGAAAGGGAAAGTCGACGCACCGTCAAAGCCCGAGTCGTTAAAGCTCTTGAGGCGACAGTCGCGCTCGCCGCAGTAGAACGTGATCTCGTCGGCGGCGCCGCTCGCGCCCGCACGCAGATGAAAGTGCTCGGTCCTGCTCGACGACGGCGTGAAAGTCAGTAGGGCTTTTCGAGGGAAGGGAGAGAACAGGACGGACCAGTCTTTGAGAACTCGGGCTGAAGCGGTCCAGGACGAGGTGCACGCGTCGAGGTCAAAGCGGGCCCAGTTCTGGACGTTGGGGTCGCTGTACGTCAAGCTGTGCTTCTTGCGGACGCCTGTGACGAGTTTCGAGTGAGGCAATGTCTCCTCGGGGGCGACGAGGCGGCACGAGGGACGCACCGTGCTCGCAGAAGAGGTGGACGACGAGACGGCACTCGCCCGAGTCGACGCCGGGCTCGCGGTGACGGTCGCCGGCGCGGTCGCCCGAGTCGACGACGGCGATGCTGACCGACTCGACGGCCGACTTTGTGCGCAAGGTTGACAGGAAGGGCTGCAGGCGGGGGCAGGGATCAGGAGAGGGAAAGGAAGTGGGAAGGCGAGGGGGGAGCGGACCTTTGCCGTGATGGAGAACTTTGCGGGGCGGAGTGCGTCTGGGTCGACGAGGTAGTACTCGGCAAAGAAGCGCGGGTACAGGTGTACGATGCCGAACGCGGTGCGCGACGAGTTTACGGTCGAGACGGACAGGCGCTGGTTGGTGGCCGAGAAGTCGAGGTCGTCGCCGATGCGGGACAGGCAGGTGAGGGCTTTGGTGAACTCTGCGGGCGCGTCAGAGGTGAGCTTTGCGGTGTCGGGTTGCGAGGGAGTGAGAGGAGGTGGGGGAGGAGAGGGAGGGGGAGGGAGAGGGGACGGACGCTTGAGGGCGGTGCCGCCTGCGATGTTGAGCTCCATGCGGGTGCAGTCTAGCGAGGCATGAGCCGGCGAGAGGCTCGCAGCAGTGCGAGCGAGCGGGTCAAGGTCAACACGGCAGCGACGAGGACGAGGAGGACGAGGACCTCTGGCGCTCTCTCGCACGACCACTGCTGCCATGCTGCGCACCACCAAGCTCCTACGCACCCCGACTGCAGTCTACCCGTGGCCCGCCTTGCCCCTGCGCCGTCCGCTCCACTCGTCGCCCGCCCCTCTCGCTCATCGTCCGTCCCTCATCTCCCTCTCGCCGTTGCTCCCGCCTACAGCACCGCCCTGACTCGTCACCACCCGCAACAGACTTCTTCGACTCGGCAGACTATGTCCACCGCTTCGAGCAGCAGGGCTTGACCCGACAGCAGGCCGAGGGCATCGTCGACGCACTCGAGAACATCGTCCAAGAGTCGGTCAACAACCTCGAGTCCAACCTCGTGTCGCGCACTGAACACTACAAGGTCCGTCCCCTTCTCTCGTCCTCCTTCTCCCGCCGTCGCCCTCTGACACCGCCACCCCTGCCCGCAGCACCACGACCGTCAAAAGGTCCGCTCTCCTCCACCCTCTGCACCCTCCTCGACCGCCAAAGCCAACTCACGCCCACCCTACAGGTCGACTTTGCCGCCCTCAAGCAGAACCTCGAGCTGTCGGAGCGCACCGACTTCATGAACCTCAAGGCCGAGAACGAGCGCCTCCTCGGCGACATCGAGCGCCTCAAGCAGAAGCTGCGCGAGGAGATCTCGCGCACCCAGGCCGGCGTCAGGCTTGATCTCAACCTCGAAAAGGTGCGCCCTGAACCCCCCTCGTCACCTTTGCGTCCAGGGCTCACCTTCCTCTCGTCGTGCAGGGCCGGATCCGCGACGAGATGAGCACGCGCGAGGGCAAGCTCACCGAGGTCGACACGCGGATAGAGAACGAGATTGGCCTCTTGCGCGCATCGTGCGTCGATCTCTCGCCCTCGCTTCTCTCGCCGTTCCGAGACTGACCTCGTCTCCTCTCGCGCAGCATGGAAGCCGTCAAGTTCAAGTGCGTCCCTCTCTCTCTCGGCCTTGATTCCCTTCTACTCGACGCGACACTGACGCTGGCGACCACCCACAGCATCTTGCAGTACGCGTTCGCCGTCATGTCCGGTACCGGCGCGCTCCTCCTCGCCTACCTCCGCATGTGCGTCCTCTTTCTCCTCCTCTCGGCACCTCGACAGCCTCCTGACGACGTCCTCGTCACTCTCTACAGGTTCGCCAACTAAATCTGTAGATGGCACGCCCCCGCTCGTGTTGTATTGCAGTTCCACCTTCTCGTCCTTCCTCGAGAGAGAAACTCCTCGCCGCTCTCGCCGCTCTCGCTCTCGGTGCAACCTCGAGAGCGCTCGTCGTACAGTGAAAGCACGTCTAGGTTGCGTTATGCGACAAGGACAAGTCGAGGGTGAGAACGAACGCCCGGACCTCCTCCTCCCTCCTCGCCACGCACGAGCCGGCCCCTCGCTCGCTCGCCCACTCAGAACGGCCGGCCACCGGCACCGCCGCGCCCACCGCCGCGACCGCCACGACCACCAGCGCCACCGCGTCCGCCGCCACGGCCACCACCGCCGCCGCCACGTCCGCCGCCGCCGCCGTTGCGGCCTCCGCCGCCGCCCTCCTTGCCCGGGAGCTCCTTGACGAGACGGATGCCAGGCGTGCCCTTGAGCCCCATCTTGGACACCGTCTGTGCGAGCACTGTAGCAGGAGAGAAACGGGTGTGAGTGAGAGGACTCGAGACCGGGAGGAGAAGGAAAGGGGGAGGAGGACGCACTGCCCGGCACCTCGGCGCACCCGAGCCCGCCCGCGCCCGTCGACTGGGTCGCAAAGTCGTTCCACAGGGCAATCATGTCGGCCGCCGAGCCCCTGAAGGCGTCGCGCAGGAAGCCCTTGTAGAACCCGAGGCTCGCGGCGTAGAACTGGCCCTTGGTCTCGTCGTCGACCTGGCTGCTCGCCCTCGCGAGGTCGGCGCGCGCCTGCTCGACCGGGCCCGAGCCCGGCGCGAGCTGCGATTGGGCGAGCGGGTGCGCCTGGAGCGGGAGCGACGACAGGCGCCGCAGGAAAAAGGCCTCGAACGGCGCGAGGACGATGATGCCCTTGCCCTGCGCCGACGTGGTCGCGCCCGCACGCGCCGTGCGGCCGAGGCGGTGCACGTACTGCTCGAGCGACGCCGGGAGGCCGACCTGGATGACGGCCGTCACGTTGGCTGCGGGCGTGCGAGGAAGGGGGTCAGTACGGGCTCGCTGTACAGAGAGCGACGGGCGCTTCTCTTCCCCTCGACTAGGAGAGACAGAGAGAGAGACACAGAGAGAGAGAGGTGGACGCACGGAAGTCCATGCCGCGCGCCGTCACGTCGGACGAGAAGAGGACGCCGCCCTGGGCGACCTTGAACGCCTCGGCGGCCGCGTTGCGCTGGCTCTGGCTCTTGCGCGAGTGGATCTCGTACGTGTCGAACCCGGGCGCGAGCTGCTGCAGGCCGACGCGCTTGAACAGGGCCGCGACGAGGCCGGTCGCGCGCGCGGTCGGGAGGAACACCATGGCCTTGGTGGCCGGGTTGACGCGGATCTCCTCGCGCAGGAGGGCGAGCGTCTGCGGGAACACGTCGAGGAGCGACGGCGGCAGGAGCGAGAACTGGGGGACGGCCTGGTGCGTGTTCTGCTCGTCGTCCGGGATCGTCGACACGAACTTGAAGCCCTTGGCGAGCGCGATGGCGCCGAGCTGGTGCACCTGGGGCGGGATCGTCGCCGAGAACATGAGCGACTGGCGGGGCGCCGACTGGCGCGAGGGCAGGTGCGAGATGATGCGCTCGCAGTCCTGGCGGAACCCTTGCTCGAGGAGGCGGTCGGCCTCGTCAAAGATGAGGGTGCGCAGGCCCGACAGCTTGGGCTTGAGGCCGCCGTTCTGGAGGTGGTCGAGGAGGCGGCCGGGCGTCGCGATGAGGAAGTCGCAGCGCTCGTTGTTCAACCGCTTGGTCTCGGCGTTCATGTTGGTGCCGCCGACGACGTGCTGCACCTTGAACTGGGTGCCGCTCAGGAGCGTCTTGGCGCTCTCCTCGATCTGGATCGCGAGCTCGCGCGTCGGCGACAGGACGAGGACCGAGATGGCGCCCTTGGGCGGCTGGGTCGGTGCGCGCAGCAGGTTCTCGATCGACGGGATGAGGAACGCGAGCGTCTTGCCCGTGCCCGTGCGCGCCTGCGCGAGGCTGTAGACGACGAGGACGAGTCAGTGTCGTGCCCTGCACAGCTCGTCGAGAGAGGGAGAGAGAGGACCAGGGACGACGAGGGAGAGGGGGACGCACACGTCGACACCGGTCAAGCAGACGGGGAGGGTCTGGGCCTGGACCTCGGTGCAGTACTCGTAGCCGCCCTGGGCGATGCCGCGCGCGGTGGCCTGCGAGATGAGGCCTTGCTGGACGAAGTCGGCGAAGCGGGTGGTGCTGAACGTCTTGGACAGGGCCGAGCCCGGGATCGGGGTGGCGGCGCGCGGGGTTTGGCTCGGGGTGGTGACGGTGCTGGCCATGCTGAACGGGGTCGCGGTGCCGTTGCTGGCCTGGAGGTGGGGAGGCTGCTGTGCGAGGGCGGGGGCGGCGGGGTGGGCGGCGTCGGCCGGTGCGCCGGGGGCCTTGGGCTTGCGCGGGCCGCGGTTGGGGCGGCGGCGCTTGGCCTGGCCTTGTTGCGCGGACTGGTGGGGAGGCGGGGCAGACATGGTGCGCGGGTGTTGGTCGAGAGCGAGAAGAGCGAGCGACGAAGCTCAACGCGCGCGACGCGTCTCTCCGGGCACAACCCTCCCCTGAGTAGGGCCAAATCCTATTGGATCCGCGCCGTAAACCCCCCACCTCCTCGGCTAGACTGACGTTTCGAGCCTCATCAGCTCGCGCACCTTTGGACTGCTCCTCGCTCTCCCACGCACCCTCAAGCTGGCGTCTCGATTCGCAGCTACCACCACCACCCTCACTCGCACCATGGCCGACCACGCAAAGGTGCGCCCGCCTCTCTCTCGGCCTCTCGTTCGCCCCCGCGTCGACTGACCCGCGCCCGACCTCTCGCGCCTCGCAGAACATCGCCCGCTGCAAGCGCTTGATTCCGCCTTTGTCGCCAGAGCTTCACAAGGGCCAGGCAGGCAGGGTCGGCGTCGTCGGTGGCAGCAAAGAGTGCGTCCACCAGTCGCACAGCTCCTCGAGCGAGACTGACCCTTCTCGCACTCGCCTCGCGCAGCTACTCGGGCGCGCCTTACTTTGCCAGCATGACTACCTTGCGCATCGTGAGTCGCCGAGCTCGTTCAACTCGCCCTGGCATCGCCGGCTACGCGCCCAGCTGACCTCGTCCCCCTCCTTGCCGCAGGGAGCGGACCTCGCCCATGTCATCTGCGAGCCTGCTGCTGGTTGTCCGTCCTCTTTCATCTCTGTGGATTACCTGTGCGAGAAGCTACTGACTAGCCTTGACCCGGTCCGCAGCCATCATCAAGACCTACTCGCCCGACCTCATCGTCCACACCGACCTCAACGACAAGCTGTGCGTCGCCCTCGCCGTCCCTGTCCACCGTGACGTCTTTTCAGGACGTGCGAGACTGACTTGGTAGCGTTGGCCGCCTGCAGCTCGGAGGAGGAGATCACCGAGGTGTTCAAGGGCATCCTTCCTCGCCTGCACACGCTCGTCATCGGTCCCGGGTGCGCTCCCTCTTTCCCTCCCTCGCCTTCCTCTTTGAACTGCGAGCTGACGTCGAGCGTTCCCCAACAGCCTCGGCCGCGACAAGCACATGCAGCTCGCCGCCCGGATCGCCATCAAGCTCGCGCGCGAGAACGACCTGTACCTCGTGCTCGACGCCGACGCCCTGTTCCTCGTCCAGAGCGACCCGAGTGTCGTCAAGGGCTATAAGCGCGCCGTGTTGACCCCCAACGTCGTCGAGTTCCAGAGGCTCGCCGAGGCTTGCGTGAGTCGGCCGCGCTCCCCCGTCTCTCCCTCGTCGCAGGGCGTCGCTCAGCCGCGCCTGTGGGCGAGTGTGGGCAGCGCGGACGCTCTCACTGACCCATTTCCTCTCTCTTTCGCAGCATATCGACCCGTCGCTCGACCCGAGCGAGCTTGCCGGCGCCCTCGCCCGAGCGCTCGACGGCCCGACGCTCGTCCAGAAGGGGCGCGCCGACCGCATCACGAACGGGCACGAGACGCTCGTCAGCGAGGTGACGGGCTCGTCGAGGCGATGCGGCGGCCAGGGTGACGTGCTCAGTGGCGCCGTCGGGACGTTCCTCGCGTGGGGCAAGAACTACGAGGAGCGCGACGCCAAGAACGACGCGTGCGTCCAGCCTTTCCCTCTCGACTGGATCCGACGATGGCGTCGCCGTGGTCCGCCGTTTGGCGGCGGATCGTCGCACGTCTGCATCTTTCCGTTCTCGAGCGCACCATCTGACCTTCTCGTTCCTCCCTTTCCTTCTCCCGCTTCTCTCGCCCCGCCTTGCCCCACTCCTCGCCCTCTCCTCTCTCGTCGCCACCCTCGCAGGGACCCGATCAAGCCGCACGAGATCACGCTCCTCGCGGCGTACGCCGCGTCGTCGCTCACCCGGACGGCGTCGCGCCTCACGTTCGCCAAGCACAAGCGCGCGATGCAGACGGGCGAGATGCTCGGCTTTGTCGGCGAGGCCTTCGAGGACGTGTTTGGCGCCGATGCGACGGCCGACGAAGGCGCGAGCACGACGGGCGTCGTCGACAAGCTCGTGACGGCCATCAAGGGGAGCCTGTGAGCGAGGGGAGGGGCGCCTTCTAGACGAGTGTGCCGCACTGCACGTACATATGCTGTCCCTCGAGGGCTCGACGAGAGAGCCGCAGAGCGAGAACACGAAGCAGAGCGGCGGATCGTGCGCAGGCGGTCGGAGCGAACCGGGCCCAGGTCGAGAGTCGAAATTGCCAGCCTCGCTCGGCAGTTCCGGTGTTGGGTGTGGCCCGCCTGAGAAGGCATCGTAGAGCGGCTGCATGGACGCCGAGTGAACTTGGCCTTGTTGAAGAGTTGGTGGTCGAACCGGCCGGGTGGGGGACGAGGCTCGTCTCTCTCGCTCTCGCTCTCACCGCTGCGCACTCGCTGCCCAGCTCTACCTGCTACCATGGCCCTTCCAGCACAGCCGCCATTCAAGCGGTTGCGCACAGACGGGTGCGTCCACAGCTCTCCTCCCTCGTCCTCCTCCGCCCGTCCGGCATCTCGTTCCGGCTTCCACACCTCGCCAGCAGCGCAGCTGACCCACGCATACCCCACACAGCTACGCCAACTACAGCATCGCGTTCTCGCCCTTCTACCCGAACAAGCTCGCGCTCGCCGGCGCCGCCAACTTTGGCCTCGTCGGCAACGGCCGCCTCTCGGTCGTCACCCAGGACGCACCACCACCTCAAGGCCTCGCTCTCGAGAAAGCGTGCGCCCCACTTCGCTCCCTCTGTCCCACCAAGCGTCCACCGCTGGGCGAGGACGACGAGCTGACCTCGCTCCATGTGGGGGACTCTGTCGCTCGCGCAGGTTCGACACGCAGGACGGCCTGTACGACCTCGCCTGGTCCGAGTGCCACGAGAACCAGATCGCGACGGGCAGTGGAGATGGCAGCGTCAAGCTGTGGGACGTCATGGTCAACGTGCGTCGCCTTGTCCTCCTCTCTCTGCAGCTCCACGCTGTCGAGCGCCGAGCGGACGCTCGGTTCAGCTCGGCGCTCGTGTGCGACGGTGGACTGAGCGGACCTGACGTCGAATGCGCCCCTGCAGGACTTTCCCGTGCGGAAGTGGCACGAGCACCAGCGCGAGGTCTTCTCGGTCGACTGGAGCAACGTCCAGAAGGAGCTCTTCTGCACGAGCAGCTGGGACGGCACCATCAAGATCGTGCGTCCCTCTCTCTCTCGCCTCTCTCGTACGAGCGTACGAGCACGCCAGCTCACCCCTCGCCCCTTCCCTCGCACAGTGGACGCCCGATCGTCAGTCGTCGTTGCAGACCATCCCGGCCCACGGCGCCTGCGTCTACGCCGCCCTCTTCTCGCCCTCTCAGCCCTCGCTCATCGCGTCGTGTTCGTCCGACGGCACGCTCAAGCTGTGGGACACGCGCACGCCCCTCGCGCCGTCGACGCCGGCCGCCCCGGGCCAGCCGGCGCTCGCGACGCCGCAACTCGCGCTCCCCGTTCACCCGGGCAGCGAGGTGCTCGACCTCGACTTCAACAAGTATGCGCCCCACCTCGTCGCAACGTCGAGCGTCGACCGCAGCGTCAAGGTGTCGGACCTGCGCGCCGCCGCGACGCCGTCGCCCGGCTCGGGCCCTGGCGCCGGCGCGCCGTTCCTCCAGCCCAACGCGACGGTCGCGACGCTGCTCGGACACGAGTACGCCGTGCGGCGCGTCGCGTGGAGCCCGCACTCGAGCGCGCTCGTCGCGACGGCGAGCTACGACATGACGGCGCGCGTGTGGAGCGTGCCGGCCGCCGCCGCAGGAGGAGGAGGAGTAGGGCCGGGTGCGGGTGCGGGTGCGTCGACGTTCAGTGCGCAGGGCGGGATGGGCGCGAGGATCGAGAGGGTGTGGGACCGGCACACCGAGTTTGTCGTCGGCGCGGCGTGGAGCCTGTGGGAAGAGGGCGTCGTCGCGAGCTGTAGCTGGGACCAGGAGGTGCACCTCTGGCGATGAGATCTATCTCGCTCTCAGGTACGCAGTGGACGAGCAGCAGAGGAGAGCGTGTGACTCGAGCTCGCGAGCGAGGAAGAAAGAGAGAGCCTCTCACAGAGGGGAGCTCGAGAACGAGAACGAGAGGGCGAGGGTGGCAATACAACACGCGCACGACATGCAGAGGTGGGTAAAGAAAAGAGAGGACGGGGATCTACGCCTGCGACTGCTGCTGCTCCTGCTCCTGCTCGAGCTTGAGCTTGTCGGCCTGCTCGGCCAACCGCTTGACCGTCTCGTCGTCGGCTCCTGCCACCTCGCCCGCCTTGTCGTCGCTCGGTGCCTCCTCGGCCTTGGCGTCGTCGCCTCCGGTCGGCGCCTTTACGCCGAGGCCCATGCACCCGAGGACGTAGCCGACGCATTTTTCCCTGCGGACGCGCTCCTTGCCGAGGGGCGTGTCCTGGTCGTCCTCGCCGACGACGAGGGCCTCGCACGCCTCCTCGGCCTCCTGGACGGCCGTCTTGCCGTGGTGGTTCTTGAGGTCGAACGCGGCGAGCGGGAGGAGCGGGCACAGGAGCTCGAGGACGGCGAGGTGGTAGTTGAGGCAGGCCCAGTGGAGCGGGGTCGAGAGGGCCGTGTTCTGGGCCGACAGAGCGGCGAGAGGGAGGCGAGGGAGGAGCCACGACACGATCTCTGCGACGAGGGGAGCGAGGTGAGCGACAGGTTCGACGAGGTTCAGGGTTCCGCTCGTGGGACCGACAGGGCTCGCGCGCCGCTGCACAGCTGCGTCAGAGCGCTCTGAGAGTGCTGCGCGAGCCCACCGCCGGCCTGCTGCCGCCACGTTGGCCCGACGGCCTCATCAGCTGGAGGGGAGGAGGAGCTCACCGGTGTGACCGTTGCCGGCGGCCATGTGGAGGGGCGTGTTGTCGCGGTCGTCCTTGGCGTTGGCGAGCCAGTGGTCGCCGTACTGGTGAGCGAACTGCTTGATGTCGTCGAAATCGCCCTGGTCGAGGTCACCGTAGCGGCAGCACTCGAGGAGGGCGGCGAGCTCGTCCTGCGAGGGCTCGGGGCGGGTCGTGGCCATGGTCGGTGCGGTGGGCAGCACTGGCAGGTGGGGCGAGCGAGCGAGGTGGAGCTCGACAGAGCCGCGCGAGCTGATGAGGACGCAGAGAGCACGGACGGGGCGGTGCTCTCCCTCGAGCTCTCGAGCTCTCTCGCGCCCAACAGCTGGAGCAAAGCGACTCTGTACAGCCCTCAAGCACACTGCTACGCGGCCCCTCGACCGCCACCACCCAGCTCACCGTCCGCCCCTCCCGCGACGACCGCCCCTCGCTCCTCTCGCTCCTCCTCCTCCTCCTCGACGACCACCGCCGCCACGCTCCTCGGCGGCGGCAAACATGTGCGCAAACATGTGCTGGAACACGAACGGGAACGGGATCCCAAACTCCTCCATGCCGTCCGAGTCGTCGCCGCGGCGGAAGAAGGGCGACCCCTGCGCCGCCGAGCCCGGGTCGTCCGACTGCGGCGCATGAGAGAGTGTCAGTCAGGCTGACGCCGACACGACGAGAGATTAGAGGACGAAGAGAGAAAGGGTCGACGCACACTGCCCTCGTCGTACATGCGGCGGCGGCGGTCGTCCGACAGGACCTGGTAGCTCTCGGTCACCTGCGCGCGCACCTCGCTCACTCGTCAGTGCCGCTCGCGAGAGCAAAGGCGAGAGAGAGAGAGAGAGTGAGCGGACCTGAACGAACGCCTCCTGGCTGCCGCCCTTGTCCGGGTGGTGCTTGAGCGACATGCTGCGGCTGCAAAAGGCGGCGAGGGTCAGTGCGGCGTCCGGCTCGACGACGACAAGGGACGGCGAGAGACGCACTAGGCCTTCTTGAGCTCGGCGTCGTTGGCGTGGCGGTCGACGCCGAGGATCTTGTAGTGGTCCTGCGGGAAGGAGAGCGGCGTGAACACGACAACCCTCAACACGATCCCGTCCCCCTCGGCCGAGTGCGACGAGAGAATGGTGAAGAGAACGTCGTCGACGCACCTTGCGCTCGGCCTGCTTGTCCTTCCACCGCCGCTCCTCCTCCTCGCGCTCCTTGCGCTGCTTCTCCTCGGCCATCCTCCTGCGCACCGCGTCCCGCTCGCCGACGAGCGCCCTCTTCTCGGCGCCCTCCTGCGCCGCTTCGACAGCGCGCTCGAGGTCGTCGAGCGCGAGGCTGAGCTGCCCGAGCTGGGCGAACGCGTCGGCGCGGTGCTTGAGCGCCTTGACGAACCGCGGCGCGAGTGCGAGCGCCGAGGTAAAGTCGGCGATGGCGGCGTGCAGGTCCTTGCCGAGCTGTGTCGGTGCGTCATGCGTTAGTGTCTGAGCCTGAGTGGGATGGACAGGGAGACAGGGAAGAAGGCGAGCGAGAGGACGGACCTTGAGCTTGGCCATGCCGCGGTTCTGGCACAGGATCTTGCGCAGCTGGGCGTTGTCGCGGTCGACGAGGAGAGCGTGCGAGTAGTCGGCAATGGCGGCCTCGTAGCGACCCTCGCCGAACGCCGTCGCGCCCGAGTCTTTGAGCGCCGCGACACGGGTCAGGCGCGACGAGAGGTTCCTGTCGCAGGGGCGTACGAGAGAGGGTCAGGTCTCGCTCTGCCGGTGATGTGTACAGGCGTGCTCGCTGGGCGAGGAGCACGTCGGCAGGGCGACGAGAGAACGGGAACGAGGCGACGCACTCGACCTTCCTAACCGTCGCCTCGTCGGCTCCCTCGAGCCCGATGTCCTTGACGGCCTGGATCGCGCCCTCGAGCTTGCACTGCTGGTACAGCGCGATCGTGCGGTACAGCTGGATCTCGATGCGGTCGACGGGCGCGTTCTTGAGGAGGGTGCTGCGAGCGGCGGGTCCTCGAGGTCAGATCGTCTCGCTCTCCCAGCTCGAGGAAAGAGGGAGACAGGGACGCACGACGTGTAGTTCTCGAGCTCGTTCCACTTCTTGGCGCCCTCGAGCGCCTCGCACCTCCACAGCTTGGCCTCCCACGGCACGCTCGGCTGCGGCGAGCCCGGCTCGACGACGGCGCCCTTGTCCCGCTCGAGCCACGCCTCCCTCGCGCCGTCCCACTCGCGCAGCGCCGCGTCGTACTCCTTGGCCCTTGAGCGCGCCCTTGAAGCGCGACACGTGCGCGCTCAGACGCTCGATGCGCGACAGCTGCGCGGTCGACGGCCGCGCCTTGTCGGACGGCGCGAGGGCGGCGAACGCCTGGGCAACGAGGCCTTTCTCGAGAAGGGCGCGCGTCTCGGCGATGCGAGGGTCCTCGACAGGCGCGCTCGGCGACGACGCCGCCGACCGACCGTTCGGAGCGGTGCCGGCGCCGGGGACGACAGGAGCTCGGGGAGGAGGCGGTGCACTCGAGCGCTTCGGGGGCCGGCTCTTGGGCTTGCGCTGGGGCGGCGACGGGGTGGCGGGGACCGCGAACGGGTTGTTCTCAGGCGTGTACTTGGGCGTCGGCTCTGGCGGCCTGCGCGGGGGGGAGGAGGCGCGTCAGCTTGACATGAGATGAGGGGGGCCGGCGGCGGTGACGAGTGGAGGGGGGGACGCACGGCTTGGGCTTGGGCTGCTCTGGGTTGCGACGACCGTTCTTCTTGGCCATGGCTGCAGCGCGACGCCTCTTGAGCGAGGTGAGGCGGAGCAGGCGAGGAGATGGCGGGAAAGAGGCGATGGCGGTGACGAAGACCGAGCCACCACCTCTCGCCGCGCCTCTCCTGTGCTTAAGTGGTCTCTAAAGCGCGGTCCTGCTGCTCAAGGAGGGCCTGCGCTAGTCGAAGCAGATGCTCCACAGGCGCGGCGCATTCGGTGCCGCTGGTCGGCTCGCGCCTAGCGTGCTTGCTCGCTCTTCGACCTCTCAGATTCTCTCAGGCGCGCGCGCCCCAGTTGACAGAGGCAGGCAGAGAGCTTGCCGGCACACGCGAGCACGAGAGGCGGGTACAGAGCCGACGAAAGGAGAGAAAGTGAGCTCCGGACTTTCCGCAGAGGAGCCCGAGCGAGACAAGGCGCGTGCGCTGGCCGCCTCGCCTCGACAGGCTGCGAGAGCAGTGCAGCGGTCAGTAGCTCGAGCTGCGCGAGAAGCCTGCTGTCGTGCGAAGAGATCTGTAAGCGAGACGGTCCAGCTCGGCGAGTATCACGCGCATCTCTCGCTTCGCGTTCGCGGTCGGCGAGAACGCGCCACGCAGCTCTCGTGCGCCTCTCTTGCCACGATGCCGTCGAGCCGGATGCGCTGCCGCCGCCGCGCTCGACGAACGGACGATCGAGCCGAGGGGGAACCGACTTGAGAAGGTCGCGACGAGAGGTGAAAAGGGGGCGGTGTTACAGCAGCTATGCGTCTATGGAGTACCTGCACGAGCGAAGAGTCAGGACAAGTGCGTATGGAGGACCGACGAGAGAGGGAGAGAGGGGACGCACTCAAGAACCCGTCCCTCGTCAAGCGCGCAGCCTGCCCGACTTGACCATCCTCGAGCGCACGACCTTGAGCGCAACGCCGCCGAGCGCCGAGATGGCCGCCGTGACGCCGACTGTGACAAGGTGCGGGGTAAGGAGGGAGAGGAAGTCAGGTCGCCGTCGCCGGGAGCGACTCGAGGAGGAGGGAGGAGGAGGAGGAGCGGGACGGACCAAAGAGCATCATCCTGTAGAACCCGAACCGGCCCCACGACTCCTTCTCGTCGCTCGGGCGGTACAGCTCCTCGGAGATGAACGGCATGGCGATGCTCGCGAGGCCCCTCGAGCCGGCAAGGACGCCGAAAACGAGCGACCCGACGTACGGGTTGCCGCCCGACACGTCGCGCGCGCAGCCCGACCACGACGCGATGATCTGCGACGTGAAGCCCGACAGGACGGCGAACCCGTACACCTTGGCGAGCGAGTCGGCGAGGCCCCACGACGCGAACGCGGCGACGGCGCCGGCGACGCCGCAAAAAGTCGTCGCCAACGGGTAGTCGATGTCGGCGAGCCAACCGGTAAAGGCGCACCCGAACGACGACGCGACGTTGTAGATGCCGACGACGATCTCGGCCTCGAATGCCGACGGCGTCAAGTTGGACGCGTACGTCGCGAGGTACAGCGACACGGGGAAGGTCGACAGGGACGACACGAACGACGTGCCGAGCGTGAGGAGCATGATCGGGTCGCGCAGGAAGGCGCCGTCGGTCGCGAGCCACGGACCGCGCTCGTGGCTGCGCAGCTTGCGCGGCGGGACGCGAGGCTTGATGAGGTAGACCGACAGGGCGAGCGTTGTGCCGGCGAGGACGGCCCAGATGCGGACCATCCACGGGAAACCGCGCCACGACAGGAGCGACGAGATGATGAATGGGAAGATGAGGCCGCCGATGCCGGCACCTGCACACGAGGTCGAGAGAGAAAGAGAGAGTCAGTCGGGCTCTTTTGGCGGTCGATCGAGGGGAAGAGGGACGGACCCGCAAAGATGATGCCGCCGGCGAGACCCTTCTTGGCGACCCACCAGTCGTTGAGCCACATGAGGACGGGCGTGTACATGATGCTGCCGGTCGCGCCGCAGACGATGCCCTGCAGGACGACGAGCTGCCACGCCTGCGCGTCGACGACACAGAGTAGAGATACGGGCAGGGCCGAGTCAGTTCGGCTCGTGAAGAGGAGAGTCGAGAAAGGAGAGGGAGAGGGCGAGGGCGCACCTGGGTCGCCCAGCTCGAGAGGAGCATGCTGCCCGTGTACAGTGCCGTACAGACCCACAGCGCCATCTTGACGTAGTCAGGGTATCGCCGGAAGAGGATAGTCGTCGGTAACCTGTGCGGGCGAGGAAAGGAAGCGTAAGTGAGGGTTGCTCGCTTTGAGAAGGTGGCGAGCGGCAGGACGCCGGCAGCGGGCGCCGTCGCTGGCTCGCCTCGCTCGCCCTCGTCGCTCACGCCTGTCGGTAGGCGAGGGACGGGCAGGTAGGGAGGGAGGGAGGGAAAGGCGGACGCACGGGAGGAGGTATTGCGTGCCGAGGTTGACGGCGCCGATGGCAGACAGGATGCCGATCGAGTTGCCGCTCCAGGGCGCAGTGCGCTGCAGATAGACGAGGATGGTGGCGAACGAGAACGAGAAGCCCCAGATGACGGTCTCGAGGATGAAGGCGGCGACGACAAAGGCCCACGCGCCGCGACCGCCGTCGACGGGAGGGAGCTGCTCCTGCGCAAGATGCTCGCCGCCCGTCTCGAGGTTGAGGCTGCGCAAGCGGACGCCGGACGAGCTAGGGCTCGCGTCGCGGTGGACGGACGAGGCGGGCGACTTGGCGAGCGGGGTGTCGAACGGGTTGCCGGACGCCGGGCGCGAGAGCGACAGGGCTGGCGAGGGTGGTGCGGGCGATATGGTGTCTAGCTCGACGGGGAGGCTGTCGTGGCGGACCATGGCGGCCGTGATCGTTCGTGAGCGGGCGAGTCGAGGGATGAGCGAGTCAAGGTGGGTCGGCGGGCTGGAGGTGTGCGTCCTTGTCAGCTTGCCGAATCCACGGTACGTAACTAACGCTTTCCAGTCCCTCGAGGAAGCTGCCCGGACGCACCTGACTGGTGGAGAGGGAGGCTGTGTTCGACGTCGAGAGGCGGAACGCGAGGGACGGGGTCGGCGACGCAGGCCTCGGGCGGGTGCGCCGGGCTGGCCTGGGGGCTGAAAAGTGGCGGCGAGTTCGATCGAGCCGTCACCTCGGTAGCAGGGCGAGGTGGGCGAGTGTGGAGAGCCGACGACGAGGACAAGGAGGGTCTCGTCTCGGGTCGTCGCCTTGTCCTCGCTCACGGTTGCTCTCGACCAGGCGAGCAGTGCTCCCGACCGACTCTCTGTCCAGTCTAGCACCGACTCGAGCCGCCCAACTCTGGCCTCGCGTGCTGCCTCGGTCCCCCTCGCGCCTCATCACCTCGTCCAACCTCCCCCCCTCGTCCTCCTCGCTCCTCATCTGTGATCGACCCGCCCGCCTCGCCGACCATGGCCCAGACGCCCCGCAAGACGACTACCGTCATCAAGAAGACCACCGCCGTCAAGGCTGTCGCCCAGCAACCTCTCGGCGGCGCAGGCGCACCTGCCGGCAAGCTTCCGCGCAAGAGGCCCGCCGTCAAGGCCGCCAAACCTCCGCCCAGGGTCAAGCGCGCTCAGCGTGAGTCCCACCCCGTCCTCTTCGCGCGCGCCCTCTCCTCATGCCGCCCTCTCGGCCGTCTCGACGAGGTGGTGCACCAGCTCGGTCGTGACCCGGCCGCCGTACCCGTGCGGCGCGCGAGGCAGCGCGATGCCGACCCTCCCTCTCGAACCCCTGTACTGACTTGCGACTCGTGCACGCGCGCAGCGGCCAACCCGGCCAAGAAGCCGTTCCGGTACCGCCCCGGCGCCGGCGCGCTCAAGGAGATCCGGCACTACCAGAAGTCGACCGACCTCCTCGTGCGCCGCCTGCCCTTTGCGCGCCTCGTGCGCGAGATCGCGACCGAGTTCTTCGAGGACGAGGACGGCCAGGGCGTCGGCCTGCGGTGGCAGAGCTCGGCGCTGCTCGCGCTCCAGGAGGCGACCGAGGCGTGCGTCCACCCCTCTCCTCTCTCTCTCTCTTTCATCTGTCGACGTCGCAGAGACTGACTCTTGCCTCGACCCCTCCCTTCCTCGGCTCGCCCTCGTCGCCCGCAGGTACCTCGTGCACCTGTTCGAGGACTCGAACCTGTGCGCGCTGCACGCCAAGCGCGTCACCATCATGCAGCGCGACATGCAGCTCGTGCGGCGCATCCGCGGCGACTTTATGTAGGTCGTCGTCGGGCGGCGACGGCGGCTTGGTGGGCGGAGCGAGTGCTGGAGCGAGGGATACCCGGAGGCTCGAGGGCAACGCGGTTTCTCTTCTGTTCGGGCTTGTGTCTTTGTAGCTGTGCCTTTCTCTCTCTCTCCCCTACTTGACGACAATCTACCTAGTTCATCCTGTTCGCTGCAGTTGATGGTGCCGTGAGAGAGCTCGAGGAGAGCGATCGGCGCTTGTTGTCACTCGCCTCATCCCCCCTTGCTGCACGCGACCAGAGAGCTCGTACGCACGCCTGTGCCAGCTCGTGTCGCCGTCGTCGCCCGCCCACGAGCTCGATCGAGCCGCCCACGGTCGACCTCGTCGTCGTCGTCGCCGTTCCCCGCTTTCGCCCTTCACGCGCAAGTGCCCGCTCGCCCCGACCGAGTACGGGCGCACAGCGGCATGCAGCCCCTCCAGCCAGGCGGCACCGGGCCCCTCCCCGCCCTGCAGCAGTTCCAGCAACAGCACCCGTCGCCGCACCTCCACTCGCCGTCCGTCGCCGGCGGGCCACCGCCCCTCGCTAACAACGCCGTCGTCCCAGGCCAGCCCACCCACCCGGTCCAGCTCGCAGCGCACGACAGCATGTACCCGGCCCACGTCGGCCACCCGCTCCAGCAGCAGCAGCACCTACCGCCGCTCGCCCCTCAGCAGCACCCCTCCTCGTCCCGCCCGGGCAGCAGCTCCGGCCCGCCCCTCCACCAGCAGCAGCACATGCAGCCTCCACCGCACCTCATGACCTACCCGACCGGCGGCGCGAGCGGCAGTGCCGGTACGGCGGGCTCATCGGCGGCGGCGGCACCGGCGCAACAGCAGCAGCCGCCCAAGAAGGGCACCAAGCGCGCCGCGCCCGACTCGAACGGCAAGGACAAGGAGAAGAAGACGAGGAGCAAGGCGGCGTGCAGCCAGTGCAAGGCCGTCAAGCAGAAGTGCGAGGGCCCGCCGTACGGTGCGTCCACCTCTTCCCTTCCCCTCGTCGCCGGTCCTTGCGACGCCCTGCTCACTCGTGCACCCTCCCGACGCAGTGCCCTGTCGACGGTGCGAGTTGTACAAGCTCGAGTGCAAGTTCCCGCCGGGCACCAAGACCGTGCCGAGGCCGGTCGAGGCGTCGTCGTCCGGTTCAGCTGCGGCTGGAGGAGCAGAGCCCTCGAGCGCCGTCACCGCCAAGTGCGCACCCTCTCCCTGCGTCTCTCTCCTGCGCCTGCACTGACCTTGCGTCTGCGCGACAGGTTGTTCGAGATCGCGAGCCGCCTGCAGACGATCGAGTCGGCGCTGCACATCGCCTCTGCGCCGTCGCCCGCGGTCCAGTCGTCCGACACGCACTCGCACGCACCACGATCGCCCTCGGCGCGTTCGTCCGACGACGGCGGCCCGGACGACGACGACGGCGGCGACGGGAGCACGGCGGGCAAGGCGGCCGCGGCGACGGCCAACCCGATCGGCGAGATCAACGCGACCGTCGACTCCCTCGCCGGGTTCAAGTCGGGCCCGAGGCAGAGCATCATGGAGATGAACGACTATGGCGCGCCCGACGTCCTGAGGCGAGCCGTCCTGACGCCGGTCGAGTGCCAGCAACTCTTCGACTTGTGCGTCCCGCCTCTTTTTTTCCCTCACTCGGCCCAGCACTGACCCTCGAGGTCGACCGTGCCGCGCAGCTTCTTCGCGTCGCTCCACCCGTGGATCATGATGCTCTCGCTCGACGACGATCGCGACGCCATGGCCGTGCGCGACAAGTCGCCCCTCCTGTTCCACACAATCCTCCTCCTGTCGACCGCCTACTCGACGCCGTTCCCCTCCCAGCTCCACCTCACCCTCGTCACCTTCCTCAACAACATCCTCGCGCCCCAGCTCCTCAACCCGCAGCCGCACGAGCTCACGACCGACTTTCTCCGCGCGCTCGACCTCCTCAACATCTACAAGCCCGTCCAGTTTGGCGCTCGTCGCACCGAGGGCCACGACGACACCGAGGCGATGCGCGTCAGCAAGGTCAACGGCCTCGCGAGCTGGATGCTCCAGGGCATCCTCGCCCGCACCGCCGAGCGCCTCGAGCTCAAGGAGACGGTCAGCAAGTTTGCGAGGGCCTACTCGGCGAGCGCGAGCGGGGCACCGGTGCCCAAGCAGCTGTTGCGGGACCTGAGGTGCGTCCCCTCCTCCCTTTTGGACAGGTTTCCTTCGCTCGAGCCATGCGAGCCAACACTCACGCTCCCTCTCGCCCCGCCAACAGGCTCTACTACTGGCTGCTGTCCAACGACGTTCACGGCAATGTCCAGAGCGGTCGACGGTGCAACATGGAGGGCTCGCAGGCGCTCACGACCACGCGCCTGTTCTCGTCGCTCCATCTCCAGCCGTTCGACGTTCGGTGCGTCCCAGCCTCTCTCTCTCTCTCTCTCCTGCATCGTGTCGAGCCCGTCATTGACCGTGCCCTTGCCCTCGTCGATGCAGCCTCGCCGCCTCGGTCGAGATGTTTGAAGTCGCGCGCCCGATCCTGCGCAGCTACAGCTACGAGCGCACGCGGCGCATCCCCAAGCCCGACCTCGAGCGGTACAACGCCGGCATGCGCTCGTTCGACGAGACGTGGATCCCGGTCCTCCTGCGCCAACTCGCCGTCGACCCGCTCGCCATGACGGTCATCTCGCCCTTCCGCGAGTTCATCACGCTCCAGTTCAACGCGACGTGCTACGTGTCGTACAAGAGCACGCGGCTGTACGCCTCGTCGTCGGACGGCGGCGGGAGCGGGAGCGGCAACGAGGGCGGCGGAGGACGGCCGACGAGCAGCGGCGGGCCCGAGGGTCGCGCCAAGCGGCTCAGGACCGAGGGTCCGCGAGGGCTCAACGACTGGGAGTACGACGGGCTCGCCAAGTGCGTGCGCAGCGCCGAGTTGCTCGTCTTCTCGCTCAGCGAGGAGAGCCGGGTCCCGGGCGCGTGGAGGGTCGTCCAGTGGGAGGAGGCCGAGCGCGCCGACGGCTGGAGGAAGTTGATCCTCGACGACCAGATGGTCGAGCAGAGTCGGTGGGGCATGGACGCTATCGTGCGTCCCTCTCTCTCTTTCTGCGTCTCTTCTCTTTCGTCGTCGCAGGGCGCCCGGCCGCGAAACTCGACTGACTCGCTCTCTCGCCTTGCCCCTCCCTCTCTCTCTTTCCCCTCGTACCCTCCTCGACTACAGACCTGTGTCGCCTACATCTTCCCGCTCGTCTTCCTCAGCAAACTCGTCAACGAGGGCCTCCTCACGACTAACCTCACCCTCCTCCGCACGCCCGCCTCTCAGCCGGCGTGGCACTACACCCAGAAGCTCCCTCGCCTCCTCGAGCTCGGCGCCGCCTTCCTCGACGCCGTCGGCACGTCGCCGCACCACCCGTCGCGCGCCCAGGCGCATGTCGTCCGCACCCTCCTCGAGACGGGCATCAAGGGCCGGCTCCCGACGCCGCTCACGGGCCCGAAAGCGCTCGGGTCCTCGCTCGGCCTCCTCGACGGCGGTGGGCCGGGCGCGTCGAGCCCGGGCGGGACGGGCCCGAGCCACGCCGCGACCGTCATGAGCCCGAGCCCGCAGTCGCAGCCGCAGCCGCTCGCGCCCGTCGTGGACCAGGGCCAGAGCCAGATGGGCTACCCGCAAGGCGGCATCCCCTATCCGCCCGTGCCGCAGCAGTCGGGCGGCGGCCTGCCGTACCCGGCGACGACGGGCGCCGACGGCCGGCCCAACTGGGCGCCGCCGTCCTTCACGCCGACCTCGACCGGCGCCGGCGCCGGCGGACTCGGGCAGTCGATGTACACGTCGTCGTCGTCGTCTCGCGCGGGCGGGCAGGCGCCGCCTGAGCACTCGCCCGGTGCGGCGCACCCGCCGCCGCCCGTCATGATCCCGGGCATGGACGACGCGCTCGGGAGCGTCCTCAACGACTTTGAGCCGCTCTTTGGCGAGACGGACGGCGGCTTCTGGGAGTGGGCGGGACTGAGCGGCGGCAACAGTGCGTCCTCCTTTTTCTCTGTCTCTCTCTCCCTCTCGCTCCCTCGACGATGACCTGACTCGGCTCTTTTTCCCTCGCAGACCTCGTTCAGCCGCAGCCCTGAGCGCCTTTGCCTCCTCGACTCGAATCGATTCGTCTGCCTCGCCCTCGCCCTCGCTCGACCTGTGGGACCGCATCAACCTCGCCCTCAGCCATCGTGTCCCCTCCTTGTTGTTCCTCCTTCTCGCTCTCTGCGTCAGACTCTCTCGTCCTCGCGCCGTCATCTCTTTTAAGTACCCTGATGTCAACAACGTTGAATCGACTCTCTCGCACGCGCTCTCGCGAGAGCACGAAAGTACGAGAGGGAAGGAGAGATTGAGATCGAGAGCTCGCCGTCTACATCTGTGCCTCGCCCGCCCTCGCTCCCTCGCTGTCGCGCTCCTCCCGATGTACGACCGCATCCGCAGCGACACTCCCGACGCACCCCTCGGCGTCGAACGACTCCCACTCGCGCCCGCTGACGAGCCACCCGGCGAACGGGCCCTCGCCCGGCTCGCGAACGAGCGCCTTGAGGAGGCGGTACCGCTCGACAGCTGAGAGGCCGGCGAGCGTCGAGGCGAGGAGAGGGAGGGGAGGAGGGGAGGGAGTGGTCGGAGGATGCTTGGTCGAGAAGTACGTCGAGGACGAGGCGAAAAGTGACGACGGGGAACGTGCGAGGGGCGCGCTCTCTGTCGCCGATCTTGCGGACGTAGACGCTGCATCGTCGGCCGAGCTGTATGTGGTACGTCGATGCGAGGTCGAGAGAGGGGCGGGGCAAGAGGGAGGAGAGAGAGGACGAGGCAGGTCGTCGTGAGCTCGAGGTGCTTGAGAAGGTCGGGCGGTGGCGAGGACGCACATGCTGCTGAGCTTGTCGACGATGGATAGGTGCGTCTGGTAGAGCGACAACTTGCAGAGACGTGACCTGCGAGAGCAAGAGAGTCAGTCTTGACGCAGGCGGGCGACCGTTCACCACCTGCCTCATCCTCGAGGGCGAGAGAGACGGAGCGGCGCCGCGCAAGACGCACCTGTTCTTGGGGCCGAGCGGCTGCTCGGGTTTGCGCTTTGCTGAAGCTCCTTGCCGAATGCCGTTCGTGATGATCTCGACGGCTGGCGCCGAGTCGAGGTTGGCGATGTAGCTGAGCGCTGCGAACGAGGATGAGGAATCGACGCTCAGTATTGTTCCTCGAGCCCAGGCTCGAGTCGAGAGGTAAAGAGGGCAGGGACGCACACTCGGCGCACCCAGCGACGTCGGCCAAGTCGACCGCCTCTCGCTCGGCGACGACCTCCCTGGCGCCCTCGAACGCCCTCGGCGCGAACCCGACCTGCGGCACGCGGTACTCGTCCTCTCCCAACCCGATCCTCCTCGCCCAGCTCTCTATCCTTCCGCCGACCGCACGCACGCACTCGTCCCGGACCCGCTCCCTCGTCTCGACCCCGTCCTCGTCGTCGCTCACGCGCTCGAACCCGCCGACGACGAGCGCCTCGAGCGGGACGGCGCGCATGCCGGCGCGGGCGAGCAGCGCGCCCTGGAGCCCGACGAGCGCCCACAGGGCGAGCTTGTCGCTGCACGAGTGGGACGTCGTCGGCGGCGAGTCGGCGCGGCCGGGTTTGGTGCGCAGGATCGACAGGGTCGAGTAGGACGCGCGGCCGCGGTGGACGGCGGGGGGTGTAGGGGAGAGTGAGGTAGGCGTGGATGAGGTGATGGGAGAGGCTGGGAGGGAGGAGGAACTGGGCGTGGGCGAATGAGGGTCGCGCGAGGTGTGCATGCCGAGAGAAGCGGCGACGGCGAGCGATGGGTGCCGGGGCGAGGCCGCACCTTCTCCGACTCGTCCAGACGATGATGAAGAGCAAGTCGACGATGTCGTTGTTGGCGCATGGTCGCTGTCGACGGGCGCCGAGAGCGAAAGGAAATAGGTCGACGCGTCGCCGCCTGCAAGGATTGGGGGCCCGGTGAGCGCTCGTCGACTCGATACGAGCGTGGGAGAATCTCGAGACGCACACGGCAAGGTGCTGACGTAGAAGGCGGCCTTCCAGCCTGGCTTGAGGCTCCACTCGCCGTCGACTCGCTCGATGAGGAGGTCCCCCTCGCCGTGTACGCGCTCGCGCTCGTCCCGGGCGGCCCGCTCGATCTGGCGGTACAGCCAGAGCTTGAAGCCTCGTCGGGCAATGACCTCGGCGTGCGAGTCGTGCAGGACGTCGCCGTGGACAGGGAGACGAGCGTGAGGAAGCGCCTTGAGGCCGGTGCTGTGGGAGACGGGCACAGTGAGTGGGGGGCGGTCTGGATGGAGAGGGTTGTGACGCACCCTAAGGAGACACAGCGCACGTCGTAGTGGGCATGGTTGTCGAGCTGGCGGTAGAGGCAGACGGCGGCGAGGACGGTCCACTCGGATTGGCAGTTGGAGCGACGGCGAGGCTTGCCGTTTGGCGGGATCGAGGTGTACGTGTCGAGAGCGGCTGCAGCTATGGCCTGGCCGAGGTCGAAGCAGAGCATGAGCGGCGAGCGGAGCGACGAGTTGAGCGAGGACTGTGGGCGGCCTCCACCTCCATCCTCATCTTGGCGATCCCTCGTCACTCGCTCTCTGCCACGCCAGCTCGCTCAAGAGCACCACACGCTCGACACCATGGTCGCCTGGACCCAGCACCCTGTCGCCCACCGCCTGCGCTCCCACCCTCAACTGCGCTGGCTCTCGCCCGCCATCCTCGTCGACTGGCTCGTCGTCGCCTCCTCGGCCTCGCATCGCACTGGGTCGAGCGACAGTACCCGTACCTGCGCGACCCAGAACACTACCTCGCCGACCCCTCGCTCCACTTCGAGCACCTCTATGCCGAGCGCGTGCCGGCCAACCCTGGCGGCCTCCTCGACCAGCTCACGTGGTACCTCCCCGTCGCCGTCATCCTCGTCGTCGGCGGACTCGTCAAGCACTCGCTCCACGACGTCCACCACGGCCTCCTCGTCCTCTCGTCGTCGCGCGCCATCATGCGCCTCGTCGTCGAGTCGCTCAAGAACCGCGTCCGTCCCTCTCGCTCTCTCCTTTCCACCTCGTTGCCGCACCCTCCTGACCCAGCCACTGCCACACAGGTCGGCCGATTGCGCCCCGACTTCTTCTCGCGCTGCGCGTGGGACGCGACGGCCCACGCGTGCATGGGCCCCGTCGGCCTCGTCAAGGACGGCCGCCGCTCGTTCCCGTCGGGCCACTCGTCGACGGCGTGGCAAGGCCTGCTCGTCCTCGCGCTGTACCTCGCCGGCAAGAACGGTGCGTCCTCCTCGCCGCCTCGCCCCGTCTCGCAGCGACGTTCCTGACGATGCTCTGTCTCTCGAGGAAACAGGCGCGTTTGCGTTCGCGGCACCTTTCCCTCGGTCAGGCGTCCTCCAGTCGCGCCTCCTGCGGCTGTCGCTCGTCGTCGCGCCCCTGTTCCTCGCCGGGTGGATCTGCGTCACGCGCCTCGAGGACCACTACCACCACCCGACCGACGTCCTGACAGGCTCGCTCCTCGGCGCGCTGTCGGCCCTCGTCGCGTACTCGACCTACTACCCGAGCCCGTTCGTCCTGACGGCCAAGCCGGGCGCCGAGGGCGCCGACGAGCTCGCCGTCATGGACAAGCCGAGGCTCGTGTACGGCGCCAAGGAGGCGGCCGTCGACGACGCGTGGGGGCTCGCAGAGGAGGGCGGCAGGGTGCGCCTCGTCGAGGACGCGGCCGACGAGAGCGACGACGAGCGGCGGGCGGGCAGCGCCGCGTAGCAGCAGGGCAGGGCGCACGTGAGCGGGCGACGAGAGCCGACTTGGGAGCTAGACACGAGCGGCGGCGAGTAGAAGCCTCTTGATGAAACTATCGCTGTTGTCCCACTGTCTCTCACGCTTGCTCGACCTCGCCCGAGAAAGCGAGAGCGAGGACGAGAGCAGAGCGCGATAAGGCGGCGGCGGCGGCGAAGCGGAAGCGAGCCGGTCGAGCAGTGCCGTCGGGCCAAGTCGCAGCTTGAGAAGGCTGTCGTTGTGAAGCTGAGCCGGGTCTGTGCGCCAGTGGGTGGGCGAGGTGAGGGCGAGACAAGGAGGAGGACGAGTCGAGAGCCGAGTGTAATGGGGAATAGCGATGCGCAAGTGTTGAAAAAACTAAGGGCGCGCCGAGCGGTCGAGCGAGCCGGAGGGGCCCGCGCCGTCGCTCGCCCTCGTTTGAGCTGCCCCCCCCCTCCTCCCTCCCTCCCCTCTCTCCTCACCACAGTCGCAGCCATGCACCGCTCCCTGCGCCTCGCCCAGCTCACCAAGGCCGCTGCCGTGAGTCCCCTACCTTTACCGCCCTCCCCCGACGTCGCGTCGTCGAGACTGGGCCGAGCGAGGGGGGACCAACCCAGCTGACGAGCTCCTCCCACCCTCCGCTCCCACAGCGCCCGGCGCTCGCCCGCTCGTACGCGACCGCCAAGCCCGGTGCGTCCACTGCCTCTTTTCCCGTCCGACGAGCCTTTCAACTGACCCGCCGCGCGTCGTCGTCGTCCCTGCAGCGGCGTCCGAGGTGGCCTCCATCCTCGAGTCGCGCATCTCTGGCTCGACCGCCGGCGCGGATGTCCAGGAGACCGGCCGTGTCCTCACCATCGGTGACGGTATTGCTCGGTGCGCCCCCTCTCGCTCGCCCGATGCTCCTGCGCCGTCGACGTCGCCCTGACGCCGAACCTCCCCGTCCCCCTTCCTCCTCGTCCCACCTCCCCTCGACCGCAATTCGTCGTCGCCATACAGTGTCTACGGCCTTCGCAACGTCCAGGGTGCGCCCCAGCTCGCTCCCTCTCTGTTTCCCCCCCGAGTCCATGTACTGACTCGCCCCTCGCACTTGCAGCCGAGGAGATGGTCGAGTTCTCGTCGGGCGTGCGCGGCATGTGCCTGAACCTCGAGGCCGGTGCGCCCTCACTCTCTCGCTCCCCGTCGCCCTTCGGGCAACGCCCATCCTGACGCCGTCCTCGCCTCGCAGACAACGTCGGTGTCACCATCTTCGGTAACGACCGCGCCATGTGCGTCCCTCGTCCCTCTTGCGCCGCCCCACCTGCGACGACGACGACGACGGCAACTGACTCACTCCCTCTCTCCCCGACCACAGCAAGGAGGGCGACACGGTCAAGCGCACCGGCTCGATCGTCGACATCCCCGTCGGCCCCGACATGCTCGGCCGCGTCGTCGACGCGCTCGGCAACCCGATCGACGGCAAGGGCCCCATCAAGGCCGCCGAGCGTCGCCGTGCCCAGGTCAAGGCCCCGGGTGTCCTCCCGCGTGCCTCGGTCCGCGAGCCCATGTTGACCGGCCTCAAGCCCGTCGACGCCATGGTCCCCATCGGCCGTGGCCAGCGTGAGCTCATCATCGGTGACCGCCAGACCGGCAAGACTGCCGTCGCCATCGACACCATCCTCAACCAGAAGCGGTCCGTCCACCTTTTCACTCCCCTCGAGCGGCCCGTCGAGAGCGAGCCGACCCGAGACTGACCTTCCCTCGCCCCTCGCGCAGCTGGAACGACGGCAACGACGAGAAGAAGAAGCTCTACTGCATCTACGTCGCTGTCGGCCAGAAGCGCTCGACCGTCGCCCAGCTCGTGCAGACGCTCGAGGAGAACGACGCGCTCAAGTACTCGGTCATCGTCGCCGCCACCGCCTCGGAGGCCGCGCCGCTCCAGTACCTCGCGCCGTTCGCCGGCACGGCCATCGGCGAGTGGTTCCGCGACAACGGCAAGCACGCCCTCATCATCTACGACGACCTTTCCAAGCAGGCCGTCGCGTACCGCCAGATGTCGCTCCTCCTCCGTCGCCCGCCCGGTCGCGAGGCCTACCCCGGCGACGTCTTCTACCTCCACTCGCGTCTCCTCGAGCGCTCGGCCAAGCTGTCGGACAAGCACGGCGGCGGCTCGCTCACGGCCCTCCCCGTCATCGAGACCCAGGGTGGTGACGTCTCGGCCTACATCCCGACCAACGTCATCTCCATCACGTGCGCCCTCGTGTTTCTCTTGTTCCCGTGGTCGTCGAGGTGTGGGCCGACGAGGCGAGCGGGCGACGGCGTCGGCGAGACGGCGAGACGAGGCGGGAGCGACCCTCGAACCCTCGACTGACCCTCCCCTTCCACGCGCAGCGACGGCCAGATCTTCCTCGAGGCCGAGCTCTTCTTCAAGGGTGTCCGCCCGGCCATCAACGTCGGTCTCTCGGTCTCGCGTGTCGGCTCGTCCGCCCAGACCAAGGTGCGTCCCCGCATCTCTCTCTCTTTCCCCGCGAGGCCCTCCTCACCGAGCCGCCCGCCTCGCTCGTTCACGCCCACAGGTCATGAAGGCTGTCGCCGGTTCGCTCAAGCTGTACCTCGCCCAGTACCGTGACGTTGCCGCGTTCGCCCAGTTCGGCTCGGACCTCGACGCGTCGACCCGCTTCCTCCTCAACCGTGGCTCGCGTCTCACCGAGCTCCTCAAGCAGGGCCAGTAGTGCGTCCTCGTTCCTCTCGTTCTGAGTTCCTCTCGTTCTGAGGTGGCGGTGTCTCGAGGTGGCGGTGTCTCGATCGGGCGCGAGATGGGCCTGAGCGGAGCTGACCTGGAGCGTCCTCCCTTTCCTGCCCCCCTTCCTCCCTTCCTGCCCTCTCTCCTCGCCTGCGCCCTCCTCGCCACCTTCTCCGTCACGCCACTCCTTCGCCGTTGTCGTTGTCCTTCAACTCGTCCTCGTCGCCCCTCCTCGCCTCCCATCCCTTCGCCTTGCCTCGCCGCCTTCCCGCCTGCAGCCAGCCTCTCCCTATCGAGATCCAGGTTCCCATCATCTAGTAAATCGCTTTTTCTCGTTACGAGGGGGCGCGCGTGCGCTCTCGAGCGACCTTGGTCGTCTCGAGGAGTCGCGGCGCTCGGCCGTCGTCCCACCCACAGCCGGTCCTGACCTCGCCTCCCTCCTGCAGCGCCGGTGTCAACGGTCTCCTCGACCGCGTCCCCGTCGACCAGATCGGCGCGTGGGAGAAGTCCTGTGCGTCGCCGTCATTTCTCCTCTCAACTCTTCGCCTCTCCCACTTGAGACTGACCTCGGTCCCTCTCCCGCCCGCAGTCAAGGAGCACCTCACGTCGTCGCAGCAGGGCGTCCTTGCCGAGGTTGGCAAGGGAACCATGACCAAGGAGCTCGAGGCCGACCTCAAGCGCATCGTCACGGAGTGCGTCCCTGCTCTCTTCCGCTCTCTCGTCTTTGCCCTCGACCAGTCCCTGACCCGCCTCTCTCTCTCTCGCAGGCACGTCTCGTCGTACGTCTCGGCGTAAAGCAGCCCGTTCATCCGGGTACCTTAGACCGAGCAGGTGCGAGTCGTCGTCTCGAGGGAGGCGCTCGAGCCGGCGGCTAGGAGGTGGTTCTCTTTCTCGAGCTTGTCCGTATGTGCCGAAGGAGGACGGCCGGAGCAATCCAAAATCGGTGTCTTTCTCTGCCTTGCGTCGCTGTGCGTGCCGAACTGCGAGAGCTGCTGGAAGAGAGAGCGAGGAAGCGACAGCGAGGCGAGCGAGCGAGTTGGCGACGAGGAACGCGGCGGTCCGTTCGCTGCAACCTTTGCGCGCTTTCACGCTCTTCCTGCGTCGTCTGGTCGGCGACTGGGCGGGCTGCTGTACTGCTGCGTGCCCCCCTGCTCCCGGACCTCCTCACTTTTGACCTTCTCAACTTGCCCGCTCGCTTCGCTCTCGCACGAGTGTCCTCACTTGGCTCCTTTCGCTCTGTGAGGCGCTCTCGCGTGACGTCTACGAGTTTCTTGGTCTATCGTACGGCCGAGCGACCAGCGAGCAGAGGAGAGCGGGCGATTTCGATCTCGACCGACGGACCCTCGGGCCCTCGTAACCCTCGTAACCCTCGTAACCCGCGGGCAGTCCAGATCCAAACGGGCGGTCTCGCTCGGGCCCAAGGCCTCGTGTCGCGCGCACGGCAGACTTGCTGGACTCTCGGGACTACCAGCTTGAGTGGAGGACCTCGGGCGAGAGCACGGAGCCCGAGTCAGAGCCCGCCTTTCCTCACTCTCCTCCCTCCTCCAGCCCGCTTTCCTTTCTCCGCTCTCGCTCGTCCTGGGTCGCTTGAGGACCCGGTCGCTCAACTCTCGAGTTACGCTGACGACAGTCGAGTCGAGAGCGAGGGCGAAAGCAAGCGAGAACCGCTGGTCCAGAGTGGCTCCAAGCGGGGCCCGTGCGCCCAGTCCAGATCCAAACGGCTGACCTCGCTTGGGTCTCGACGGCCGCCGCGGGACTTACAGCGCACACGTTCTTTGCCCACGCGAGCTGTGTCTACGTGCGCTTGCGCCCAACGACCGTCGAGCCCTCTCGCGCCTTGCGCAAGCGGGGAGGAAAGGAGCCCGACCAGGTTCCCTTCTTCAACCCTCAGGTCCGCCGTCCTCGTGCCCCTATCGCAGAGCCCGACCTCGGTCGCCTCGCTCTGACGGTCGGCTTGAAGCCACTGCGAGCGTGCGGGCTGCTCTTGCTGCTGCTTCTCCCCCTGCTCCCGGACCTTCTCAACTTTGACCTTCTCGAGTTGGCCTCACCGCTCGCTCTCGCACGCTACTTGTGCCTCTCACGACTCGAACACACTCGACTCGACCGAGCAGGTCATACTCGGGAGCGCTCTCGCTCAGACTTGGTCCTCTGACCGCCCTGTTCCTCCTCATTTTGCTCCGAACTCGCTACTGGCTCCTCTCGGCGTCGCTCTCGCTTCTCTTCTCGGCGGCCGCGAATCGCTCTCCCGGTCGGCTCGAGGCAACTGCGACTGTGCGGGCTGCTGTGCTGCTGCTTGTCCCGCTGCTCCCGGCTACGTCTCGCGCAGCGATGGTGGGCGGGCAGAACGGGACCTTCACAAGGTGTGGCGCCTGCTCTCGCGCCACACACAAGGCTTTCTCTGGGCCGCGCGCTTGCCAGAGCCTCACGGAGGACGTAACGAGCGCAAGAGGGAGGCGAGGTCAGGACCGGCTGTGAGAGGGACGACGGCCGAGCGCCGCGACTCCTCAAGACGACCAAGGTCGCTCGAGAGCGCACGCGCGCCCCCTTGTAACGAGAAAAAGCGATTTACTAGATGATGGGAACCTGGATCTCGATAGGGAGAGGCTGGCTGCAGGCGGGAAGGCGCGACTCGTCCTGGCCTCCACGAAGGCCCGTACGGACCCATGGTTCTTTGCGCTTCGCTCGCTCGCCACCCACCTCGAGGAGCATGACGGTGACTACTCTCTCAGCTCGTAGACAGTGCAAAGAATGCCTGGAGCAACCCCGCAACTTCGACAGGTGCAAGTGGACGTCCAGTCGAGCCGATCGGAATGCGCCGCGGCGACTTACTAGTCTCCCTTACGGACTAGTAAGGACTAGTAAAAAAAGAGGGCGTGGCGGCTGCCCGGAGTCGAACCGGGGACCACTTGCAATCGTGCGCCCAAAGCAAGTATGATAAACCTCTACACCACAGCCGCCAACTGCGCCATCAAAACGCTTTAGAACGCTCGAAATGACTTTTGCAATACAAGTAGAGCAATGCACGCGCTTTTGCAGTACTCGTAGAGCAACGTGTGCGCGTCGCTATCTCGAGCTCGATCGCAATAGCAAAGTCTTCTATTGCCAATACAAAGTCGATACGGCAAAGGTTTCGATTGCGCGCGAGCTGCTACAGGCCCTGCTCCTCTGCCCACCGCACGAGCGCTTCGAGAAGACGCACTGCGCCCGACTTGTACGATCGCTGTCGAGAGAGGAGGTGGGACGAGAAGGAGTCAAGGACCGTGCGCGCGTGACGACGAGGAAAGGGAAACGCGGGACGCACACCAAACATGAGCATGTGGTTGAGGTGGTGGTACGCCTCGTAGAGCTGCAGACGCTGCTCGTACTGCTCGACGGGCTCCGATCTGGGCACGAGCGAGTGATACGTCTCGTAGAACGCCGGCGCGAAGCCGCCGAACATTCTCGTGATGCCGAGGCTGCGGGACGGCGCGACGACTCAGTCACAGGCAGGGAATATCGACTCGACGCGACGTCGTCGAGGCTTGAAGCGGACGAGGAAGACCGTGGTGACGAGGGGAAAGGGAAGAAAAGAGCTCACTCTGCCTCGCTGTGACCGTAGTAGCTCGAGGGGTCGAAAGTGATGGGCGCGTGGCGGTCGTTCGAGAAGCGCGCGTTGCCCGACTGTGTGAGAGAGGACGTCAGGCTTGCGCCGAACGAGGAAGAAGGAAAAGAGCGAGCCGAGCGCACCCAGAGGTCGCCGTGCAGGATCGACGGCTTGACGTCGAGTCGACCGAGGAGCTCAGGGATGACACTGCAGGAGTACGAGAGAGTCAGTACGAGGCTCGAACGTCGCAGAGGAGGCGGCGGGACGCACCGTTGCCGCACCTCCTGGGCGAGCCGCAGCAGCTCCGGGTCGCCGATCCGCCTCGCGAGGTCACCAATCCTGCGCTCACCGTAGAAGCCGGCCCAGCTGTCCATCTCGGCGTTCTCCTGCTGGGTCGCGCCGCAGCATGTCGGCACCGAGAAGCCGAAGCGCTGACCGTCGGGCGCGGGCGCGAGGTGCATCTTGGCGACGAGCTCGGCGAGGCGAGCTTGTTCTGCCGCCGGGATAGCCGACAGGTCTGCGGAGAGAAGTGATCAGATCCCTGCCCTGCACGGGCACCAGGAAGAAGGGGAACAGAGGGCGCACCGTGCCATTCGGAGAGCATCCAGCTCCGGCCCTGCTCGTCCGTCCCGCTGCCGAGCAGCCTCGGGGCGACATCTGCGCAAGCCGCGTTGATCGCTCGCAAGCTCTCGGCCTCGCCGACGAGCTGCGTCGAGTCGCTGCCGGCCGTCTTGTAGAGGTAGCGCTGTCGCGCTGACGTCGACTCGGACGCCGAGATGAGGTCGCCCGAGCGGGTGAAGGTCGCGCTCGTGTCGTGCAGCGGCTCGAGCAGGTCGAGGACGTGCTTGGGGAGGCTCATGGTCGTGCACGAGGGTGCGAGAGGCTGTGGGTGGAAAGCGAGCGTAGCCGGCCCGAGGTGGGGAAGGCGGGGTCGACGGCTCTCTCTCCCTCGCGCGCGCTCTCGCTCGACATCTGCTCATGCGACGGTCGAGAGTGCGAGAAGGCCGAGGCCATGACAATGCAAACGAGGCGTGACAAGGGGAGGAGGACAAGCTGGCGGCGTGAAAGAGCGAGCCGATGCAGAAAGAGCGAGGATACAGGAGGGGGGACGACGCCGAGAGACTCGTGATACAGACAGGGTGACGAGAAAGAGAAGGAGAGGGAAAAGAGCGAGACGGCTCAAGCGTCGCCGCCCTTGAGCGAGCTGACGATGGCCTGGCGCTGGCCAGCAGCGCCGCCCGACCACGTGTTGGCGGCCGCAGCCGCGCTCGTCGCCTCGGCGGCGGCCGACTCGACCTTGCTCGCCGCGGCCGAGTAGGCCGACGCGACGCGCGACTTGCCCTCGCCGGCGTACGACGACGCCTTGGCGACGTACGAGCTGAACGCCGACGTCGCCGACGCCCACTGCGCCTTGGTCGACGTCGCCTCGCGAGCGGCGGCCTCCTTGGACGAGTCGGCGACCTTGGAGAATGACGCGACCGCCTTGGACGAGAAGGAGGCGGCGGCCTTGGACGACGACGCGACCGCCTTTGAGGCCGAGACGACGGGCGCCGCGTCGTTGCTGAACGCCTGGCCCGTCAGGGCCTTCCACGCGCCCTCGCCGGTCCAGACCTGCAGGAAGAGAGGAAGAGTTGGCGCCTGAGGGAGAGAGCTCGAGAGAAAGGCGAACGAGGCGACGCACCTCAAAGTCGGCGGCCCCTGCGCCCGGCTTGGTGATCTGCCAGAACATGTTCGAGATGCCCTGCGCGTTGAACGCGTTGACGAACTGCGAGATGACGGTCGCCTTGTTGGCGCCGGCCATGCCCCACTCGCCTGCGAGGGAAAGAAAAAGGGAGAGGTCAGGCTCGCGCTCGTCTCGCTCAACGCCGCCGAGGAGAGGACGAGGACGCACCCATAATGACCTCCTTGCCCGGGTGTGCAGCCTTGGCCGCCGCGAGGGCGCCGGCGGTCGCCGCCGCCGACGTACCGTAGTCGTGGACCGAGATGATGTCGAACGCCGAGCAGCCCGTCGCCCACGAGCCGAGCGACGACGACGTGGTGATGCCGCCGCCGCTCGAGACCTTGATGTTGGACGTGATGAGCGACTTGAGGTACCGGGCGCGGTCACAGGACCAGGTCGACGAGGCCATCTGCATGTGCTGCAAGGGCGTGAAAGGACGAGAGTCAGTGACGCGAGCTCTCACTGCGACATCGGGAGAGAAAGGGGACGAGACTCACGCCCTGGGGCTCGTTCTGCGCTGCGAGAGAGAACGGGGAAACAGAGCGAGTCAGACGAGGTCGAGACGAGGGCCGAGCGGGCTCGAGGAGGACGACCGACTCACGCTCGACGGCGTAGATGACCTCGTCGAGGTCGGCCCACTTCTGCCCGCCCATGAGCGCGTTCTGGTGGTTCATGATGTGCGACAGGCGGTCCTCGAACATGTTGATCGCCCACGCGTTGGTGTAGAACGAGCCGGCATTGGCGACCTTCTGCACGCCGCTCGAGCCGGCGGCGACGATGTTGAGCTGCGTCGCGTACGAGTCGGTCGACCAGAAGCCGAGGGCGTAACGGTCCGACAGGGCGATCATGAGCTTAAGGCCTGCGACCGCCAGAGAGTCAGAAAGGTGGACGAGGCGGCGACACGGGGCCCGACAGAGAGAGAGAGAGAGAGAGGGAGACGCACCTCGCGCCTTGCAGTCGACCATGAGCTGGTCGATCAGCTCGAGAACCGTGTCGTCGTACGCTCCGACAGCGCTCGGCTCGACTGTGGACGGGAGGAGAGTGTGAGCGCCAGGCTCGAGAGAGGGCGCGAGGCGAGAGAGGACGAGGGGACGGACCATCGTTGACGGCGCGGTTGCTGCTGCCCTTGTTGTTGGCGCCGACCGAGGCGACAAAGATGCGCACGACCTTGAAGCCGGCGCCCTGGATCGCGTCGAGGACGTCTCGCCGGTCCGAGTCGTACAGGGCGTGGAGGTAGTACGACGAGACGCCGCGCCAGAAGTTGTCCGACCCGCCAGACGCGAGCGGGTACTGCTCCGACGCACGCGCCTCGAGGTCGTCGCGCCGCTCGAGGTCGTCGACGGTCGACGACGAGTCGACGACGCCGCGGCGCTCGCGCTCGCGCACGTCCTCGTTGCGGCCGCCGAGGCGCTGCGCACTCGCAGGCTGGCGGCGCTCGATCGAGCGCTTCTGCATGCCCGTGCCGTGGTGCAGGGCCTGGAGGCGCTGGTGCCGGCGCACGACGCTCTCGCCCGACGACGACGACGAGCCGTTCGAGCGCGACGCGGTGCGGCCGCTCGCCGGGGTCGCCTGCGCTGCAGCCGACTGGGCCGACGCCTGCAGGGCGTACAGCTGGTCCGGGTTGGGCGGTGCGGCGACGGCGAGGGTGGATGCGGCCGAGAGGGAGAGGACGGCGAGGGGCAGGAGGGACGAGAAGTGCATGGCGACTGGTCGAGGCGGGCGGGTTCGAGAGCTGGCGGTGAGGGGTCGAGGGCTCAAAGGAGTGTGGGCGGGTTGGACGGCTGCGACCAGCACAGGCGTTCAAGAGCCGAGAGGAGGAGGAGGGGGAGCCGAGGCGAGCGGCTGTGGGGCAGGCGGCGGCGGCGGCGGCGGCGACTGTGGGTGCTCGTGTGGTGGGCCTTGCGTGGCAGCGCTTGAGGGCTGTGCTGACGGCTGGCGGTCGAGGAGTGCTGAGGACGAGGAGAGCGAGGCGAGGCGGCCCGCGGAGCTTTCGCTGGGTTCGCTCGTCCGCTTGGCCGCAGCTCGAGTACTTACTCTGCATGGCCCCGAGACACATCAGCGAGGCCGGGACCGCAAGGAGGAGCGTCAGACAGAGGGAGATTAATATTCAGAGACGTGGTCGAAAGCGCCGGATGCGGCAGCCAGCTCTCACTTTGAGAAGGCGGCTTGCAAGCTGGCTGTACCGAGGCCAGGGCCTCCGCACCGCGCCACTTTGTCGCCCACTCGTGCCAGAGGGCCGCATCGCCGCGACGGGACGGAGCCTCGCCGGCGTCGCCAGACGGAGCGCTCCTCGCAGCTCTGCGCCTCGCCTCGGCCGCCGACCTGGGCTTGGTGCCGCCCGCAAGCTTGCGCCCGCTCGCAGTAAAGCGGGTGTCCGACTGTGTGCGAGGAACGTCAGGCGATGCGCGATCGCGTGAGCGCGAGGAGGAGACGGCGGCCGACCGGCGCCGCCGTTCGCGAGGCGGTCCGACCGCAGGCGACCGGCGTCTCTGCCTGGACAGACTCGTTCTCGCCCAGCTTTCGTGCGGGCTGTCGCAGAGAGTCGTGCTTCGCGGCGCGAGGAGAGAACGTTTGATTCCACGAGCGCAATGATCCGCTTCGTCCCGCTCGGACCTCGCCTTCATCAAGGCCGCTTCCCGCCCGCGTGCGAGTCCTCTGGCGCTCGTGGCTACGCGCCGAGTTCGGCACAAGCTCCAGAGCGACGACTCGGCCGTCGAGGTCAACCTTTCCCGGCGGTTCGTCGGACACGCCGCCTGCGACTCGCGGGCCCGTGGCTGGCGCTCTCCTCCTCAGCTCTCTCTCGAACGTCGAGAGCGGCGAGCTCACGACGCTCAGACTCTCTCGTGAGCGGTCTCTCGACGAGAGATCGAGAGTTTGGCGGTAAGCGAGAGGACCGGGCTTGTCCTGTCGCTCACTCGAAGCAGCTCTCGACAAGCTCACGATGTGCACCTCTCGGTCGATCAGGGTCTGCGAGATGAGCGCCGCAGCGGTGAGGTTACACGACGAGGCATGCCCGGCCTAGAAGCCGTACGACGAGTAGCCCCCGCCGGCTCTCCTCCCGCCGCCGTGGCTGTGGAAGCCGCCACCGCCGCCGAACCCGCCGCCGCCCATGCCGCCGCCGAACAGGTCCTCCATGTTGAACGCGCCGCCGCCGAACCCGCCACCCATGCCGCCCATGCCGCCCATGCCGCCAAAGTCGTCGTAGCCCGACATGCCGCCGGTCGGGTCGTCCTCGTCGATGCCCTGGTCGAACTTGGCGCGGCGCTGCGGGTCCGACAGGAGCTCGTACGACGCCTTGATCTGTGCGAGGGGAGAGGGAGGGAGAGTCAGGTCGAGTCGGACGAGGGCTTCGAGGGAGAGTCGGGCGCACCTCCTTGAAGACGGCCTCGTCGCCGCCCTTATCCGGGTGGTGCCGCAGGCTCATCATGCGGCTGAGAGAGAGAGAGAGAGAGAGAAGCGAGGAAGAGAGGAGAAAGCGAGGGAGGGACAGACAGAGGTGGATGAGGGAAGGGCAGGGAGGAAAGACGGTCAGTTCTCGCCTCGCACGCCGACGGTCTCGACGAGGGATCGGGACGCACTAGGCCTTCTTGATCTGGATCTCGCTCGCGTCCGCCTCGACGCCGAGGATCTTGTAGTGGTCCTGCGAGACGGTGGCCGAGGAGGAAGGGGAACGAGACGACGAGTGAGCTCGACGAACGACCGAAACTCGGGCTCGAGAGAAACTCGTAGCGACGCACCTTCATCTTGCTCTTCTTGAGCGCCGCCTCGGCCTCGCGAACCTCGCGCTTGAGCGCCTGCTCGTCGGCGCTGCCCTGCGGCGCGAGCTCGAACGCCTGCTTGAAGTCGCGCACGGCCGCCTCAAAGTCCTCCTGCGCGAGGTGCGCCCGCGCCCGGGTGCGGAACGCCTTGAAGTGCGTCGGCGACAGGGTGACACAGGTGGTGCAGTCGGCGATGGCCGAGGCGTAGTTCTTGGCCTGCGGCGGACGCAAGAGAGGAGCGTCAGTGCTGCGAGAGGCGGGCGTCGACGCGCCCGCACCTGGCGGGCGAGCACGTCGCCGACGAGGAGAGAGCGAGGGGACGCACCCGCAAGTAGGCTGCCGCACGGTTGCTCAAGAGGACGGCCTTGATCGTCTCGTTGTCCGGGTCGGCGTCCATGGCGTCCGAGTACTTCTGGATCGCCTCGTCGGTGCGCTGCTCCTTGAACGCCGTGTTGCCCTGCTCCTTGAGCTGCTCGACGAGCCGGATGCGCTTGAGGAGGGTGCTGGGCAAGGCAAGAGGGGTAAGTCGAGGAAGAACAGGAAGAGGGCGAGCGCGAACGAGGGAGCGCAGGACGCACCGAGCTCGCGAGTAGTCGGGATCGTTGCGCAGCGCTTCTTGACAGTGCTTGATCGCCTGGTCGTTGCTGCCCGACAGGTACAGGCACAGGCCGCGGTAGTAGAGCGGCTCGGGCTGCTTCGGGTCGAGGCGCAAGAGGTCGCTGCAGGTGGGGCGACGAGTCAGTGCGAGTCGCTCGAGGCGTGCGGTGCGCCGTGTCGAAGGAGTGGGGGGTCGCGAGAGGGAGTGGAGGAGGGAGGGAGGAAGGGGGGCACGCGGGCGGGGAGGGACGGAAAGAAGGAGAGGAGGACGCACGCAGCCAGGCTCGCCGCCTCGTCGTAGCGCTTCTTGCCGACGAGCGCCTCGACCTTCCAGATGCGCCACTCCCTCGGGGTCGCGTCGGCCTCGCACTCGCGCGCGGCGGCGTCGACGCCGAGGAGGACCATGCTCCACTCCTTGCGCTCGAGGTCGCGCCGAATGTTGCTCACGTGCTGGGCGACGCGCTCGGCCCGGCTCTTCTCGGTCGCGACGGCGCGGTTGCCCGGCTCGAGGCGGAACGCCTCGTGGAGCGACTGCTGGGCGGGCGCGACGAGGCCGAGCGCGAGCTGGCACTTGGCCGTGCGCAGGAGCGTCTTGCTCTGCGGGTCGTTCTTCTGGAGCGCCTGGGCCGCGAGGCAGTCCTCGAGGGCGGCGCCGAACAGCTTGAGGAGCATGCGCGCGGCGGCGCGGTTGAGGTGGTACGACGGCTCGGACGGGTCGAGGTCGATCGCGTGCGAGTAGTGGCGCACGGCCGTCGCGTAGTCGGCGCGCTTGTACGAGACGTTGCCGAGCTCCTTCTTCTCGGCGGCGCGCGCGACCCGCTCGGCGTCGCTCAGGTCGCTGTCGGCCTTGACCGGCGGGCGCGAGTCGACCGAGTCCGACGAGTCGTCGTCCGAGTCCGAGTCGTCGTCCGAGTCCGAGTCGCCGCCGTGACGACCGTTGCCGTTGCCGTTGAACTGCGAGTCGTACGGGTTGGTGAACGAGGCGGACGCGCCCGAGGGCGACGCGAACGAGAAGTCGCCCGACGGCGTAAAGTTGCCCGACGACGAGGCGCCGTTGCTGCCGCCGGCAGATTGACGAGCTCTGCAGGCAGACGAGAGAGCAAGGTCAGTCTTGCGCGCTGATCGGGATGCGCTCGAGGGATGCTCTCGTCGTGCGCGAGAGCGGAAACGGAGCGATGGCCATTCCGGCGCAACTATCGCTCTGCGGGGCCGCCCCTGCTTCAGGCCTGCTCGAGTACCGCTGCGAACGCTGTACCTGCCCTCGCGCGTCCACCAAGGTCCCGCGACAGCGAGTGGCTGCTGAGCGAGCGGTTCCTGCCATCTCGGACGCCTCGTCCCTCGTCCCTCGCTCGCCCTGGAGCTCGCCTGCCACCACAAAGAGGCCGCACACCCACGTTGCAGAACCGTGGAAGAGAGAGAGTGCGGACGGACCTGGCGGTGCTTCGTCGCTGAGCTCCGGACCTTTTGGCGTTGGGCATCGCTTGGTGCGAGAAGGCGGGAGGGCGCTTCGTGGTCGGCCGCAGTCGAGTGTGGGAGCGACGGTGGCGCGGTCGCAGCAGTCGTGCAGGTGCTCGCGAGGTGGACGAGAGGTGGACGCCGGCTCACCTTCAAGTTCGCGACGACGGCGGCTACAATTTCCGACACAACCGCTCAGAGTGCTTCCGTTCCAAATCTACAAGATCTCTCATGCTTTAGTAGCAGGTCTTGTGGTGCGCGAGTAGCTGGATGAGCTGAAAGCGATTTTCCCGGCGTGGAAGAGCGGGCCTTCGCTCGCAAGTGTGCCACGGCGCGGCTCGCGGTTGCGATCTTCTGTGAGCGGCTCGACAGTGCATCTACTGCCAAGCCAGGCCCACCAGAGGTGGTGGTCGACGGTGCCAAATTGTGGTCGACGCGCGCTCGACGCGTCGTCGCTCCTCGCTCGCCTCCCTCCCCTCTCTCTCCTACCTCGCTCAGCTCGCTCTTCTCCAGCACCTCAAGCACCGATTCTCGTCACTCTCGCCCACCATGCTTGTGAGCCCTTCTTTCCTCTCCTCCCCGCTCCACCGCGTCCTCGCCCCTCCTCCCACAACTCGCGTCCGTCCCTCCTCGACCGCCTCGCACCCGCCCCCAGCGCACTCGCCACCACGCGCAGTCGAGTGTGGAGCCATGCAGCGCACGAGGGCGAGTAGCGCACGCGCGCAAAGGCGAGCAGATGTCGAGGAGCAGGGCGACGGCGTCGCGCTCGGCGACGACCCACCTCGACGCGTCCGCACCGCCTCGCGACCCCAAGCAGGCTCTGCGACGAGGTTGCTCTGCTCCACGGAGCTTGAGCAGCCCGTCGCAAGTCGTGCGCGCCTCTCGAGCCCCTTTCCACCCTACGCCCACACCTCGTCCTGGACGCGTCGCCTCGTTCGTCGACCCGCACCGCCGAGACTCGCCTTGCCTCGCGCGACAAAGGTCGACGAGCATCTCAGGAGCAACGTCGAACGCGCGCATGCGTCGGATCGGTCACTGACTCTTTCCTCCCTCCCTCCCTCGTTCCCCTTCTGCAGGAAGCTCGCCTCGAAGAAGCCGACCTCCTCAAGAAGGTGCGTCTCTTGCTCCTCTTCATTCCCCGTCTGCAGCATGTGCTGCGTCGAGAAGTCGTTCTCCCAGTCGCCGAGCGGTACTGACGGCGTCCCTCTCCTCGCAACAGGTCCTTGACGGTACGGCCGCTCTCCCACGTTCGCCACGGCGGCCGAGTTGCCCGAGCCGTGCTCGAGGCAGAGCCTGGTACTTACGTGTCGTCCTTGCCCCCTCACAGCCGTCAAGGAGCTCGTCACCGACGCCAACTTTGACTGCTCGGACGAGGGCATCGTACGTCCTCCCTTCCTCCTTCTACGCCCGGTCCCGCCGCCATCAAGCCCGCACTGACCATTTTCGCACCCCGCGCACCGGTTCCCTCTTGCAGAAGCTGCAGGCGATGGACAACTCGCACGTCGCGCTCGTCTCGCTCAACCTCATCAAGTCGGGCTTCAGCCAGTACCGCTGCGACCGCGACATGTGCGTCGCCCGTCCTCGCCCATCCTCTTGTACGAGCCACGGCGACTGACTACGAGTCCCGTTCCCGCGCAGGTCGCTCGGCATGTCGCTCACGTCGCTGCAGAAGATCGTCAAGTGTGCGGCCAACACGGACACGGTCACGCTCCGCGCCGACGAGTCGCAGGACGTGCTCGCGCTCCTGTTCGAGGCCAAGAAGACGGACCGCGTCGGCGAGTACGAGATGAAGCTCATGGACATCGACCAGGAGCACCTCGGCATCCCCGACACGGTCTACGACGCCGAGATCGACCTCCCGAGCGGCGAGTTTGCGCGCATCATCCGCGACCTCAAGGAGCTCGGCGAGAGCGTCAAGATCGAGGTCAGCAAGGACGGCGTCCGCTTCTCGAGCGAGGGCGACATCGGCAACGCGTCCGTCACGCTCAAGCCGACCGACCGCCGCGGCAAGGAGGCGGCGAGCGACTCGGACGAGGACGAGTCCGAGGCCGAGGGTTCGGACGACGAGGACAAGAGTGACGAGGAGGAGGAAGAGGAGGAGGAGGAGGAGGAGCCCAAGGAGGAGGACGAGGATGTGCGTCCGCCTCTCTCTCTGTCTCTCTCCCTCCTTTGCTCGTTGGACCACATGACTCACCCAGCCCTCTCGTCCCGCAGGTCCAGATCGCCGACGGCTCACAGGAGGACCAGAAGCCCACCGTGGCGGCGTCCGGCGACGAGGACGAGGACGGCGACGCGTCGTCGCCCAAGAAGAAGCGCGCTGTCGCCGACTCGGAGGACGAGAACGACGACGAGGACCAGCCGAGCGCCAAGAAGGTCAAGGGCGAGAAGGGCGCCGCCGTCAAGAAGGAGAAGGACGCGGCCGCGGCCAAGAAGGAAAAGGAGAAGGAGAAGAAGAAGAAGGCGGCCGAGAAGGACAAGGCCAAGAGGCAGGTGCGCACGCCTCTCTCCTCCTGCACCCCACTCTCTCAGTCGATACCGTTGCTGACTGTCTCGTCGCGCCCTCTCGTCCCTCTCTCTCGTCCCTCTCGCTCTCCAACCCTTTTCCTCCCCACTCTCGACCTCTCGACCACCCTCGTGCGACCTACAGAAGGAGAAGGAGAAGAAGGCCGAGAAGAAGAAGGCCGAGAAGAAGAAGGCGGTGGCCAAGAAGGGCAAGGCCAAGAAGGAGGACGAGGACCAGAAGATGGACGTCAAGATCAACCTGCAGCAGGTGCGCCCCCTTTCCCCTTGTCTGTCCTCCTCAGTTGACGTGCATCCCTGACCCTCGCCGTCCGTCTCTCCCTCGCGCAGGCCGTATCGCTCACGTTCTCGATCAAGTACCTGTCCAACTTCGCCAAGTCGACGCCGCTCTCGGACCGCGTCCAGCTCCACATGTCGAACGAGGTGCCGCTCCTCGTCCAGTACTCGTTCGACGCCGGCAACGTCCGGTACTACCTTGCGTGCGTCCTCGCTTCCGTTTCTCGCCCGCCCTATCTCGCCCTCAAGCCCTCCTCCCTTGCTCTTCTCCTCCTCGCCCTCGCCGTCCTCCGGCTCCCTCTCTCTCCACGCACTGACCCTCCGTTCGCCATGTCTGCAGGCCCAAGATCGCCGACGAGTAGGCTCGGCGCCTTTGCACAGCCAGAGGAGGAGAGCAAGGGGGGGCCACAGGAGGGAGGGCCCGGTTCCCGTCGGGGTCGCTGCGTCGCAGGTCGTCAGCTAGTGTCAGTGCGCTTAACCCATGTAACTTTCTCGTCTTTTTCGTTTTTCTTCTCGGCGCTGCATAGCTCGTCGTCGCCGTCGTCGTCGTCGAGAGACTGTCGAGGGCAAGAGAGGAAGCGAGGACGAGAACCGTGCGAGCTCTGAAAGCGGCCAGCAAGAGCGGTGACAGCGCGCGCCGCCGCCGCTCGGAGCACATGCGTGCGAGAGAGCGAACGCGGCGACAGCGCGAGGGAAGCGACAAGCACGCCGCGTTCGCAACCATGCGAGGCAACTTGAGAAGGTCGTGCGTCGGCGAGCTCGCTCGAGAGCGGGGCGCGAAAGCTATTGCAGGCACTGCTCAAGCGCTAGACAAGGTACAGGCACCATAATGTCTCCCTGCTCGCGCAACCTCCTCCTCCGCGCGCCCGCACACGCTCGTTTGGCTTGCTTGTTAAAAAACGGTCGACGCCGCGGCGGCACTGCGAGCGGTGCAGGCATGGCGCCGAGCGGACACAGGAGACGATGCACATGCTGCTCTGGCAAAGCGATAGAGCGGAGCGAGGAGCAAGTCGCAGCGAGAGAAGGAGCAAGAGAGGCGCGACGACGACGAGAGCCGACTTGTCACTGAATCACTCGCTCACGTTCTCTCTGCGCTCGCAAAAGCTGCTTGCAGAGGTACCGAGCTGCGTTGCACGCATCGTTGCTGCACTCGTGCGACGAGCACGCGGCGGCACTCGGAACGACATCGAGGGCGAGAACGACGAGACGAGGTCCGGGTCTCGTTGAAGGGGAGGGCAAGAGGGATTCAAAGAGGGCGAGGTAGTCGAAAGGCGAAGAGCGGAGACGGGTAGTCGAGACAAAAGGTGCGAGGAGAGAGACATGAGAGGAGAGGGAAAAGAGGGGAGAGGGGTATCGTAGGCGCCCGTCCTCGCGACGCCGCCGCCGACGGCCACGCGCTGCTCAGTGCATGCCGCCGTACGCCGCCGCGTCCTGCTCGTCATCGCCGTACGCGTCGAGGCCGCCGTTGCGGATCGACAGCCGCCGCTCGAGCTTGTCGCCTCCCGGCGAAGCCGCGCCTCGACGCTGCTGCCCGCCGGCGAGCGCCGACAGCTCCTCGTCGCTCCACGCCTGGCCGACGACGCCGCTCTGCGCATGCGACGACGGGCCGGCCGGGGCGCGACCGGCAGAGCCGGCGCCGTGGTAGAGGTCCCACTTGGCGTCCTGGGCCTGCGCCGACGCGCCGCCGGCCGGTCCGCCGGTGTGCGACGGCTCGAAGAAGGTCTGCTGCACGTTGGCGTTGGTGGGCGTGCCGCTGCGGCTCAGGCTCTCGCCGTGCATCTGCTGGTGCTGGTGCTGGTGCGCGTACCCGCCGCCGTACCCTCCTGCGCCGCCGAGCGCGACGCCGTACTCGCTGCGGTACGACGGCGCCGCCTCGTCGTCCTCGTGGACCCGGCTCAGAGGCCGCTCGTCCGGGTAGCCGCCGGCGCCGCCAGGACCGCCGTGGCCGTGCGAGCTCCCGCCGGCCCGGAGCGCGGCGGGGAGGTAGACGGGCGCGTCGGCCGGCGACGAGATTTGCGAGTAGCTCGACAGCTGCGAGTTGTTGCGGCTCAGGTCGCCGGCGCCGCCGCCGCCGTTGCCGTTGCCGCCGCGCCACGAGCCGGCGTTGGCGCTGCCGAGCGAGCGGTCGAGCTGCTGCGCGTTGCCGTACGGCGTGCCCGCCGGGACGCCGATGGCGGGAGCGTACGGGCCGGGCCCGCCCGTGTTGCCGTACAGGTCCATGGTGGACGACATGCTCGCGCCGCCGTTGTGGTAGGCCTGCTGCGGCACGCTCGGGACGACCTGGCCGGGCGCGTACGACGGCATGAACTGCTGCTGCTGCTGCTGGTGGTGGGCGTAGTGGTTGCTGATCATGGTCGGCGGGCGCGGGTTCATGAGGGTCTGGCCGCGCGCGAGCCCGGGCAGGACGCCGCCGCCGGACCCGTTCGACATGAGCGTCTCGGAGCGGCCGAGGCCGGTCGCGCCGCCCGGGTACATCTCGTGCATCGAGTACTCGCTCATCTGGGGCGAGTGACCGTGCGAGTGCGCGTACTGCGCGGCGGCGGCGGCCGCCTCGTAGTGGTGCGCCTCGTCGACGTCGTCGAGCATGACGGACGCCCGGCGGAACTCGTCGCGGTCGAAAGGCGACACTTGATCGTCGTCGTCGTCGCGCGAGAACTTCTGTGAGAGGGAGAGCGCGAGGTGGAAGGGAACGAAAGGGTGAGCAACTTGGCCGATCGAGAGCTCTTTCCGCTCGAGGGTGAGGAGGAGGTCGTGGACGCACCTTCTTGAAGAGCCAGACGGCAACACCTGCGACGACGATGATGCCGACGACGGCGCCTGCGACGATGCCGATGACGCTGCCCGTTCCGAGGCTCGACGAGCCGCTCGAGCCGTTGTCGCCCGCCGAGGACGCGGTCGGGAGCGCGCTCGACGACGACGGCGAGGCGGCTGAGCCCGAGACGATGACGATCGTGGTCGAGGTGGCATCCGAGGTCGAGAGGGCGACGGCCGTGGACGAGGAGGACTGCGAGAAGGGGCGAGGAGGGTAAGTCGGGGCGTGGCGGGTGCGAGGACCGCTCACGAGAGCGGGGAGGGGGCGCACCTCGCTGGTTGCGGACGAGGTCGTCTCGGGAGCTGTGTGCGCGCGAGAAGAGTGTCAGTGTCGGCTCTGGCAAAGCGGTCCAGGGTTGCTCGAGGACGACCAAAGTCCCCTCGGCCGCTCCCTTCCGGCGCGCCCGCCCCACCGAGCTTGCCGTCGCGCCCTGCGCACCCTCCTGCGCTTGTCGACGCTCCCAGACGCCTGCCGCACCGGCGTCGACCCTCCCTCGCACCGCGCCTCGACGCGCATGTTTGCGCACTTTGGCGTGGGGCGATCGGCAGATCGTCCGACTGGCCACAACGTCGCCGCAGCTGCGGCTCGAGGACGACGAGAGAACTCGAGGCCAGAGCGACGAGGCCAACGTGCGGGCGAGAGTGCTGCTGAACGAGACGAGGGACGCAGAGGACTGACCACTGGAAGTCGTGGTCGACGAGGTGGTCGGGGCGGCGCTCGTCGTCGTCGGCGCCTGGGTGGTGGTCGTGGTCGAGGTCGTGCTCGGGGTCGTGGTCGTGGACGGCTCGGCGGTAGTCGAGCTCTCGACCGGGGCGGCCGTGGTCGTGCTCGACGAGGGCGCGGCGCTCGAGGTCGACTCGATGACCTGCTGGGCGGTCGTCGTCGTGGTTGCGGCGGCTGCAGCGCGGGTCGTGGTCGTCGTCGCAGGTTGCGCTGGTGCGCTCGTGTCGGCTGCGGCATCGTTGCCCGCGCCGGGGGCGGTGGCCGGGTCGGCGGCCGACGCGGCGGGGACCGAGGGGTTGGCGACGGCGGCCTGGCGCTTAACGCGGCGGTGCAGGCGGGCGTGGTCGAGCGTGCCCGAGTGGTCGGACGACATGGCGAGCTGGTCGAGTGGCGCGCAGAGGCGGGGACGAGGAGGGAGCGCGGAGGGAGCGAGGGTTGTTGTGGGATCAAAGGGAGCCGGCGGGCGACAAGGGGCGAGGGGGGGCTGCCGTGTGGGCGTGGGTAGGTGGCTGGAGGCTGAACGAGTGTGGCCGAGTTGGCGGTCTGGCGCTCTCTGTGCGAGTGGGACGACGGGCAAGAGGTGGAGCGACGAGCCTTGGATCGGACGCGCTCAGCTCCTCCGCACGCGCCGACGACTGACACCGCCGACGATCCTCTCACTGTCGTGCTCGCTACAAGCAGTGCATGTGCAGGGTCGTTGCAAAGAGCGAAAGAGGGCGAGAATACAACGGCTAAGGAGAGAGAGAGAGAGAGGTACACGGCGAGGGTCGACAGCGCGCAGCTCGGCTACAGCACCTCGGACAGCGTCTGCGCAGAGGGACCGACCGACAGTCAGTACACGCCGAGGCGAGAGAAGGGCGCTCAGAGACGAGGGCGAGGGACGCACCTGGAACGCCTCGCGGTACGCCCGCAGCAGGTTCTGGATCCGCGTTCGCTCGGCCGTGAGCGCCTCGTCCTCGTGCAGGAGCTCGTCAAAGAGCGAGTCCTTGTACAGGCTCGCAACGAGCCGGTTCTGCACGCTCTCGCGCGAAAAGTTGACGAGGAGGTCTGCGGCGGGCGAGGTCGGGCGACGAGGTCAGTCCGCGGCGCTCGGGCGAAGCGCTCGAGGAAGGGAAAAGTGGAAGGGGGACGCACGCATGATGGCCTTGGGCACGAGGTCCTGGATCGTCAGGCGCACGATGCTGAAGTAGCTCGCGATGAGGGCCCGGATCAGGCCCGTCTCGAGCTCCTCGCGGTCCGTCAACTGCGGCTCGCCCGTGCTGCTCAACGGCGACTGCGGGCGCGTTCTCGGCGAGTCAGTCGACACCCTCGGGCACGAGACAGACCAAGAGAGAGGACGCACAGGCTCGAGGTGCTTGTCGAGACTCTTCATCTCGAACGCCGCCGCATTGCCCTCGAGGCCCTTGCGCCCACTGAGCGGGTTGGCCTGGCCAAACTCGGCGCCGCCCCTCGTCGCCGCGTGCGCGTGCGCCATGTCGCCGCCGCCGCCGTGGCTCCCGCCAGCGAGCCCGCCGACCGAACCGACCGGGTTGCCGCCGAAGAAGTAGGTGAGGAACGACTCCTTGGCCGACGAGGCGTGGCGGTCGTGGTGCGCGCCGGCGTTGCCGCCGAGCGCGACGGGCATGGGCGACGACGAGCCGTGCTGGTGCGAGTACTGGCCGCCCTGCTGCGGGTACGAGTACTGCTGCCGGCCCGACGACGACGAGCCCTGCTGCTGCTGCTGCTGCTGCTGCTGCTGCGGGTAGCCCGACGCCGAGAATGACGGCCGCCCGTGGTGCCCTGCGCTCGCGGCACGGCCCTTGGCGCCTGCGCCGCCAGACGACGGCGACGCCGAGCCGTTGACGCCGTTCGGGACGAGGTAGCCCGACGACGACGCGCCGCCGTGCCCGTGCCCGCTCGCCGACCCGCCGAGCCGCCCATCGTCGTCGTCGTCCGGCCCGCTGACGTCCTCGCCGTCCTCGGCCTCGGTCACGCCGCCGCTCCTGCGCCGGTCCGACCCCCTCGCGCCGCCGCCTGCTCCTCCCGCTCCGCCGCCGCCGCCGAGCGCGCCCGCCGACGCCGCGTCGGCCGCGAGGACGCGACGCTCGCGCTGTACGCGTGCGCTCTCCTGCGCGGCGGCCGCGCTGCCCTTGACAAAGTCCGGGTGGTTCGTGTTGATGTAGGCGGCCTGGATGCTGATCAGGCTCTGGACGTACTCGCTCGTCGGGCCGAGGCGCTCGCGCAACAGCTCGGACACGACCTCGATGAGCTGGGCGTGCAGGCGAGGGTACCGTTGGAGCTCCTGCGTGCTCGAAGGAAGAGTCAGTCGAGCTCGACGCAGGGCGAGAGTGGGAGGAGTGGGACGCACGGTCGACGTGCAGTTGTGGCAAATCTTCATGAGCTCCTCGTACACGAGCTCGACGCACCGCAAGCTCGGCGGCTCGAGGAGCTTGATCTGGGGCTTGACGAGGAGGTCGAACGCGACCTCGGGGACGAACAGGCTCGGGCGCGGGCCCGTCGAGTTGCGGATCGCGGTGCGGATGTCCTGGGTCGTCAGGTTCTGCGTCGGGTTGATCGACTCGAGGGCGTGGCCAAACACGTCGTTGAAGATGTAGTAGATGCGCGCGCCGCCGCACAGCTCCTTGGTCGAGATCTCGAGGCTCGTGCCGTCGATCGAAGCGACAAAGTCGCGCACGAACTGCGTCATGAGCTGCAGGATGAGGGTGCCGCGGTGGCCCTCGCCGAGAAAGGCGCTGTCGCCGAACGCGTTGAGCTCTTGCTGCGTCTGGCCCATGAGCGTGTTGAGCCGGGCCTTCATGTCGGGGAGCTTGTCGCGGATGTGGTTCATGAGGACCTGCGTGACAGAGGTAGGCGTTAGTGACAGGTCGGGAGGAGACACAGAGAGAGAGAGGCGGTCGAGGGGAAGGGGACGAGGCGCACCTGGTTGAGCGTCTTGGCGAGGAACTTGGTGCCGCAGCGGTGCGCAATGTTGCGGTACCCAGGGTGCGTCCGGAAGAAGTCCTCCTCGGTGCGCAGCTGGTCGCTCATGGGCTTGGCCGCGTTGATGTCCTGCTGGCTGCGGCCGACGACGCCGATGAAGCCGAGCTTGAGCGGATACACGCGGCCCGTCAGGATGTCGGCGGCGTGCGTGCCGGCGTCCATGAGGTCGAGCTTGGTCAGGACGCCGATCGTGCGGCGGCCTTGCGGGTCGACGGCCCGGGCGAGCTTGAGCGACTCGGAGTTGGCGAGGTCGACGTTGGCCGGCGAGATGGCGAGGATGACGCTGCGCGCAACGACCACGGTCACTCGTCAGGCCCAGTCACGCTCAAAGAGGCGCAGAGAGACGGAGCCAGGCGCACCAGTTGGGCTTGCTGACAAAGTCGAGGACGAGGTTGCGGATCTGGCGCTCGATGTCGGTCGGCTGGTCGCCGACAGGGATCTTGGTCAAGCCGGGCAGGTCGACGAGCGTCAAGTTGAGGACGTTGGGCGAGAAGATCTCTGCGCGAGAGGGCGGCAAGAGGGAGGGGACGAGCGTCAGGCCGGCCGCTCGCGAGACGAGGCGACGAAGAGAGGGGCAAGCACGCACTGAGGTGAATCGGCAGGCGCGAGATGCCCTTGTTGCCGCCGGCGACGCGGAGCGTCTCGTTCTCGATCTCCTTGCGGATCTCGCCAAAGTCGTAGAACCGCTTGTCGACGTGGAGAAACTCGCCGTACTCTTGCGGCGCCTCGCCCTCGGACCCGGACGGGAGTGTAAAGTTGGGGTTGGCGTTGCCCGGGTTGGTCTGGGCGCTCGGGGCCGACGAGAGCGGTGCGGGCGTGTGGACGAGCTGGAGGACGAGCGGACGACGGGTGACGATGCCCTGACCGCGAGGGAGAAAGTCGCGGCCGACGATGCTGCGGGGCGGGTCGGGCTGGAGAGTCAGTGCTGTGCGAGACTGTGCCGTACAAGGAGCAGCTCGTCTTGGCTGGTCCCGCCGCCCGCAGGAGGTCGCTGAGGGAGAGTGGGCAGCTCACGTCTCGAGGACCGAACTCTTGCCGGCGCTCTGGCTCCCGCTGTGCGTCGCGAGGTACGGGTAAGTCAGCGAGGCCGGCACTTGGGCAGGCGCGAGAACGACGAGCGAGAGTGGGGCGCACACGACGACGATCTGGGGCAAGTCGACCGTCTCGCCGCCAATGGCCGCGAACGTGTCCTGGAGCGAGTTGAGCGTCTTGATGAGGTCCTTCTGCGATGCGCCGGCTGCCATGGTGGGCGGGCGAGGACGTGGGCTGGGGTCGAGGTCGAGGTGCGGAGGGAGGAGGAGGAGAGAGGGACGCGACAACGAGGCGACGGGGCGAGGCGCGGGTGGTATGAGGGCGTCGCTGGGCAGCTGGGCGAGGTCGCTGTAGGTCGTTTGGAAGCGCTCGAAGGCAGCGAGGCGCACAGAGAGAGGTCGAGGTCTGCTCCCCTTGGCCTCGTTGCAGGAGCCGGAGCGACTCGTCCTCCCGTCCGGCCGCTCTCCCCTCGGCTCGAGGGCTCGTGCTGAGCAGTCTACTGCACTCTCCGAGCTGTCGTGCTCCACCGCGCCTGCTTTCCAAACAGCTCGAGCCAGTCCTCGTCCTCTCCCTCGCGCGTCATGCGCAAGCCTCGCCCGCAGCGCTTGCCCGACTCTGCCGCCTCTCAGCGCGACAACGGAACGACCTGAGGGCTACATGCATTGCGGGAGGGCACGTCTAGTGCGAGATGAGAGAAAGCGCGCAGTACAACAACCTGGGAGAGCGACGGCGACGAGGGTGAAAGGCAATGGCGAACGAGGAAACGGCGGCTCGATGTAGAGACGCTCAGACGAGCACCTTGGCCGAGCCGTCGGCAAGCTTGTCCTTGATACCTGCGAGTCGGACAAGGTCAGGGCCGCGCGAGAGAGGGAAAGAGAGGAGAGACAGAGAGAGGAGGACGCACGGGCAACGACCTGGCGGTACGCGACGCTCGCCGGGCTGTCCGGGTACTCCTCGAGGAAGCTCTGGCCAAAGTCGCCACTCTTGCCGATGCGCGGGTCGAGCGGCACCTGGCCGAGGACCTCGATCCCCCACTCGCTCGCGAGGCCGGCCGCGCCGCCGGTCGAGGGGACAAAGATGTCGCTCTCACCGCCGCACGACGGGCACACGAAGCCACTCATATTTTCGACGACGCCGAGGACGGGGACGCCGGCCTTGCGGCAAAAGTCGAGCTCCTTGCGGACGTCCTGGAGGGCGACCTCCTGCGGGGTCGTGACGATGACGGCGCCCGTGACGCCTCCTGCGGCGGCGAGGTACTGGACGACCGACAGGTGCTCGTCCGAGGTGCCCGGCGGCGTGTCGATGACGAGGTGCTCGAGCGGGCCCCACTCGACATCCTTGAGGAACTGCTTGATGAGGCCGTTCTTCTTGGGGCCGCGCCAGATGACGGCGCTGTTGGACGCCGGGAGGAGGAAGCCGATCGAGACGAGCGAGAGGGACGATGTGACGGGGATGGGGAGGATGCCGCTCGACGTCGAGTGGAGGCGCTGGCCCTCGAGGCCAAAGAGGAGCGGGAGCGAGGGCCCGCAGATGTCGACGTCCATGAGGCCCGTGTCGTTCTCGCCCTCGACGCCTTCAGACAGGGCCCAGCCGAGCATGGCGCTGACGGTCGATTTGCCGACGCCGCCTTTGCCGCTGAGGACGAGGATCTTGTGCTTGACGTCGCGCAGGCGGTCGTGCACGAGGGCGAGGTCCGGGTCGGGGCCCTTTGGGGCGGTGGCGCACGCGTCCTGGTTCGGGCAGCCGGCGCAGCCTGGTGCGAGGCCGGCCTCGGTCGACTCGGTGCCCTGTGTGGGTGCGAGGGGGAGGTGTGTCAGCGAGGCGAGGAGATGAGGGAGGTCGAGGGCAAGCGGGCCAGGGCGTACGGGGCAGTGCTCGGGTGCGTTCCTGGGTGCGGTTGAGGACAGTCAGCCTCCTTGGAGCGCAACAGAGAGGTGTGGGGAGGCAGGGGAGGGCTCACTCTGGGATGTGGGAGGGGAGGAGGGTGGCGACAGCTTGGGCGACAGGCTCTGGCGGGGGTGCGCGGTCGGGGAGCGGGCACGCTGGTAGAAGTGCGACGGTGGCAGCCATGGCGCACAACACGCTGAGCGAGAGGGTGACGAGGACGAGGCCAAGAGCAACTCGTCGGTGTTGGCAGCAGCGCCCTCGTCTCTGCCTCTCCACCTGGCTCGCACCAGCTGCCACAGCCACACAGCTGCTACACGCACCGGCTTAGCCACTTCAGCCACACCCACCGCACAACCGCCGCCCGCGACCCCTTCCTCACACCCTCCCCTCGCTCCTCGTCCTCGTCAGCCAACTCGCTCTCGCCCACATCATGAACGTCGTCGAGCAGAAGCGCAGAGACGTCGACAAGTACGCTCAAGACGTCTTCTACTCGAGTCGCTACAGTGGCAAGTCCCCCCTCCCCTCCTTCGTCCTCGGTCGACCATGTTGAGCCACCTCGCGCGCGCCCTGCCCGCGTGCGCCCCGGTGGAACGAGTGCGAGGATTCTCGTACGCGTCGGCCGACGCCCGTGTTGCGTGTGCTCAACGCCTCGCCTGCGACTGGACCACGCGCGTTCGACCTCCTCCTCCTCGCGCCGAGGAGGCGGTGCAACTCGCCCGCGCCGCCGGTCTCCCCGTCCTCGAGCACTTACACAGACCCGAGCACGAACGTCCTACTGACGTTCTCTCCGCCGCCCGCAGACGACACGCACGAGTACCGGTTCGTCCTCGCCCTCCTTCCTCCCCCTCTCCTCCGTCTCGACCGCCGCCCGCGCAACTCGACTCACTCTCCGCTCCCACTCGCCGCAGCCACGTGATCCTCCCCAAGGCGCTCGTCAAGTACCTGCCCAAGGAGCGTCTGCCCGAGGAGGATGAGTGGCGCTCGCTCGGCATCCGCCAATCGCCTGGGTGGTGGGCTTACGAGGTGCGTCTGGCGCCGTCTCTCCCTCATCCCTCCCGCAACGGGACCCTTCCTTGCCAGTTCGCCGGCCTCAAGACTTGTACTGACTCGCGCCCTTGGCGTACCTCGTGCTCGCAGCGACACGCTCCCGAACCGCACATCCTCCTCTTCAAGCGCGCAAAGGAGGCTTGAGCGACTCATCGAGGTGCGCTCGTCTCGCTCTACGAGCGTAGTACGAGGCGCAGACTGACCTTGGCACGTCTCATACGCCCGCAGCTCCGTCAACCGTCTTCGCCCGGCCTCGTCGTTTCCGGTTCCTCTCTTCCTTCGCCCTCGTTGCCGTCTCTCCATCCTGCTCACGTCAACCGTACCCTATCCACGACCCTCGCCACGCTCCACGCACGCCCTTCCTCCCGCAACTTTCCCCCCGCAAACCTTTCTTCGCACTGCCCTTCGTTCTTTCGCCTTTCCTCACCACCCGAGCCCTCTCTTTCGTACCCCAGCACCCTTCTCCCCTTGTTCTTCCTCGAACCGAGCAGACGCTCGTCTGTCCATGCAATGACTGCTGTGTCGTCTCGACGACTCGGCCCGTGTGAGCGAGAGCGCGAGAGCAAAGCGGCTCAAGCGAGGGTCCGGGCGGCCGTCTCGCGTACCCGGTTGCCTGGCCTTGAGGGGTCGTCTTCGAAGGACATAGATGGCTGTCGACGAGCGTCTACCGGCGCCTGAGCGACTGTGCGCTGAGCCCGCCTCGTGGCCGCTGAATCGGCCGGCTCGTCCGGACTCGACCTTCCACCTCGCTTCTCGCCTCGCACGAGCACCCAGCAGCTCTCTGACCAGCACAGCACTCTCACACAGCAAATATGGTCGCCTACACGCCCCTACCGCTCTCGGCCTCGCAGCGCAAAGAGCTCATCGCTTCTGCCCTCTCCGGTGCGCCCGTCTCTCCCTCTCGCACGAGCAGAGTAGCGTGCAGGCAAGCTGACAGTGCTCGCAAGTGCCCGCATGCAGCTCGCGACGCCTCGTACTCGCCGTACAGCAAGTTCCGCGTCGGGGCGTGCCTCCTCACCGATGCGGGCCAGTTCGTCAAGGGCGCCAACGTCGAGTGCGCGAGCTACGGTGCGCCCCAGTTCTCCCTGTACCTCTATCGGGCAGCGAGACGAGGTGGACCCGCGCGCTGACCTTGTTGCCGTCCCTCCTCATCCACCTTGCTCGCCCGCCCCACTCCTCGGCCCACCCGCTCTCGCCTGTCGACCCTCGCCGCGGCAGGCGGCGCCATCTGCGCCGAGCGCACCGCCGTCGTCAAGGCCGTCTCGAGCGGCACCAAGCGCTTTGTCGGCCTCGCCGTCACGTCGTGCGTCCCCTCGTCCTTTCTCCGTCTCGCCCTCCTCCGGCCGTTCGAGCAATCTCGCTCACGCCGCCTCGGTCGACTCGCAGCGACGTCGACGGCATGGTGAGCCCGTGCGGTATCTGTCGCCAGGTCCTGCGCGAGTTCTGCCCGCTCGAGGTGCGCCCCCCTCTTGTCCTCCTGTCCCGGCCCCGCTCGCACACACCGTCGTTGACCGCCGCCGCACCTCCAGATGCCCGTCCTCCTTGTGCCTGCCTCGTACGAGGAGGGCAAGACGGGGACGACGACGGCCGTCGAAGCCGAGAAGGGCAACACGCAGGGCGTCGTCGTCGAGACGACCATGGGCGAGGTGCGTCTCGCGCTCTCTTTCCTGCGCCGAGCTCGCTGGTCGAGCACGAGGCACGGTTGGCCTCGACGCAAATGACTCGCGGCACTAACCCTGCCTGCACGCACCCCACGCAGCTCCTCCCGCTCTCGTTCGGCCCCGACGACCTCGAGAAGCCGCGAACGGGCGCAGGCAGCTCGTAGACGGGCGCCTCGAGACAGCTGTAGAGTATCGTCGAGCGTGACCTGCATCATTTAGACCGTGTCGCATGCGCGCGAAAGCAGGAGAGCGAGAGCGAGAGAGCCAGAAAGTGGGCGAGAAAGCGAGGAAGAGAGAGCGCGAGACGGCCCGCTCGAGCCTGTCAGGTTGCGTTGGGCTCTCTCACTGCGACGTGCTCACGACGCGGGCCGAGAGAACAAGGAGATAGACAACAGATGACTGCATTCCACGTCGTCGAGCCGGCCTCCCCTCTCTCGAGCCTGGTCGCCCACACGCTCGAGCCCTCCTCCTCGCGACACGCCCTTGAACCCGCTCAAGCCTTGGCCATCCTCCCGCCACCGTCGATTCGGATGGTGCCGCCGTTGAGGTACCCATTTTCGATGATGGCGAGCGCGAGCTGGCCAAACTCGCGCGCCTCGCCGAACCTCGGCGGGTGGAGCGTGCCGGCGAGAAGCCCGGCGCGGACCCTGTCATGAAGGAGAATGGGAGACAACGGCGTGGGACGAGTGGGCGAGCGGGCGAGGCCGAGAAGAGGCGAGGAGGGAAGGGGGAAGGAAAGGGGACCGTGCGAGGTGGCGAGGAGGGCGAGGTCAGGGCTGCCCGACGCGAAAGACACCCACAGAGCGGGGGACGAGACAGTGGGACGCACTTGTCGGACGTGCCCTTGCCCATGGCGGTCGAGAAGAGGCTCGGCGCGATGTTCATGACCCGGATACCTGCGAGAGTGCGAGAGGGAGAAGGAAGGACGATCGGGTCAGGGACGGCTCCGACGATTCGACGAGGCGACTGGTGCAGCTCGACTCGCACGCAGCCTCTTGCTCGTGTGGGGGAGAAGGAAGAGGAACAGAGGGACGCACCGTAACGCGCGAGGTCCCTCGCCATGGGGAGGACCAGGCCCTCGACGGCCGCCTTGCTGCTCCCGTAGGCGACTTGTCCCATCTGGCCCTCGGTCGCACTGACACTGCTCGTCAAAATGATGACGCCGCGATCCTTGATCGTGCTCGGGTCGGCGTCGCGAGGGATGGTGCCGCCTTGTGCGGCGAGGATGGCGGCGACGTTGGACGCGACGAGGAACGAGCCGAGGAGGTTGATGCGGTGCACCTCCTGGAAGACGTCGAAGCTGCGGGACCGAGTGTGAGCGAGGGAAGCGACGTGCGGCGAGCCGGCCGGGAAGGAGGTCTGGGGGGAACGGAACGAGGGGGAGAGCGGCGAGCGTACGAGAAGGGCTGGCCATCGTTGCCGACCGTCTGTGTACAGCAATGCGAGTCAGTGTAAGACTTGGGGTGACGAGGCGTTCGGGGACGAGAGCGAGAGAGGGAGCGCACCTTGCCCGCCATGCCGACGCCGGCGGCGTGGACGACACCGCCCCACTTCTTGCCCTTCCAGTGGGCCTTTACGGCGTCGAGTGCGTGCTTGACGCTGGGCTCGTCGCCTGCGTCGCACTGAAAGTGGGCGAGGTTGGGCGCGGCGTGGTTGTCGTCGTCGGGCGAGGCGTTGAGGTCGAGGACGGCGACGTAGGCGTTGCGAGCCTGGAGGGCGTGAGCGACTGCGGCACCGAGGCCGGACTTGCCGCCGGTGACGATCCAGACGAGGCCTGCGGGATCCATGCTGGCGCGCGAGTCGGCAGCAGCGCGAGCTCGAGGAGTGGGGGAGGAGGCGAGGCGAGGTGGGCGAGGTGCGGGCGAGTCGAGGGGCGGCTGGAGGTGGGTCGGTGTGGCGAGTGGACGAGTGCGAGTGCAGCACGGCACAGTACGAGTGAGGAAGAGCCCAGAGGGGCGACAGCGACGAGCGAGTTCGGCTCGGAGCCGCACAGCCCGGGTCGACCACAGTCACTCGCACCTCGCCTCTGGGTAGAGCGCGCGCATGCTCAGCCTATCTGAGAGTGCATAGGAAGCCTGTCGAGCTGGACCGTGCGGCACTTGCTCGACGAGAGGCGGCACGTGCCGATTTCCTCGAGCTCATCGCCTGTGCGAACTCGTCGCCGCTCTCTCGCTCTTCCACCGGCTCAGCTTCGACCATGAGCAGCGCACCACCGCCCGTCCAGGTCTCTAACCCCACCGGCGACCTCGCTCCAGCCACCGCGGCCGACCTCGACGAGCGCCTCGCCCTCTCGCTCCGCCTCATCGACGCCGTCTACGACCGCGACGACCGCCTCGTACAGCACCTCGTCCTCGAAGAACACGCAGAGTGCTGGGTCCAAGACGCCCAGGGCTGGACCGCCCTTCATGCAGCAGCTCGTGCGTCCCCCCTCCTCCTCCTCTTGTCGCTCCCACAGCCCACAGCTCACCTCTCTCTCGCCCACACAGACACGGGCAGCGTCGACCACATCAAGCTCCTCTTGCGCAAGGGCAACGCCGTCTGGTCCATCCCCGACAACCTCGGCTGCGTGCGCCCCCTTGTTCTCTCAACCTCTCTCGAGCGCGACCCTGATCTGTCCCCCTCGGTGCGCAACAGACTGCGGGCGACATCGCCTTCTCGATGAACAACACCGACGCCTACGAGGAGCTCCTCGCCGAGGGCATCCGCTCCGAGATGCTGCGCGCCGTCCTCGAGGCCGCCCACTCGTCGTCGGGCGAGTCCGACGCAGCGTCTGACGCCGCCGACGACGCCGACATGACGGCGCTTGACGCCTCTCGACCCGACGTCGAGGCCGGAGCATCTGCCGCCAGCGACTCGACGACGGCGGCCGGCGCTGTCGCCCAGCTCTCGACCGCGTCCGACAACGCCACCTTCCTCGCGTCGCGCCTCACGTTCACGCACGACTCGCGCGGTCAGCCGATCGCGCTCGACGCCGAGGGCAACGGCGTCATGATGGGCTGGGAGTCGGGCATCATGCACCAGACGGCGAGGCGCATGTGCGAGCCGGCGTGGGGCGACCGGCGCGACAAGTCGTGGGCAGAGCTGCACAGCGAGGAGGAGGGCGACAGGGAGAAGTTGAGGGTCATGAACGTCGGCTTTGGGCTCGGCATTGTGCGTCCTCGCCCTCTTCCTCTCTCGCCGGGCGGTCGTGCGAGACGGTGACTGACTTTCTTCCCCTTCCTCCTCCCGTCTTTTTCGCTCTCCATCTTCTCTCTCTGCCCTTCAACAGATCGACACGTACCTGCAAGAGTACCACCCGACCCAGCACCTCGTCATCGAGCCGCACCCGGACGTGCTCGCCTTCGCGCGCGAGAACGGCTGGTACGACAAGCCGGGCGTGCGCTTCTACGAGGGCACGTGGAAGGACTACCTCAAGGCGCTCGAGGCAGGAGACGAGGAGTACGTCGGGTGGGACGGCGTCTACTTTGGTGCGTCAGGCTCGCTTTTCCCTCCCTCCTCGGCGAGGCTCGAGCGCGTCCTGCACAAGGTTTCTTGACCTAACTCTCTGTCCTCCCCCTCCCGTCCCTCGCCGCGTTCGCACCTCCTTCGTCACTTGTTCCGTCACGGCGTCAACGCTCCCGCAGACACCTACTCGGAGCACTACGCCGACCTGCACGCCTTCTTCCAGACCTTGCCCGACCTCCTCTCGACCTCGCCGAACGCCCGCTTCTCCTTCTTCCACGGCCTCGGCGCTACCTCGCGCCTCCTGTACGACGTCTACACGTCCGTGTCCGAGATGCACCTGCGCGAGATTGGCCTCGCGACCGACTGGAGCGAGGTTGACGTGGCGGGCGAGGGCGTCGGACGATGGGAGGCGACGGGTGCGTCGTCGGCGGGTGCGCCGGGAGCTGGAGCGGCGGGCGCGAGGGACAAGAGGACCGAGGGCGAGGGCGAGAAGAAGTACTGGCGCGAGGAGATGGTCGGGCGGTACCGGCTCCCGCTCTGCAGGCTCGAGTTTTGAGCCGGCCCGGGTCGCCCTGTGCAACGACGAGCGTACTTCAGGCTCAACGATGCGCTCTCAATGAGTGTCGCGAGCGAGCACGACATCTCTTTGCCGAGGTTGGCTCGCGAGCTGGCACAGAGAGGTGCTCGGCGCTCGTTTGTAACTCGAAAGCTCACTGCTCGCTCATCGCGCCGCGTGAGACGTCTACGCTAGCAGGTATTGAAGGGGAAGACCGAGCCCCAGGAGGCGAAAAGAGAGGGAGCGACTGCACGAGAGCAACAAAGCGACGCCGAGTTTGAGAAGGTCGACCAGGTGGTGGACGCGACTGCCGCAAGATTCTCTCGCTCGAAGCTGCTCACCGAGTCGGCATCGCTGCCGATACACGTCCTCTGCTTCGGGCGGCTGCGGGACAGGGCCAAGTGGCCTCAGGTTTGCCGATTTGGCCATGAGGGCCTGAGCGCTCTCGTCCTCCTCGGCTGCGGGAGAGGGATGCTCACGCACTGAGGCCGCTCAATCACTGGGTCACTGTCTCTCGGAAGCCGAAGCAACTCTAGCACCGGACGAGCGCGGAGAAGCGTAACCGAGTCGAAGAGAAATCGCCTCGCAGTAAGGCTGCGTCGTCCGACTCGTCGTTGACAAGCCTGACGACTCGCCGGCATGCTCGTCGCTCGTCTCGGGTCGATGCCTCGACCCTGAGAGAGAGTGAGAGAGACCGAGCCCTCAATTCAAAGCTGCGAGAGCCAGAGCCGGACGAGAAGCTCGAGCCGGAACTTTCCCTCGCGAATGCCGACGAGAAGAGAGACGACGACAAAGAGACGTGGTATTGCAGAGGCACACTGTCCAGGTACTCAGTCGCGCTGATGCACAGTTGCCTTGGGGGCCGCGAGGTTCTCCGTGTACTCCTCGACCCACCGAGCGCGATCGTCCGGGACGTGGTCAAACTCGAGGTAGCGCTTGTCGTTCTGCACGAAGGGGGCGCACACCGCGTCAGTGACCGGTCGAGAAAAGAGACAGAAAGAAAGAGAAGAGAGAGAGGCGGGCGCACCTTGAGCACGGCGTGGATCGCCTTCAGGTCGATCTGCTCGGCCATGTCGCGCGTGTCGGGCTCGTCGTCGTCCGACTCGTCGTTCCTCGTGCCCTCCTGCCCGATGAGCGCCACCTTGTCCCTCTTTTCAAGCTTGCGCATGCGGCCCCAGTGCTCGAGGATCGGGCTCTCGCGCAGCATCTGCGAGAAGTCGTCCCGGGCGCGCTGCGTCCGCCGCGCGATCGACGCCGTGTACAGGTTCTCGAGGGCGTCAAAGTCGGTGCCGACAAGGCGTGCGACGTGCGGGTCGGACGAGATGGCGGGGAGGACGTCGTGGAAGGGGGTCGTGAGCTTGGGCGAGTGGGCGGCAAAGAGGGCCTCGACGTCGGCGACGCGCGAGCGATGCAGCTTTTGCTGGTGCTGCTCGAACAGGCGACGCTTGTCGGACGGGTACAACGCTTGAGCGTCGAAGCGCGGGTCGCGCGAGAGGGACGGCACGAGGTCGTCAAAGTGGGCCTGAGCGAGCGAGGGAGAGAATCAGGTCAGGACGGCGTCGCGAACCGAGGCGAGGAAGGAGAACGGTCGACGCACCTTGTGGTCGCGCACTGCATCGATGAGGAGCTGCGCAAACTCGCGTTCGGCCTCGTCCTTGCCGAGGTTGCTCCTCGCGACGTTGGCGCTGCGCTCGGCCCTCGCCTTGTCGGCCCGGACCCGCTCCTCGCGCTCTCGCAGCGACGCAGCTGCTCGCGCCGCCTTGTCCTCCTTGAGCGCCGGAGCCGAGGGCGCCGACGTGCTGGTAGACGGGCGGTTGCCGCCCGACGAGAGCGCGGCGAGGTGCTTGTCGAAGAGCTGCTCTCGCAGCGACGACGACGCGACGGCGCTGTATCGTGGGTCCGAGGCGTGGCGCTTCTTCACCTGTAGAGCCGAGCTCGTCAGTACATGCAGAACGAGCGGGAGGGAGAGAAAGAGTGGACGCACGTCGGTCCACTTGTCGCCCGGCCGGATCTCGCCGTCCTCCCTCAGCATCTCGCCGAACTCGCGCTCTGCTCGCTCGGCCGCCTCGCGCTTGCGCTCGCCGAGGTCGCGCAGGTACTTCTTGAACTCCTTCTCGCGGTCGCCCTCGGTCTTGCCAAAGTCGCGGTACCGCGTGTCCTTCTGGTGCGCGCGCTTAAAGTCGCTGAAGTGGGAGCGAGTCGAGGTGACGGCGGTCGACAGGAGGGAACGGAAGCCGACGAGAGGCTGCATGGAGCGACGTCAGGTCATGTCGCTGACGACGCAAAGGACAGGAGAGAAAGGTCACGCACGTCGACCTTGATGCCGCTCGCCGCCGCCGCCTTCTTGGCCGCACGTTGCGCCCGGATCTTCTCCTTGCAGAACTCGTCGAACAGGTCGCGGCGCTCGCGAGTACTCTTGACGGCTGGCGGGACATTCGACGTCAGTGCCGGTCGAGCGGGAACAAGGGGAGAAAGGGAGAGACGGGCGTACCGTGGTACCGAGGATCGTTGACAAACTTGGCGAGCTCGCTCTCGAAGGGCGCCATGGCGTTGATGTCCTTCTCGCTCAGCAAGACCTGCACGCACGTTGACAGAGTGTCAGTATCGCTCATGCAGGACGGGAGGACAGGCAGGGCGCACCTTGAACATGGCCGCCGCCTCGACGGCGTTGACCTCGAGACGCTGCGCCTGCGCCCTCGCCTCCTCGGCCGCCGGCTCCTCCGTCTCGACCTTGCCCATCTCGCCCTGCGCTCCCTCCTCCTCCTCCGCCGCCTCCTCGGCCATCTGGGCCGCGATCGAGCGCTGCCAGTCCTCGTCGGCGAGGTCCTCGAGCGACGACACGACCTTGGCCTTCTTCTTCTTCTTCTTCGGCGGCTCGTCCGACGTTGACGACACCGCGGAAGCGGCGGGCGGCGCCATCATCTCGGGGACGCTCGCGCCTGCGCCGTCGTCCGCCCCCTCGATCTCGAGCTCGAGCTCACCGCGCTCGTGCTCGTCCTCCTCGTCTCGCCCGCCTTGCGGCTCGTCCTGCCCAGCCTCCTCCGCCTCGCCGGCGGCGGCGACGGGAGCGACAGGCTCGTCATGCTCGGCCTTGCGCTTCTTGCTCGCCGCCGCCGCCGCATGGTCGCGCTCGTCTCGCTCCTCGCGCTCGACCCGCTCCTTGTCCTCGCGCTCCTTGCGCTCGAGCGCCTCGACCTGCTCCTTGATGTCGTCGGGGACGGTCCACACGCTCTCGCGCGTCTCCTTGTTGTTGTAGAAGACGTTGCCGTGGTTGGTCGTGACACGGACCCAGTCCGAGCCCTCGATCGGGAGCTTCTCCTTGGGCTTCTCCTTCTTCTCCTTCTTGGCCGGGGCGGACGGGCCACTAGTCGAGCCGAAGTGGAGCGGTGGGAGGGCGGTGGCAGGTGGTGGCGCTGCGGCGACGGGGAAGCCGGGAGGAGGGGGAGGGGGAGCGCCGGCTAGCGGGAAGCCAGGCGGTGGGGAAGGAGCGATGGGGCGAACGTAGGTCGACACGTTGGTGATCGGGTTGAACCAGTACGGCGCGCCAGTCGGCGCCTCTGCGAGAGGGCAAGGTGGGGGAAACGACGAAGGTCAGTGAGTGGTCGCGTCGCGCGACGGGGCCAGTTGCGGTGCGATGCTGGGCGCGCAGGCCGCTCGACATGCTCTTGGCGAGCTCCGCTCGGCGCGGTCTCGCTCTGCGAGAGCTCGCAGACCTCGAGACGTGCGAGGTCGCCCGGCTTCGAGACCATGCCGCCTCGCTCGCTCATCTCCTCGTCCACCGCACCCGCCGGCCCAGCATGGCGCGGGAAGGCTCTGGATGCTGCACCGGCCGACCAAAGCCCGCTCGAGAGCCGAGAACTGAGACGAGAGGGCGAGAGCGACTCACTGTGCTCTGTCCAGGGCGGCGGCACGGGCGGGAGCGTGTGTGCGCCTGCTAGCGGGAAGCCAGGCGGTGGCGGCGGCGGTGCGCTCGACATGGCGGCCTGTCGATAGGCGGCGAGATGGTGGTCGAGACGAGCGTCGACGACGTTCGAGGAGGACGACGTCCGACTCTGAGATGACGGCTCTCGTCGCTCGCAGCTTGGTCCCGAATGCTGCTTGGTGTGGGCTTCGTGTCTCACCTTCCTGCGGCGCTCGCGCTTTCCAGAGCGCTTCTCGGGCGAGTCCGAGAGGATCGTCTCGCAAGTTGAGCGAGCGAATCGAGTGGAAATGACCGCGTTCCTCGACTCGTGTGGCTCAGAAGCTACAAGAGAGGGGACGAGGGAATAGAGAACATCTGGCGAGGGCGAAGCGAGACGCCGACGAGCCTGAGCGAGAGCGCACCGGCCTGCGAGACGTGCCCGCTCGGCCCTCGCCGAGCGAGCCTCCTCGAACTGCTGCCCTCAGTAGCTCATCCAGTCGTACTGCTCCGCCGCGTCGCCGTACGACGCCGCCCCGGCCGACGCGCCATCGTCCCTCGCCCCAACGCTCGCGGCGAAACCCTCGCTCAAGCTCCCGCTCTCCATCCCGAGCTGCTTCTCAAGCGCCGACCAGTCGAGCGCACCCAGCGCGTCGGCGTCCACCTCCATACCGACACCGGCATGCGTGACGCCTGGTGCGCCGAAACCGGCGGTGGATCCGGCGCCCGTAAGTCGCGGGAAGGGCTCGAAAGCTGGGAACGAGGTCGAGGTGTCGAGGGACGGCGGCTCGGTCGACGACGGTCGCGGGACATGAGGATGGTGATTCGGGAACGGGGGTGGGGCCAGGAATGGGGGAGGGAGAGCGACAGCCGTCGCAGAAGTCGACGTCGGCAATGTCGGGGAAGGGTGGCTGAATGTCGGCGTCGGGAAGGCGCTCATGTCGGCCGACGACTCGAGAGGCTCGCCGAGGGCACTCGTCGCCAGCTCGAGGAACGAGGAGAAGGCCGGGGCGGGTGCTGGACGAGCGGCGGGGTGCCGCAAGGTGCTTCTTGAGGAGGACGGCTCGGCGGACGGGTGGTCGAACGCGAAGCCTGCGCTCGGGCCGCCGTGCGGCGGGCCCTCGGCTTGCGGCGTTGACGGCGTGACCTGGGCGAGGACGGCCGACAGCAGCTGTGCAGCGCTGCTGAACGGGCCCGACGGCGGCGGCGACGGCTGCCCTGCGCCTCCTGCGCCTCGGGACGCGCGGCCGATCACCTCGTCCTGCGCCTGCGCCGTCGCCTGCTGGCCAGCCTGGCCCCACGTGCCCGCCTTGAGGATGAGGCGCAGCGTCTTGGCGTGTACCGCGGCGGGATGCGCCGGCGTCGGCGCGACCTGGTCGAGGAAAGCGGCGCCGAGCGACAGGAGGACGGCGAGCTTGCGGCCGGGAAGGACAGCGCGTTGGCGCACAGGGACGTCCTCGGGCCGGCTTGCGCTCGATGACGCCGGTGCGGCAGGCGGGTTCGGCGACGACGTGCCCGAGTCGTGCGGTTTGTCGAGCGTGGTGAGCTCGCAACGCGAGAGGCCCGAGTTGCAGATCTTGCTGAGGAGGATGAGCGGATACGCGATGCCCTGCGCGTGGAAGAGTGCGTCAGTAATGTGCGCGACGAGTCGCAGAGAAAGTGGACGGCGGCGCACGACGCAGCTGACGGGGTCGTGCGACGTCTTGGTCGCCTCGGCGACGGTCGCGTCGACCGTGAGCGGCTCGCGCAGGCCCGTCTCGGGATTTGGAGGAGGCCACTGGACCCGGCGGGAGCCATCGTACGCCCTGCCGGGCACGATGATGCGGCTCTCGACCGAGACGTCGAAGACGAGGCGCTCGGCGGCGTCGAGGGCCGTCTGGATAAAGCGCCACTCGGCCGACGACAGGTTCGACGCCATGGCGGTGCCGGTGCTCGGCGCGACAGGCACAAAGGGCGGGCCGCCCGTTGGTGCTGGCGAGAGCGGCGGCGAGGGCGAATCTTGGGCGGCGAGTCGTCGAGTGCGGGTCCACCGGTAGAAGACGCTGCCGCGGTCCGAGATGTCAGTCTCATGAGGCTCGAAAGACTCGTGGGGAGGAAGAGGAGGCAGGGAGGAGGACGCACGACGCGTTGAGGATGGCCTTGCAGAGGTGCTTGTTGCCGAGCGTGGTCCACGCGATCTTGTCGCTCGCCCCGCCCTTCTCGCCGCCGACGAACGCTGCTCTGAGACGCTCGACCCAGTCGAGCTCCCACGCGTCGATGCGCCGGTTGAACTCGTCCATCTCGCTCTCCCACTCGGGCTTCCACCGGCACGGCGAGGGCCCGGCCGCGACGACCGAGTCGCCGGTGCACGCCCAGGCCGAGCGCATGGCCTCGCGCACGACCTCGTACAGCTCGACAAACGCGGCGAGGCGCACGTCGCTCGCCTGCAAGTTGAAGCCGGCGAGGGCGCGGGCCGTGCGCAGAGCGAGGGCTGCCTCGCCGTTCGAGAAGTGCATGGCCCGGCCCGTCGTGAGGGCGCCGTGGACGTCGGCGACGAGTGACCAGTACCACAGGCGCAAGTCGTCGATAGCGTGTTGCGCGACGGGGTCGGACAAGACGTACGCCGAGTCGAACTTGCGCCCTCGCGCAACGGCGTGCCGCACGGCGGCGGCAAAGGCGTGCGGCGCGGTCGACTGGACGTTTAGGGTGCGCAAGAGGTGCGTCTCAAGAACCCAGAGCGACGCCGACGAGACGGCGTTGTTCTTGTACTGGCGCTCGGCGGACGAGGTTGGCGGGGACGACGAGGTCGAAAGAAAGTGGGCGTGCTGGACGCTCTTCCACATGATGAGGAGCAGGAAGGCCCGCGCCGTGTCGGTCTGCGAGTGCGTACGAGAGAGTCAGGACGGACGCTGGCGGTCTCGAGGCGAGGAGGGGAAAGAGCTCACGGTCACGTCCCTCCTGCTCGTCGAGATGACGATGGGCGCGACGAGCTCGTTGACGATGCCGGTCAGGCCGAGGTACACGCGTTTGCTATGCTCGCCTGGAGCGGGGAGAAGGAAGTAGGCGGTCGAGAGGAGGATCGAGTGGAACAGGAGCGGCGACCTCGCGCGCACGGCTTGAGGCGAGTACAGGTCGGGGACGGCGTGCGTGTCGGCCTTGATCGCGGGGAACAACGGCGTCCATGGTGCGAGTCGAGTGAAGAAGCTGCGTCGGGAGAGAGAGCGGGTCAGTCTCGGACGGCCTGAGGACGCTTTCGGGAGGAAGAGCGAGACGCACATCTCGAACGTCTTTTCAACCTCTTGCGCCGTCATGACGCCGCGATCGAGAACGTCGGGTCGCGTCCAGCCCTCGCTCTGGAGGATGCGCGCGACGAGGCCCTCCTCGTACTGGCTCGTCGACGAGCGGGCGTGCTCGTTGCCGTTGTCGCCGTCGACGCTCGAGCCGGGCCCGTCCTCGCCGATCGACTGAAAGGCGGCCAGGCCCGACGACGTCACCTTGTGCAGAAGCTCGACAGCGTCGTTGATGGCCTGCACGGCCGTTTCGCCGACGTCGGTCGCTCGTGCCGGGCCCTGCGCCGCGTCGCCGCCTCGGTCCGAGCCCGACTGGTGGCTGTTGCCGTGCGGCGACGGGCCCTCGTCGGGCGACTCGGACGAGCGCGACCCCGTCGGCTGGCGCAGAGGCGAGGACGTGGACGAGAGGCCCGACAGCTGGAGCGACGAGATGGCCGACTCGATCGAGCGCAGGCGTGCGGCCATGTCGTGAAGCCTGCAGGCCCGGAGCGGTCAGGGCCGCACGACGAACATCGAGAGGCAGGGAGTCTCGAGACGCACAGGTTGTTGGTCGGCGTGTCGAGCTGAGCCTGGCTGGTCGAGGCCTGCCGAAGCGGCTGCATCGTCGAGGCCGTTGGTGCGAGGGCCGCCGCGACTTTGGCCGTCTTCTTCGGGCCTGCTGCCGCTCCGACGGCGTACGTGCACGGGAGCGAGTAGAGCATGCATCGGCGGCAAGGGATCATGGACGGGCCGTCGCACTTCTGCCTGCACGAGATGAGGAGTCAGCAACCTGGCCGAGACGGCGCAGAGAAAGCGGACGGGTCATCAGCGGCGCACTTGACGAGTCGACAGCTGTTTGTGCTCAAGGAGGGTCAGCTCGACGGTCCTGGCGGCGGTCTGGCACGGCTGGCGGTGGTTCGAGGTTGACTGCGGGTGGGGGAAGAGGGAGAGGCGGGCGTACGGGTCGCAGGCGGCGCGAGAGCGCATGGCTTTGCCCTTGCTGAAGCTTGCGTCGTCCATGCTGCAGCCGTGCACGAGCTGGTCGTTGTTTGACGGAGCGAGATTCATGCGCGGCGATCAAGTTGCCCCACTTGGGCGGCTCTACCTCGACGACCACCGCCTCGATGGCAGAATCAGCACCACTACCGTCCTCAACGCAGCAACTCGACCCGGGTCCCCAAGCAGCAGCGCCCTCCGTCGCCGCCGACCACCCTTCTCCCCTCGCCTCCTCGTCAACCTCTCTCGCGACCCCGGCTCCGCCAACACCCACAGCGACTGCGACAACCACCGTCGCAGAGTCGCCCTTTGACAATCCCGCGTCAGAAGCAGCGCGAGCAGCTCAGGCCGCGAGCCGGTGGAACGGCCTCTTGCGGTGGGCGCGGGGAGCGAGGCTCGGAGGACAAGGCGGTGCGCCAGCGGGCTGGGATTTCGCAACCGGCATGTGCGTCGAATCCTTTCCCTCGACCCTCCCACGGTCAGCAGAGCAAGCTGCGCGCGGCGCAGGCGAGCTTTCGCCCCTCATCGCGCTGCCTCGTCGGCGGCGCCTTCCCCCGTCCCCTCACTGACCTTCTCTGTCGACTCGCGCAGGTATCATGTGCCTCGAGATTCGCCAGAATGGACGGCGGGCGTCAACCGCGCAACTCTGTGCGTCCCCTCACTCTCCCCTCTGCGTTCCCTCCCGGCGCGCTCGTCTGACGCTCTCGAACCGCAACCACTCCTTCCTCCCCACCCTCGGCAACCCTCTCCTCCCTTTTTGGCTTACCCGACTCGCCTCGACCGCCGACCTGTCCTTCACCCCGCCTGCGCCCTCTTGCGTTCGCCCTCTCTTTCAGCGACCCGTCGGCATCAGCACCCGTGCTCACCCTGCACACAGCCGACAAGCTATCGCACCTGAACCCGGATGCGGTCATGTCGGACGACGAGGGTGGCGGAGCGGGCTTGACCGAGAGTGGGCGGCCGAAGCGGAGGGCGGTGCGGTAACGGCTCAAGACTCGAGTTGTGCAGCTGGTCGAAGCGGTCGTCGTTCCTCGTCTTGTTGTCCTGCAGTCCAGCATTGTTCTCTCGCCTCTCGATCGAGCGGTCGTGGCCGCGCTTGCTCGGAGACGCGCTCTCGAATCTCGCCTCGTGCTCTCGGGTCTCGCGGCAGAAGAGAGGCATCGTGGTCGCGTTGCAGCAGATACGAGAGACGGGTGACGCCGACCGAGACCCGAGGCCGTGAGAGAGATAGAGATGAGGCGTCGGGAAAGGAGGGCGAGGCGAGGAAGGAAGAGGAGATGAGAGGAGTGTGGACGACATTCGCTCAAGCCGGCGCGCTTCGCCGGTTCCTCGACAGGGAACCGACACTTAGGCGAGCATAGCGGCGGCGAGCGCGCCGGCAGCGACGGCGGCGCCCCCGAAAAGGGTCTTGCCCGCCGCCGAGTCACCGGACGCGCTGGCGGACGGCGCACTCGCCGACGCCGACGCCGACTTGCTCGCCTGGCTAGCGGCCGAGCTCATAGCCGACGACACCGAGCTCACGCCGCTGCTGACGCTCGACGCAATGCTCGAGACGGCGGTCGCAGCGCTCGACTCGGCGGCCGCGGCGGACGACGTGGCGCTCTCGCCGGCCGACATCGAGCCCGACATGGACGAGGCTGCCGACGTGCACGTGTTGCTGATCGCTATCGACGGCGAGCGGGACGAGAGCGGGTCAGTCACGGCTAGGCGCAATACAGAGAGCGAAAAAGAGAAAATGGGGGACGGACTGTCGGCTTGGGACGGCGCGTCCTCTCCAATGCAGGCCGCGCAGGCATTCATGCCGCTCAGGAACGACTCGGAGCACGCGCAGGCGAGCGTGGCGGCGACGTCGCTGACATCAGTGGCGCACGACGTGGCCGAGTCGAGCCAGGCGGGGCAAAAATCGCCGCACTGGCCGTCGCCGGCGGCCGTGACGGCCGCCGTGCCGAGGGCAGTCGCGGCCTCCATGGCGGCCGCAGTGTCGGAGGCGAGGTCGCGCTTTGCCATGAGGCGAGTGAGGTCGGCGGGCGTGAGCGCGAGGGCTGTGCGGCGCGGTTCAAGTGAGCGTCCGACGCCCGCGAGGAGAACAAGGGGAAGGAGACGCACCTGAGCCAGCGAGAACCGCGAGGGACAAGAGCGAACGAGCGTGCATCTTGGGAGGTGGACCGTGGCGGGATGAAGGAAGAGAGAGTGAAGCCACCCAAGCGCAGCTGGGCCGCCTCGTCGAGAGAGGACGCACGGTTCGCCCGAACGCCGCAATTGACAGACGGCGGCGCGTGCGCGCGTACAGGGGCTCAATCAAGCAGGCCGGAGCTGAAGCCGGGCCGCGCTCTCCCATTGAGGAGGCGACGAAGCGCAGCGCGTGCGAGGGAGAGGTTCGTGCGGTGCATCGCGTGCGCTCTCGGCGACAGCCTCCTTTGTCAACGGGCAGCGCAGGTGCTCCACGTCGGTCAGAAAAGTGGACGAAGCTACACGAGCAGAGAACGACGCCTTAAGCGAGAACGAGGCCAGCTGAAGCTGCGGAACGTCGACGGAGGAGGAGGAGGAGGAGCAGGAGCGACATGTGCCGAGCCAAGGGGTGGATCCCGCCTCGACCGGAGTGGGCGAGCAGCCCTAGCAAGCAAGCTTGAGCCGCGACGCGCTCGCTCCGCAACAGAAGGAGAGTGCGCGCGAGCGAGCCTGAGCCGGTCGACCTGGATCGGGCTCGCAGTTGATTCGAGAAGCGCGAGTTCAAGCAGGAGAGCTCCTTTGTGCAGCAGTGCAACGACGAAGCAGCTTCGACCGCATCGCAGCGCCCAGGCGCGAGATTCAGAGGACGAGGCGAGTCGAGGGGGAGGAGCGGGGGCGAGGGGAGCCGGCGGCACCTTGCGGCCGCGAGCGGATCCACAGGCTGGTCGATGCTGGGGAGAGAGCTATTCGCAGTGCCCTGCGCGCTTCGCATGCGTGGTTGAGCGTGACATGTACGAGCGAGAGCTTATGCATCAACCTGAGCTGCTCGTCGACCCTGTCCACCTCCAGCCACACTCGACCAGGTGCTTGCGACAGCCCACCACGAGCATATCCTGTCGACCAGCACCCGCCCCACTCTGCGACCAGCCCTCCTCCACATCGTTCCTCGCCCGCTCCTCCTCCCCACCCCGCGCTCCGTCGTCACCTCCACCATGTCCGCCGCGCCCGCACCAAGCTCTGCCGCGCCGCGCGAGAAGGCCATCACCGAGGACGAGGCCAAGCTGTACGACCGCCAGCTCCGCCTGTGGGGTGCCGCCGCCCAAGCCCGCATGCTCGCCGCCCGCGTCCTGTTCGCCGGCAGGTTCCGCGGTCTCGCTGTCGACGCCGTCAAGAACGTCGTGCTCGCCGGCATCGGCAGCGTCACGCTGCTCGACGGCGAGGACCTTGCCGAGGAGGACCTCGGGAGCAACTACTTCGCGCGCGAGGACGAGGTTGGCCAGAAGGTGCGCCCGGCCACAGTTCTCTACGTTCTCGAGTCGGTCCAGGCGTACCGACAAATGCGAACGCTGACCCTCGTACCTTTATCTGCAGCGCGTCGAGGCGTCGGCTCCAAGGGTGCAGGCGCTCAACCCGCGCGTCAACCTGTCGACCGAGACGGACGCGGCGCTCCTCTACAGCGAGGCGTTCCTCGAGGGCTTTGACCTTGTCGTCGTCACCGATGTCGATGCACCTACGGCGGTGCGTCTCCTTCTCCTCGCTGTGAACCCGCCGTCGCAGCACACGAACTGACCTCGTTCGCCCCTCTTCCCTCCTTTTCTTCCCGCCCCTCGCGCATCCACAACCTCCTCGGCACATCCTCTTCGTCTGGGTTCGCGTGTCGTACAGCTGCGGGTCAACGACCTGACGCGCAAGTTGGGCAAGAAGCTGTTCGCGGCGGGCAGCGTCGGTCTCGATGGGTGGATGTTCGCCGACCTCCTCGAGCACGAGTACATCATGTGCGTCGCGCGCCCTCTCCCTATCGCCTTGCCGTGGACCTACCTGACGTGCTCTCTTACCTGCAGCGACAAGCACGTCTCGCGCACGCCGGGCGAGACGACCATCGTCCCGACCAAGCAGACGCTCGCCTACGTCCCCCTCTCGCTCGCCCTCGCGCACTCGTTCGCCAGCATGAAGAAGCGGGAGCTCAAGCGCACGGGGACGGTCCTGTGGGGCGTGCTCGGTGCGTCCTCGCTCCCTCCCTCTCGTTCGTCGTCCCTCGTCGAGCTCGCCTGAGTCTTTCCCGTTCGTCAGCCCTGTTCGCCGCGCAGCGTCATGCCCACCCAGCACCCATAGCGCCCTCGGCTACTGAGGTCTCGGAGGAGGAGCTCTCGCAGGCCGCCAAGAAGCTTCTGCCTGAGCTCGGCGCGAGCGAGGACATGCTGCCGAGCGAGGAAATCAGGTGCGTCGCCGCGCTCACCCAGTCTCTCGACGCCTCGTTCTTTCCTCAGTACCGGGTCCTGACTCTCTCCCCCTCTCTATCCCCTGCCGCAGCCGCCTCGCTGCCCTCCAGAGCGCCGAGTTCGCCCCCTCGTGCGCCGTCCTCGGCGGCCTTCTCGGGCAGGACATCCTCAACGCGGTCGGCGGCAAGGAGGAGCCGGTCCGCAACCTGTTTGTGTTCGAGGGCGAGACGGGGCAGGGCCGGGTCTGGGCACTCGGCGTGTAGACGGTGGACGAGGCGCGCGAGAGGAGGACGAACGCAGCCTTTTCTGACCTCTCGAGCTCTGCGGCAAAGCTCTCGTTCTTCTCTCGAGAGTCCGAGTCGTCCAGCGAGAGAGTCCTCGAGGTGCAGGCAGGCAGAGAGAGTTAGACAGAGATCCGTAAAGTCCCGACGCGATTGGCTCGCACGCGCCCGAACTTGGGCCTCGTCGTCGCCGGCCGCCGCTCTCCCTCTCTCGACCACAAAGCCGCACTCGCCTCTCGCCAGTGCGCCTCGACTACAGCCATGCCCGCATCTCTGCTCTCCCGTGCTGCGCGTGCGTCCCCTCGTCCCACTCTCCCCCTCTCTTGCCCCCGCTCACCTCGACCTGTTGCTCCCTCCCTTGGTGCAGGCGCCACCCCGTCGCCGCTGCGCTCCTTCTCGACCTCGGCCGCCCGTAGCCGTGTCGTCGCCACCTCGCCCGTCAAGGCCAAGGAGGTGCCCGTGAGTCGCGCTCGCCAGCTCGTCGTCGTCGCCGCCTCGCTCGCCCCGATCGCGCCGGTCGAGGCGAGCCGCGGCGCCTCCATCGTCGGCCCTCGACAGCCTGTCGGGCCTGCGACTGTCGTGTGCATCGTCCTGACACATCTTGCCTCCCCTCCCACCCTTGCCCGACCCGCCATCGACGCCCCCGCTCGACCTCGAACCAGACGACCATCTCCGGCAAGTACCCGCTCATCGAGCACGAGTACGACGCCATCGTCGTGTGCGTCCTCTCTCTCTTTTGTATCTCTCTGAGCATACGGTCTTGACGAGCCCTGGCCCCGCTCCCGCAGTGGTGCCGGCGGTGCCGGTCTTCGCGCCGCGTTCGGCCTCGCCGAGTCGGGCCTCAAGACGGCGTGCATCACCAAGCTCTTCCCGACGCGCTCCCACACGGTCGCCGCTCAGGGCGGCATCAACGCCGCCCTCGGCAACATGACCGAGGACGACTGGAGGTGGCACGCGTACGACACGGTCAAGGGCTCGGACTGGCTCGGCGACCAGGTGCGTCCTCCCTCCCTCTGCCGCCCTTTGCGCCTCGTCTACAGGCACTGACGTCTCTTCTTCCCGCAGGACGCGATCCACTACATGTGCCGCGAGGCCCGTGAGTCCGCGATCCTCCCCCTCTCGCCGACCCCGCCGATCTTCCCGACTGACCCTTCTCGCCCATTCCTCCTTGTCCTTCTTCCCTGCGACCTCGACCTCCTCCTTCCACCTCTCCCCTACCCGTTCCCGCTCAATCTCGACCGCCTCGCCACCGTCCGTCGCTCGCCTCGACCTGCCCAGCCAACTCGGTCCTCGAGCTCGAGCACTACGGTCTCCCGTTCTCGCGCACCAAGGAGGGCAAGATCTACCAGCGCGCGTTCGGTGGCCAGTCGCTCAAGTACGGCAAGGGCGGCCAGGCGTACCGCTGCGCCGCCGCCGCCGACCGCACCGGCCACGCCATGCTCCACACCCTGTACGGCCAGTCGCTCCGCCACAACACCGAGTACTTTATCGAGTACTTCGCGACCGACCTCATCATGGAGGACGGCGAGTGCGTCGGCGTCATGGCGTACAACCAGGAGGACGGCACCATGCACCGCTTCCGGTCGCACCGCACCGTCCTCGCGACGGGCGGATACGGCCGCGCCTACTTCTCGTGCACGTCGGCCCACACGTGCTCGGGCGACGGCGCCGGCATGGTCTCGCGTGCGGGCCTCCCGCTCCAGGACCTCGAGTTTGTCCAGTTCCACCCGACGGGCATCTACGGCGCCGGTTGCCTCATCACCGAGGGCTCGCGCGGCGAGGGCGGCTACCTCCTCAACTCGGAGGGCGAGCGCTTCATGGAGCGCTACGCGCCGACCGCCAAGGACCTCGCCTCGCGCGACGTCGTCTCGCGCTCGATGACGGTCGAGATCCGCGAGGGCCGCGGTGTCGGCCCGGACAAGGACCACATCTACCTCCAGCTGTCGCACCTCCCGCCCGACGTCCTCCACGAGCGCCTGCCCGGCATCTCGGAGACGGCCGCCATCTTTGCCGGCGTCGACGTCACCAAGGAGCCCATCCCCGTCCTCCCGACCGTCCACTACAACATGGGCGGCATCCCGACCAAGTTCACCGGCGAGGTCCTCACCGTCGACGAGAACGGCAAGGACAAGGTCGTCCCGGGCCTGTACGCCGCCGGCGAGGCCGCCTGCGTCTCGGTCCACGGCGCCAATCGCCTCGGCGCCAACTCGCTCCTCGACATTGTCGTCTTTGGCCGCGCGTGCGCCAAGCACATCGCGAGCGAGCTCACGCCGGGCAAGCCGCACAAGGCCATCTCGGACAAGGCCGGCCTCGAGTCGATCGAGGCGCTCGACCAGATCCGCACCTCGTCGGGCTCGAAGCACACGTCCGACATCCGCCTCGACATGCAGAAGGCCATGCAGCGCGACGCCGCCGTCTTCCGCACCCAGGAGTCGCTCGAGAACGGCGTCAAGGAGATGGAGCGCGTTCGCGGCACGTGGAAGGACCTCGGCATCAAGGACCGCTCGATGATCTGGAACTCGTGCGTCCCCTCGCCTCTCTCTTTCCTTCTCTCCTCTTCCCTCGCCTCGTCCACCTCCCTGACGCCGGCACGTGTTCCACTCTCGCAGGGACCTCGTCGAGGCGCTCGAGCTTCGCAACCTCCTCACGTGCGCCGACCAGACGATCGTGTCGGCCGAGGCGCGCAAGGAGTCGCGTGGCGCCCACGCCCGCGAGGACTTTACCGAGCGCGACGACGAGAAGTGGATGAAGCACACGCTGTCGTTCCAGAAGGACGTCACCGACTCGAGCCGCCTCTCGTACCGCGACGTCATGTCGACGACGCTCGACGAGAACGAGATGAAGGCCATCCCGCCGTTCAAGCGGACGTGTGCGTCCCACCCCTCTCTCTCTCTCTCGCCTTCCTTCTCTCGGCGTGTCACTGACTCGTCGTGTGCCCTGCAGACTAAACTCGTCGTGCTCGAACACGGACCTGAACGGAGGAGAGACGGCGCTCGCAGTTTTACCCCTTTCTCCCACCCGCACCCTCTCACGCCTGTCTCTCTTTGCCCGTCCCTACCTTTCGTGCCCTTCTGTAACACATCGACCTAGCATCCAGTCCTCGTGCGCTTTTGCGAAAGCGAGAGCCGAGCGAGAAAGAGAGCGAGAGCATGCGGCTGGACCTCCTCGTCGAGCCGCAGCGCGAGCTGCGTCCTGCCTTTGGGCCCTGTTGGCGTACTCTAGCGCTCAAGGTTTAGCTGCGACGTCGACGTACAGCGAGCGAGCTGGCAGCTGTTCCCAGTTCAAACTCGACGACGCACGTGCCCTCTCTCCTCTCGAGCCGGTCGTCGACGCTCCTCTCGCTGCACCTCTCGCTCGCGGGCTCGCCGACTCTCGAGAGCAGGCGCACGGCAAGAGCTGGGTATAAAGGCGCTGATGGCCTTTTCAGGTGGTGCAAGAGGGGGCAGAAGTACATGGAGCTGTGACAAAGATCCCTCCTCCCCTTCCCCTCCTTCGTCCGCGACGACGACGACGACGCGCATGACCCGACTTATGCCATGCGGTACTCCCTCCTCTCGCTCGTCGGGTGCTCGCCCTCGCTCTTGTACTCGACGACGATGTCGAGATCGCGAGGGTTGCGCGCGTTGGGCGCGACGCTCATCGTGCCCTCGATCGACTCGCCCTGCTGCAGCGTGATCATGTCGCCGAGGTAGAAGACGGTCTCTGCGAGAGGGGCGAGGGACAAGAGAGAGAGAGAGGGTCAGGTGGGGCTTGAACTGGGACGCCGAGAAATGAGAGAAACAGGAATAGTGAGGACGCACGCTTCCAGTGAGTGTACTTGGCGTGGGGGCCGGTAGAGAAGCTGACGGGCTTGTGGCACGAGCGGAACGCGCAGTCGAACCAGCCGAGGAATGCGTGAACGTCTGCGGGCGGAACCGGGCGTGCGACGAGGTCAGAGCCTGTCGACGAGGAGGAAAGGGTGACGATCGAAAAGGGCGAGGACGCACAGTCGTTGCGAGTCGCGGTGAGCTTGAACTTGGTCATGAACGTGAGCTGCTCCTTGGTAACCTTGAGGAGGTCGAACGTCGCGAGCTTGCACGGGTTGGTGACGACCGACTTGAGGTCGACCGTGTCGACGAGCGGTTCCCGGAGCGCAATCTCCTTGATGCACGAGTAGTCGAAGCCGTAAACGTCGTCCCAGACTGTGGCGCGAGGAAGACGAAGCGTCAGTGAGGTTGACCGGCATCGGCGAGAGCGAGAGGAGGCGCCGAAAGAGACAGAAAGAGGAAGAACGGCGCGACGCACAGCCAATCTTCTCCTCCTTGTACTCCTGGTCCTCGATGGCCGCCAGGTACAGGGTCGCCTCGTCCGGGAACATGAGGCCGCCCGGGTTGAGGTACCGGTCGCGCGCGTACAGGACCGAGTCGAGCATGGATTCGTAGAGGAGGAAGTAGCCCATCCACTCCGAGATGATGATGTCGACCTTGTCGACGGGGAGGACGACCTCCTCCATCTTGCCCTTGATGAGCGTGATGGCTGCAGGCAGGCGAGGGGCGTCAGAAGGTCGGCTCGAGGGTGAGGCAGTCGAAGGAAGGAAGGGAAAGGAGAGACGCACTGTCGGCGAAACCGTTGGCGGCGACGATCTTGGTCGCCTGGTCGATGATGTTGGACATGTCGACCTGTGGGAAAGAGACACGAGGTGAGCAGGGCGGTCGCCGAGGAACCGCGAGGCGAGGAAAGAGGGGACGCACGCCGATGACCTTCTTCGCGCCCGCCTTGGCCGCGAACATCGAGAGGATACCAGTACCGCAGCCGACGTCGAGAACGACCTTGTCCCTGCGAGTGCGGGGCGTTCGCAGTCAGTACGCGACGACCGCAGGACCGACGGAAGAGCGAGAGACACGCACTTGAACAGGTGCTTGTTGTGCCACATCGAGTTGCGGTAGCTCAGGGTGCGGACCTCGTCCTTGAGCATCTCCTCGTGGATGCCGAAGTGGGCGTACGAGTCGGCGTAGTAGTCGGCTGAGGTAGCGCCCGCCTGTTGACGAGGAGAGGGTCAGTCGGGAGATCGAGTTGGACGACGACGGCGAAAGGGGGACGCACGACGGGGACGGCGGCAACGGTCTCGGTGCCAGCGGCAGCATTGACGGTGGTCATGTTGACGCTAAAGCTGTGGGCGAGGGCAAGAGAGGTCAGTCGGGCATGCAGAAACCAAGGCGTTGATGGGGCGAATGGCCTCAGGTCCCGCGCCGCCCCGCACCAGAGCAAGCCTGCGGCTCTGCTCGCCTCGACGCTCCAAATGCCGCCCTGCGCGCGCTCGCCGCCGACGTGCTGGTCTGGCGCCGAGACGAGGCGGTGTTGCCCGCTGATGGCGAACGGCGTGCGCGACTGTGGCCCTCGCCGGACGTCGATCGGCTGCCACGCCGTGGACCAGGAGGCTCACGAGCGCACACGGCCCACGCTGACGGCTGCAGAGGTGCACGTCGAGGCGGGATGGAGGCGGTGGAGCTCGACGGGCTCGTCGCCGTCGCGACGACGAGCTGGGCGCGGTTGCGGGTTGCGCGGCTTGCGCAGGGGCGTGGACCTTGGCGTGCGCGGAGTGGTGCGACTCACGATGGATGCTCTAGCAGGATGCGAGCGGGTACGGAGAGCGAGCGAGCGTGTCCCTCCTCGTCGCGCTCGTCTCCCCCGCCGACCCGAGCTCAAGCCGCTCTCCGCTCGTCGGCTGCACCGCCCCCGCCTGTCTCTCGAGTCTGCTCTCGGTACACGCGACTATGCGGCAATCATTCTGCGGTTGCACAGGCCGAGGGAGGTATCTAGGGCGCGGGCCGGCTTGAACCTCGCGAGGGTTTTGGGGAACGTGGACGACTGAGAGAGGGAGAGCGAGGGAGAAGGGAAACTTGCGCGGGCAAAGGTAGGTACAACATGACGACGACGAGCGAGCCCTCGACGACCTTGGACTGACGGCGGCGGTGGCGGCTCCTGGGCGGACACGGTGTGGTCGAGCGCTGCTCAGCCGAGCGGGCCGAGGTAGTCCTCCTTGATCGTGCCGATGCAGAACTGCGGGCGTGCGTGCGGGTCAGTTCGGGCTGCTCGACCTCGAGAGCGCGCAAGGCGGCGGCAGGAGAGAGGAGAGGGCAGGTGGGAGAGGAAGAAGCGCAGACGCACAATCTCGGTCGCGTCGACTCGGGTGCCGACAATCTTCAACCGGATCTTGGTGCCCTTCTGGATCGTCAACTGCGGGCAAGGAGGTCCAGGGGTCAGTCCGGGCATGGGCGAGGAAGCGAAAGCGGCTCGGCGCACCGTGTCTTCCGAGCTCGAGAAGCACGGCGGGTTCGAGTTGGGGTCGAAGCTGAAGTCGGGCGGGACGAGCTGCGCGTGCGGCAGGTTCTCGAGTCAATGTCGAGGCGCCCTGACAGAGAGGGAGAGGAGCGGGACGCACGTGAGTCGAGATGAAGCACTGGACCGGGCCGACGTCGACAAAGATGCCCATCTGCAAGGGAGGCCGCAGTTTGTCAGTGCCGGCGCCTCGCTCATGGGCAAGAGAAAGTGAGAGAGGACGCACCTTGTTGACGCTCGAGACGACGCCGTCGACGACCTCGCCTCGGAACGGCCGGTACACGACGGCGCGGTACTTGAGCGAGAAAACGGCCTGGCCGTCTTCCATGATGCGCCCTCGCCACGAGCCGTCCTCGGTCTCCTCGTTGATGACGGCGACGACGTAGCCGAGCCGGCCCGAGCACGATCCTTCGACTTGTCGCCGCAGCTCGTTCGACAGGTGACCGCGCAGAGCCTGGTTGAAGTAGGACGGGTGCATGATCAGGTCCTGCGTGAGCAGTTTCTGCGAGCGCGGAACAAAGTCAGTGAGCTCGTGTGCTGCGCTCCCTTGTGCGGGACAACGAGAGGAGAAGAGGGGGCGGGGAGGACGCACGAGGAAGAACATGGTCGGTGAGGGCTCAGGGCGCGTCGAGCCGGGTGCCGCGAGGAAGTGGATCGAGCTGTGACAGGTCCTGGTGGTGCTGGTGGCCTGGGTGGGCGGTGCAAGGAGGGAGGGAGCAGCGAGTTCAGCGAGCTGCGTCTCGAGTACGAGGGGGGCTGCTGCTGGCTGCCACTGCCGCCACCGTGTGCACGTGCACCGTGTTGTCCCGAGGCTGCGTGACCCTTCACAGCCTCTGCGTGCCCCCTCGAGCCCGACCTCATCTGCCTCCTGGACCACAAGCACCGCTCCGACTCGCCCACCGCGTGCTGCCGAAGCCGTGCGGGTGCGTGGCGCTACCGCGAGACGAGGTGTAGGCCTCACCAGGTGTGGTGCTGCTGCTGCTGGTCGCGTGTCGAGGGCTGCGGCGGGTGTTGACCGGGGCTGGGAGGACGACGAGGTCGGCGAGAGGGGAGGGACGAGTCGGGGCGTGCGCGGTGGGCGTGTCGGTGTCGCGGGTGCGTGCAGCTAAGCCGACCCAGAGCAAGCAACAGGTTTCGCGGCAGAGGGCGAGGCGAGCGACAGAGCCACACCTCCTTGCTCTCCTCCTCCTCGTCGTCGTCGTCCGCTCCCGCAACTCTGTGCCCTCCCCTGATGAGGTACAGCTCGCCCTTTACAGCTTAGTAACGGGCTCCTCACCACCCGCGACCAAGCTCGAGCCTCGCAATCGGCGGTCCAGGTGCGTCCAGCCCGCTCCTCCCGTTCCCCAATCTCCCGTCTTCCCCCGTGCGCAACGAGCCCGCCTGCAGAGCCTGACTAGAGCGTCACGCTCCTCTTGTAGTACGCAGCCCCTCGGTCCTACCCCCCGACCCGCCGTTGTCCGCCGGCTCGCGTCGCCCCTCGACCTCCCCTCCCCTCCCACCCCGCTTTGGCCTGGCTCGCGGGCAACGCGAGCACGTTGCCGACCGAGTCTGACCGTTGCCTTGACTCTCTTGTCTCGCAGACCCGCCAACGTCTTGCCCGCATACCAGGCGCCTCTCCTTGTCGCGCTCCCCCTTCCTGCCGCCCCCGTCCTCTTCCCTCGCGCGCCGGCTCGCCGCGGACACCGGCAGCGCGTGCTTCACCCGCATTACCTCGACAACTCGGCTATACGTGCGTCATCGCGCCGGTCGACAGTGCCTGGCACCCTCGCCGTCAAGGTGCGCGCGGCCTACTTAGCCTCGAGCGCCGAGCGTCTCTCGCCTCGACACGCCGTCGCCGTTGCCTGCTCTCGGCGACCACTCGCGTCGCACGCTCTCGTTACGCACCAGAAGCTCGAGCGCAGTCTGTCCATGTCCTTCACGGGCCGACGGCGTCGAATCTCGAACCTCGAGTCGAGTCTCGTATCAACCTGTTTCTCGTCGCGGCGTCGGTGCGCTCGGCCGGCCGTGGGCTGTGTCGGTCGGCGCCGGGCCTTTCAGTGCATGGGTAGGGTTAGGGTTAGGGTCAGGGTTAGGGTTAGGGTTAGGGTTAGGGTTAGGGTTAGGGTTAGGGTTAGGGTTAGGGCTCTGAACGAGACGGACGTCCACCTGGTTCCGCCCATAGTGGGGGGGGGGGGGGGGGGACTCC